TCACAGCCATCCATTGGAGGCTGCCAAACTCGGCGAGCCCCACGCAGACACATGACACTCGAACGCAGCAGGGCGAAAGACAGCCTGCAGCGGAGGTGGGCAATTAGCACAGAATACGCCTCCCTCCCACGTAGCGACTGGAGATGTGCAATCCGGCTCACCAGTGCAGCGGCACCCTTGCCGCATCCTCCGGTGGAAGAGAGCACAAAGGGGAGAAAAGTGGATCGCTCCACTTCTCGGACTCTCCGATCATATCGACGCCGTTTCTCTTGCTCATGGTGCCGGTAGCAGCCAGAGAGAGAGGAGGTGCGGTTCGAAGACGCATAGGGGTTGAACACCCGTACATCAATAAAAGTGCGTTCGAACCGACCCCCCCAAACTGGCACTGGCCACCACATCCAAACGAGCTTGATCCTCGGCGACCTCTGCTGTAGGCGACCATCTACCGTTAGCGACCGATTTTCCGTGCACCGACGGTTTCACATACAAACTGATCTGTCCAGAGCGACCATCTGCTGTGCGCGACCAGCGACCGCGATTTCATGCACGGTGGCTGCATTCAAATCTGCTGTAAGCGACCGCGACCCAGGTTCAGTAAGGTGCGAAACTGTACTTGCCAGTGCGCTGTCAACTGCAAAGTGTGAAAATGCGCTGTCTTGCAAGTGCGATCGACTGGCGCCTGGCTTGTACTGAGGCTGTGCTGTAGCTCTCAAGTCCAGGCAGTGTCGATCTACTGCCGTGTCGCATACGCGTACTATACGGGTATGGTCGTCGTTGAATATCCAATATTAAAATGATATAAAAAATCACATTATTCTCGTCGATTTGAGTACATGGAAGCATATACCTGGTATGCCGGATTTACCATACATCTGCCGTAAGAGACCATCTGCCGTAAGCGACCGCTTTTTCTTGCACCAAGGGGCGGTCGCTTACGACAGATTTGACTGTACTACTAGTACTAGTAGACTATAGTAGTAGGACTCTAGTCTAGGACTCAGATGCAGAGTACATGTACATGATTGTACTAATATTAATAATAATACCGGTACACAACAGAACAACAAGGACAATCAAGGCTTGTTTGCTGCTACTTTAAGTTTCATGCTTACGCAATCATCAGGCAACATGAAGATCGGGTGCCGACCATGCCGGTATATATGCCAGGAGAGGGTGGTATAAAAAGCTGTGTGAGACTGTGGGGGCTAGCGCAGTAGCGGTGATGTTTTAGGCAGGGGGCTGTGTGCAGAGTGTGTGGTTGTTGAAGGCAGGGGCTAGCAGTGCAGTGTGAGCGCGAAGTGTGTGGCTGGTGTGGGCAGGAGGTGGTGAACAATGCGTGTGGATGTTGTAGGCAGGAGGCTGTAGAGCTAGCAGTGTGATAATAGCGCAATGTAAATGGATATGTCTGGTGTGGGCAGGGTGTTATGAGCAAGGTGTGTGAACGTGAATGGTGTGGGCAGGAGGCTGTGGAGACATGTTTAGGTGACACCGTGGTTTTTTAGGAGATACTTGTTCTCGTGTCGGCACTTGGACACCATTTCGGAGCGCTTGTTGAGGCTGGACGGTGACCCTAGCGTGTTCAGGATGTGATACTTTTCTCTGGTACAGAGGGAACACCGCTTCGTGATGTTGGAGTATGCCCGGGCGCGATCTTTGCGTAATTGCGTGATTGCGTAAGCATGAAACTTAAAGTAGCAGCAAACAAGCCTTGATTGTCCTTGTTGTTCTGTTGTGTATTACGCTCTGCCTTTGTGGTGTTGAGCACTGTCAAGCACTCTGGGTACATCCTTCGGTAATACCGGTACATGTACTCTGCAGTCTGCATCTGAGTCCTAGACTAGAGTCCTAGCCTACTACTACTAGTACTAGTAGATCTACTAGTAGTAGGACTCTAGTCTAGGACTCAGATGCAGAGTACATGTACATGTACTACTAAAAACTTGTAGTCCAAGGCCTAGGCGTGTGTGGCATTAGTACTATCATGATCATGGCATAGGCATAGGCGCTACATGTAGCGAGTCGAGAGTGACTGACTGTGCACTGACAGTGACAGTCTGTGTAGAATCTACTGAGTCTGTCCGTAATGAGATTATGATTACTGTTTGTAACCAGTGAGTGCGTTCGATTACACGCGCGAATCGATTCACGAATCGATTCATGAATCGATTCGCGCACATCACCCCATGTGAATAGAGGGAATGGATTCTGAATCGATTCCAGGGCTCATGACATGAAATCGAACGACTTGAATGCATGCGAATGGATTCATGAATCGATTCAAGTGTGTAATTGCCCATTTCACAAGCAATGATGCATTGTGATGTGAAGTGGGGATTGTATGAGGAGCGGAGAGCGGAGATATAACAGTGTATACCAACCCGAAATCGGGTTTTCCTTTGCTCGAGATAGCATTTTCAAAACGCAGTTTTACTAAAATTTGACAAACAAATTTTCGTAAGGAAAACTGCTCCACACGTGATCCATCAGCTCAAACGCGGGAACTAGGCCTGTCCGAAAAATGTGTTTTAATTTGCTGAAAATGGAAATGCAAAATGCACGGTTTTCCAGCCAACATTCAAACAAGAAATCAAAGGGGAATGTAAAAAAAATCAAAAAATCAAAGCCGAACAACCCAAAACGCAGAGAAAATGCATCCGTTGCCATGGCAACCAGAATTTAAAATGGCCGCCATGCCATGGTGATCACAAATTTTTTTCCATGTCACACTGTAGATGTACATGTACGTATACATGTAGTATCCCTGCCTAGCGCCTTGCTAGTACATGTACTCTAATCATGTCACGTGTACACGCACTGCATGGTCATAATCTTGTCACCCCTTTTGCTGACATTGCCTGACAAACCTGCAAAGCTAATCATTTTCTCACCATTGCAAGTGACTTCAACGGTGTTTGCTGGATTGCATACTACCTATACCATGTATACTACACATGTACTACTATACTACTACTACTAGAACATATATTTGTTGTTTTTATCACACCTGCATGTACATGTAGAACTAAACACCCATGTGTTCCCATTTGTGTGATTAGGAGGCCAGTGCAACTAAATTAAGTCTAGTGTCTCAGCCAAGAGGGACAGAAGACACCGAAATAGCAAGCCGAACTTGACTTGGTCGAGCTGAAACCTTGGCTGAAACCTTAGAATTCGACCAAAAATGGGCAAAATTCAGAAAAAATGCAAAAATGCAAAATGTACCCCAAAATGCAAAAAAAATTCAGAACATTTTTCGGACAGGCCTAGCGGGAACTCTAGCTTCTTCTTCACCCTTTTTTCAGCGCATTATAGATCTTATTAGGGAGGGTACCCGGGTGGGACTGTTATATCTCCGCTCTCCGCTCCTCATACAATCCCCACTTCACATCACAATGCATCATTGCTTGTGAAATGGGCAATAGGGCTTGAAAGTGATGACGTCAAAAACGGCCAGGGAGTACTAAGTTGACATCAGATTTCTATTTTGGATCCACTAAGGTGTGACTTTGCTATTGCCTCAGTATGTGGGTGCATAGCAACCCACTCATGTCGTATGCAGGGGTGACTTTTATTTCGCCACCAGTTGTAACCCCGCCCCCAGTAGCCAAATCAGTCAGTTTCACTGGTTACATCACCTTGCCGAGAGTAAGACGGCTTGAAATGTGCTTGGATCCATACAACAACTGGATCCAAGTGGATCCAATTTTTGAATTTTTGAAATTGTTGCTATGCTGTGACGTAGCACTTTCAAGCCCTATTGCATATCGGAGCTTCGAGCTTCGATATAACAGTGTATACTTCACAGCGCACGTCAACCGGCCTCCGTGGCAACAGTTATTTATGCACAAATGGCGACTACGAGCGTCAGTGATATAATTTTGACGCAGCAAACCAGCACACCCAGGCTGGAATATAACACAAGGCCTAACACCAACTAAATGTGTGGCCACATGAAAACCAAAATCTGGAAAATATTCATAACCTAGTATGGCGAAGAAGAAGCTAGAGTTCCCGCGTTTGAGCTGATGGATCACGTGTGGAGCAGTTTTCCTTACGAAAATTTGTTTGTCAAATTTTAGGAAAACTGCGTTTTGAAAATGCTATCTCGAGCAAAGGAAAACCCGATTTCGGGTTGGTATACACTGTTATATCGAAGCTCGAAGCTCCGATATGCAATCGAACGCACTCACTAAGTCTGTCTGTGTTGGATAACTACAAGTACATTGTAGTCGACTGCATGCAGATCATTATACATAAATGACTCGTAATCGATAATCGTATGAGTATGACACCACCAGTCATTACTACAGTATGAATACGTATACCATGTAGTACATGTATGTCACTTCTCTGCGGTTGACGTCACCGTATAACTATAAGAATTAGCACCTAGATTAGAATAGAACGGAGAAGTAGTGTTCTCTGTCCACCCGGGAACGTGCTGTGGTGGCCCCCACTGCCACTGTACTGGCAATGTTCACGTGTCCAATAGTGGTGTATACACGTATGGCCACCGGGTGAGTGTGCGGATGTGTGCGCAACGAGTGAGTCGAGTGCAGGGTGGACAGAGAACTACAGTCATGATTGTATACCAGGGAGTCGTAAAATACCTATTTACGTATTTTACGACTCCCTGATGTATACCAGCTAGTGAACTAGTACTGTCGATTGTCACCACTGCCAGTGGTCACCATGGTCACGCCGTGAGTCTCGCCAAGAGAGCCAGATGGAGTGACAGCTACATCCCAGGATCCCGTCAATGAAGGGATCCTGGGATGTGAAGGCTTGTGGTGAATTATTTGTGGTCTCACCTAGTTGTAAGCTAGACCTGCACGTCGGTCCGCAAAACTACAAACATTTCATTATTTTGTAGGCAGTACGGACTCCGGAGCTCCGTCGTGTGGCCAAAGGAATCCGACCAGCGAATCTTTACTTTGAACTGAGACAGTTTGAGGCAAAAACAAACTCAAAACAACCAAGCCAAACTAGGTGCTCACGTCATGTCAGCACCGCGACCGGCAGGCCTGGCAGGCTGGCACTACCTGCCCACTATGCACTACTCAGTATGTATCTAATATTGACTGAGTACGAGGTCAATATCGGAAATAAAAGCCGAGTAAAAGACCGAGGCGAAGGCGAGGTCTTTTACGAGGTTTTTATTTCCTATACTGACCAAGTACGAAGTCAATATTAGATTTATCACGACTAACCAAAGCATGTGTTCAACCGCTAAAAAGGAGTCAAATATAAGCGGTCAATATAGCCCTAAGGAGTCAAATATGCAGGAATATTTGACTGCTTAGGTATGGCAAAAATCTATGTGAGTCAATACTAAGGGAGTGATAAAGTATTATAAATGCCGGCTTTGACTCAGTTTGAGTATCAAAGCCAAGTTAGCCCACGCGGGCACATGCGCATGATGGAATCATGATGCATATCATTAATTATTATTCTGTGCCGAGTATGATCTGTATTTTTGCACTGCTGCCACTGTTGCCTTTATGCGCGCTGCATGCAGTACTCAGTGGCAGTAGCTAGTTGAATGCAGTTTGGTTTGTCTTTCCTTTGGACAAGAAGTGCTTTCCGTGTCATTGCGTGGTGGCGTTGGTTTGCTGCCACTTGGAATGGCCGTTCTTTCTTTCATGACCTCCAGTGGTCCACATCCCCTGATCTTGATCTCTTTACTGATGCTTCAGATGTCGGCTTTGGTGGCTATTATGCCCGCCAGTGGTTTTTGGGACGGTGGCCCGCTGAACTGCTCGACGAACCGATTATGGTTCGCGAGCTGATCCCTATTGGCTAGCTCGCGCCGTTTGGGGTCATGCTTGGTCTGGCAAGCGGCTTATGTTCCATTGCGATAATGAGGCTGCTGTGCTGGCATGGCGGATAGGGTCATGTCGTAACAAGAATGCAATGGCTATTATCAGATTTCTGCTGGCTGAAGCTGCATCTGGCAATTACATTTTGTTCATACGGCACATTGCTGGTGTAAATAATGCTGTGGCTGATGCGTTGTCTCTGTTTCAGATGTCTCGGTTCCGAGAACCTGGAGAACTGGCCCCCGCAGCCTGCAGCCATCCACATGGTACACGTGCCTTCCCCCAGCTCGCTGCTCTGAGTGCGGCCAGTGACGCGCTAGTTGAGGACTCCGTCTCGGAGCGTACCAAACAAACATTTAAGCCTGGCATTGCTGCTTATTTAGAGTTCTGCCGTACTAACTCCATTGTGGCACTTTCTCCTACTACTGAAAATATTGTGTCCTTCACCACTGTAGTCTCTTTCAAGTCTTTGTTGTAAGAAGTCTGTCTCTGTCAACAATTCGCGTTTACCTAGCGGCAGTCCGCTACTACCTGTTGTGCAATGGGGGGGCAGTGGATGTTTTAAAGTCTGCTCGCCTAACAGCAGTGTTGCATGGCATAGAGAGACGGCAACCCCCCTCAGCGTTGGCTCGGAGAGAGCTTTCGGTGGACGACTTGATCCATTTCCGGCGATACTTGCAACGTTCAAATTATGCATATGTGGGTCAGACTATGCTGTGGGCAAGTGTAACTCTAGCCTTCTACGGCTTGCTGCGTGCCAGTGAGTATCTGGCGCCTTCTATTCACACGTTTGACAGCCAAAGAGCACTTGTGTGGACGGCCGGCTGTCAGTATCGCACCCGACTCGGTCACGTTGCGGCTGAAAGTCACTAAGACGCGCCAATCTGGCGACGGTGGAACTGTTACGGTGTCTTCTACTGGCGACGAAACGTGCCCGGTACTGGCAATGTCCGAATTCCGGCGCACGACAGCTCAAGCCTGCAGCTCTCAACCTGTGTTCGCTTTTGCTGAAGGGAATAACCTTACTCCGCCATGTTTGAACAAGATACTTCGTCAGGCTCTCAACTGCAACCAGGTGAGCTCCCACTCCATGCGGATTGGTGGGGCGACACTCCTGGCGTCCAGAGGTGCAAGTGAAGCGGTGATACGACGGGCAGGGCGGTGGCGCAGTACAGCTTCTGAGCGCTATGTTCGGCAAGTGGCCGGCATGCCACCCCAATGGACAAGTAGTGTAGCATCTCTACGTGACAGGGTGTGAGTGCAAGTGAGTGTTATGTTCTGCTGACATTAATGATTCCGTGACGATAGGCGGTATACAGATCCCATCATTTAACTATAAGCATTAGGTGGGGTTTGCCATTGTCACTCATGTCGGCCCTGATAAGCAGTGTGATGGATGCGTTTGGCTCCAGGTGTCTGTTTTTGGGAGGGCCACGTATACATGGCTGCTGTGTTGCTGCTGCAATGTTGTGGCAGTGCCATCTTGATGTGATGGACTGGTGTTGTAACAGTGTACCCATTTGCTGTTGCTGGGTACCGTAGTTTGTCAGTTGTGCCTGTTTGAAGTTGCCAGGCCAGCTTGTATTGGTGCGTTCCCGTTTGCTGTTGCCGGGACACCATGTTTGTAACGGCGTACCCGTTTGCTGTTGCCGGGGCCGTGTTTGTACTGGTGCGTTCCCGTTTGCTGTTGCCGGGGCACCATGTTTGTAACGGCGTACCCGTTCGCTGTTGCCGGGGCCGTGTTTGTATTGGTGCGTTCCCGTTGAGTTTGCCGGGGCACCTTGTTTGTAACGATGTACCCGTTTGCTGTTGCCGGGTGACATGTTTGCCAATTGTGCTTGTTACAAATTGCCGTGCTGTGCTCGTTATGAGGCGACAGGAATTATGAGCCATGCATTGGCTTGTGCCCAATGGCTCTTGCTAACACGGCAATTTGCTATCATTGGTGATATTTCAAAGAGTGACAAATGTGAAAAAAAGATAATGGCAAACCCCCGCTAGGTTCTATGCTTGGTGTGCTGGTGCGAGCAAGTTTTGCAAGCATATTGCAATGTGGAATACATGCGTGTGTATACATAATACTTATTATTACGCTTGGCCACAAGGCCTAGCGGGTATGTGCACGCACACTTGGGTGTGCGGTGGCAGGTGCATGCATGTGGGTTTTAAAACTACTTATAAAGTAGTTACCGTAGTTTATAAGTATTAAAGGTTAGTACATGTATATTGTATAACCAAGCAGGCTTTTCATTATACCGGTAGTTATTGCGCTTCCAAACCTGGGCTCTGCGCCACGAGGAGAAGTTGTCTTTCAGCATACGCTAAATGTAATAGCGATGTTTGTGTGGTTGAGGTATTTCTAGGCGGCGCGCAACGCTGATTGTTATTTCAGCGTGTAGAGCTTACCCGAATTAGTCTAGATCTTAGTTTTCAGCGTCGTAGCTGGCTGCGCTCCGACTTTGTTGGAGGTTTCGTGGTAGATGTACATGTAGCTGGAACTGACCATGTCGTATCCCCACTTCAGGCACTTGCGCTCCACTGAGCGGTCAATGAGTGGCGTTGTTGCAGATCTTTTGTGTGCGAACTCCCATCCTATCCAGTTCGCAGGAGCGAAGGCGGTTTGACCAAAGCCGCAAAGGAGCTGTGTTGGACCTAGACAACTGTTACTTGAACTGCGCAGTAAGCTCTGCAATATTATACCGGTATTGAAAAATATGTGCTTGTCCTGGCTGTGAATCTGTGATCACTGACTGAGGCATGCAAACAGAGACACGTCAGGGAGGTGGTTGACGAAGGCCAGTTCCCGTAAAAAAAATTAAAAAATCGAAAATTATTGGTTTGGCCGCACCTGCCGCACCGTACCGGTTCCGACGCCCCTGTTATGTCTGCTTCCCTTGTTCTTCTATATGGGCACAACCACAGCATATTTCCAGGCAGTAGGAAAAACGCAGCTGGACAGGGAATTGTTGAAGATAATAGAGAGGTTAAGTTACACGTTTTTTGCCCTTTTTCAAAACGCGGTGCAAATCTCACGTTACGTGTAATTTTTAGAGGTTAAGTTACACGTGCGACGTGACGTGAAATTTTGCCTGGCAGGATTCGGGTTTAGTACGCACAAATATCAAATCTTCCAACAAACTCGATAAAACTCGATAAAATTCCGGAAACTCGCACAAATTCGGTCGGGATAACCAAGCGCAACTTCCAAAAACTCACGTCATGAACTTACGTGCGGGACAGTCAACTCACGTAAAACACGTCAAATTTTACGTGAGTTTTTTCACTTTTTGACGTAAAAGTTCACGGACGTAAGACTTTTACGTGAAACTTAACCCAAGAGAGAGAGAGGCTAGGAGATAGAAAGTGTCAAGGCTTTCAGAATCTCTTTGTTTATACCGTCACAGCCTGGAGACTTCCCTGTGTAAAACAGCACTGTACTGGACAATAAGCAGCAGTTTCACATGACGATCGTTTTGCCGTATATATAAGGACGGCTCATCAGGTGTGACAATTCCACACAGTGATCGACTTTCTCTCTGGTGGAGCTAAGCCGTTCGTACGTCATCACTGCTCTGGTCGCTATGGCAACGTGAGCATACAATTGGCGATTTGGCAAGTTTGGCTTATTGTATGGAAGCGAGAGATGTGCCATTCGAACCGATATCAAATTGTCTTCCTGCTGGACTAGCTCCACCAAGAATCGCTGCTCTGGGGAGTCTGGTGTTAGGTGATCATGTACTGTGCCAAGATCGATATGTCCCTAGCGTCTCTCTTCTGCTTGCATTTCAATTGAAGCAGACAGGGGCCGTGGCGGAAGCCATGATGAGGTGAGAGACTCATCAGGGGTTTCATTGTTGACTGTGTGAGGCGGTGGACGCAGTGGAAGCACAAGTCTGATGCATCACCCCCAATCAGCGAAAAAACATCAGTTCGCTCCCGGTCAGCTGAGACATTATCTGCCGACCCAGAATCCGGCGTAGCTTCCACATTGTTGGTGCAAGTAACAGTTACTGGGTTCCGCTCCACTGCCACTTCGGACGATTCCTCGTCCGTCAATGCTACTTCCGACAATTCCACGTCCGTGCCCAGAGCTGCACCTGGCCAGCCTGCAGCCGTTCGCGTACTATCCGCAGCAAGCTGTGGCACCGCTGCCTCAATTATTGGGCGCACGGCTGAGGTACACTGCGAATACTCACCCTCACATAATGGTGGAAATGGGGGGATGCCTAGCCCACCACGGCGGCATGGAAGTCCCATTAGCTGACGAAGGGGACTACTACGACCAAGAGTACATAATATGTATGTACTCTTGCTACTACTACTACAGTCAACTTCGCTTATAACGACACTCGGTGGGGCATCAGAAAAGTGTCCTTATTCGCGAAGTGTCCTGATACCCGAAGTCTCATATTACCGTATATCAAGAGTACATAACCCCCCAGAGTGTGCAACGCCTGATCCAGCTCTGCATAGGGTCTTGGTCGAGCGTAATCGGATCTTTGCGTCATAATACCGTACACATCTGAGAGGAACCCGGGGAGTCGCGGGTACTCTTTTTTTAAAAAGAGTTGGCACCTATGAATTCAGGGGATGGCCCACGCCTGGTAAAAAGAAAAAGAAAGAAAAAAGGATGTCTGGCACCTATGAATTCAGGGGATGGCCCACGCCTGGTAAAAAGAAAAAGAAATCATATTTACAAAGAAAACTAAAGAAAAAGAATGTTTGGCACCTATGAATTCAGGGGATGGCCCACGCCTGGTAAAAAGAAAAAGAAAAAAAGAAATCATAACAAAGAAAACTAACTAATAGCGAAAACAATACAGCCATAACAAGAGGTGAGGGTTAACCCAGACGACACTCAGCATTCACTAGAGCTGAGGGGCACTCCAGCTGCTGATCCAAAGGTGCTCGCCTGGATCGATGACCTCTTAAGCTTGCAATCGCCGATCTGATGAGGGCAAACCCTAGGCGGCAACGAAGGTGAGCCATCACCATGGAGAACGGTTCCTTCCGCTTCTCGGCCAGCATTGATGCAATGCGCTTGAGGAAAGCAGAGGCAGCCTTGCCTTGACCACCGGAGGCACAAAACACCAAGGGGACGAACGATGCCTTCTCTACTTCCCTAACACGCTCTTCATAGTGTCGCCGTTTCTCCTTCTCGTGCTTAGTGAACGTGCTGTTGAGGGAGGGAGCGGTGTTCGATCGGACAAAAGGGTTAAATACCCGGACATCAAAGAATGTCCTCTCGAAACGGCCGCCCCACACCCCGCTGGCAGCAACATCTAGGCGGGCGCCATCCTCGCTGATTGCAGTACGATACCTCATCCGTTCCCCGGAAAGGGGCTGGAGAGACGGCTCCACACTTACGTCATGTGCGACGCGTGAAAGCAGTGAGGCGGTGATGTCTCGCAGCTCGTTATGCCGGAGTGACGGATACCCTCCAATAGGGCACGACAGGGCATGCGCGGTGCTGAATGCCTGACCACAGACGCAGGCGGACGGCAGCATTGGAGGGACCCAGCCATAGCGAACATGGATGGCGTCGCGAAAGCCAGCCTTGCTGAGGGAAAAGCCGTGGACTTTCAGTGGCCGGCACGTGAGCCAATTGGAGGCCCCCTTCAGCGAAGCAAGCTCCACACAACGCTGCAATTCCTGTGAAGCGGCTGAGACGACATCCTTGGCGATGGTTGACTCCTTATTCCGCTGTCGGCTGCGGACTTCGGACTTCCTGTGCAGCGTAAGCTGCGTGACGTCGGGCAGGTAGGACATGCCAGAGAGGATTCCCTCAACCAGCGTTTGGGTGATGTGGCAGGATGAAAGGAACTGTTCTGCTAACGAAGAGACGATGATTAGTCCCAGGCCACCCAAGCGACATGGTAGAGCCAGGATCTTCCGTTCGGCAGAGCCTGGAGAGGGGCGACCGAGGAGGGCTGGGAGTAGCAGGTGTACAACCGCCTGCTCCAAGGGCTCCAGCAGGGTAGCTGTGTTGGGTACTGTCCTGGCCACAAATGCCCAGCGATGCCGTAGACCGTGCGTAAAGGTGGAATACGCCGCATGCGGCTGGGAGTGGGCAAATGTAGACAGCTTGTCAACCTCCTTGCACCATGTGTTCACCTTGCCCGTGACATAAGCCGCTACAAATTCCGGGGTGCCGAGTGCTGCACCTAGATGTCGGTACCCATCTGAGCGGACTTGGATACGTGTGTCAGCGAACAATTCAGTGGCACGCTCGAGATGTGCAGGCTTCACTAGTAGTACGGATTTCTCCGGGTTGAGGAAGTATCCATAGGCCTCACCGCGCTGCGATAGGATGTCCCACCAGTGGCGAAGTGGCAGCAGTGTTGACGCTGCTGTAGCGTCATCGGCGTACCAACTCTGGGTGGCTCCACTGCTACGGCATTCTTCAATGAGGGGGATTGTGGCGATAGCGTACATGGCCATGGCGAGCGGGTCCCCTTGGGTGGTGCCCTCACAAGACCACACTGTCTCGCCATCCACAAATAGCTGGGCAGGGCTTCGGTATGTGTTAACAAGAGTTGTCGCCAGCTCGGGACACAGGCATTGGACATTGCGCAGGCATACGTCCCGGTTGATGCGATTAAATGCATTGGAAGCGTCGTACTCTCGGATCAAAAACAATGGTGCCCTGCCTTGTGCTGGTGTGGAGTGTACGCATGACATCACGCATGACATGGGGTTATGTACTCTTGTGGCATGTTCGTTTGGTAGGATCGGGATCCCGATCCACCAGATCCACTGGATTCGCACCCTTTCGATTGCTCGAATCCGGATCCGGATCCTTCGGATTTGGATCCGGTCAACCCACCTCGGGGAGCAGGGTTGACCGGATCCAAATCTGACCTTTGTGCGTATATGGCGGGTAAAACTCGTTTTTGTGCACACGTGGATCGAGATAGAGCTTGCTGACTTTTTGTACAACTGGCGCTGTGAGTACGACTTTTTTAATACTTCGTCCACATGGCAACAGTCAAGGCTCAAAAAAGTGTCCAGTTGACTCTGAAGGATCCGACGGATCTGAGATCTGAGATCTGGATCCCGATCCTTACCAATCGAACATGCCCTTGGTTATACCAAGAGTACATAACCCCCCAGAGTGTGCAACTCCCACATACCCTGTTGAGTGTTGTCCCGACAGAATTTCAAGTTGACGTCATTATTTATGACGCAATGCTCCTTGCAGCAGTGATTTACAACATGTGTACGGGTGTCAACGCATCACACGTTTTTCTTTGCAATAATTTGTACAGGATCGATCGGCTTCGGTCAACCACAGGTTCCGGATTCGTATGATAATCCGTGTACAGTGCGCATTGCATCATCAAAATGACGTCAACTTGAAATTCTGTCGGGACAGCACCCATAGTGGAGTTGCACACTCTGGGGGGTTATGTACTCTTGGTTATACGCATGCACAAGAAACATTCTTCTTCCTCTTTGCTCGAAATAAAACAGCAACAGTTAGACAAAGTCGCCCTCTCCCGTGGAGTTGTAATTTATTAGGCCACAGGTTGGTATGTCCTGGGAAATATCTGTCTCCATGTGAACAAATAGAAATAGGACCTCTGCCATCGTGGGTGCCCAAAAGTTCGCAAAGTAGCTGTTCTGCTGCTTTCTGCGTAGCAAAAGTGTAGATTCTGCGGATTATGTCAATTTATGTGAAAATTGCGGAATTGTGTTTTTCAAAGGGGACAACATAGCGTATAGCTGCACTTTCTGAGGACACAGCGTCAAACACGGACCAGATTACCCGCACTAACTTCACACTGCACTAGAGTTCCCAGTAAAAAGGCAGTAGCCTGTTGGGACTCCCCTAGTAAAGTAATCACAATAGAAACTACTGCACAGACCAACAACTGTAGCAGGAAGGGTACATGTACCGCCGGGTGGACAATTTATTGAGAGATGCTGTACGAAAACACCCTAAAACACAATGCGTACTGGAAATATTGGACGCGCAAATGTTCAGAATACTAGTAGGCAGTGTTAGCAGGGAGTGTTGGAATGCAGCTCTTCAGCCGCGTGAGCTGGGATGACGGTGTGCCGGCAAGCTATACCAAATTCCGGTCTGTGGTGCCACAATCAGTCATGGGCTGTAGCACTATTGAGCCGGAAGATGGTCATTCAAAAGGGGGCATGTGAACGCACATGAACGTTTAAACGAACACACTTACATCGGAAGTAGGATCGAATGCGAATATCACCAGAAAAGCGGCGATGCTATTCAAGCAGCGGTGGTATTCGGGATTATTTAAAATAACATTGACTTCAAAAGAAGTGTGTTGGGGTCAATAAAAATATTCTTAAACGCGCATTGGCGCAGAAGCTCTTAGGCTAGTTGAAAAAAGAAAAGAGAGGTAGAAAGCCTAGAGCTGGCCTTGCAATGGCAAAATCATTTTCAAAAATCCAATGGGAGCTTTCTAGGATATACATGAAGCAGATCAATACGGAAAAGAAAAGAAAAAAGGACATATTGGCAGAGGCAGCAGTTAAGCAATTGGGAATAAGGGGCAGGGGTGTGTGCAAAATGCCAATATTGGCGAAGAACGATACAGGTGAAGAAACAAGCAAATGGGTAGCAGCAATCAAGCAGAAGACCAGCTTCTTTAGATGGCTGCCTGGAGGACTCCAGGGCCAAGCATGTTGGAGCGAATATTGTTGATGATATCGGCACCGGTTGCATCTGAATGAGAAAGAAGAAGTAACAAGGAAAAAGCGCGACAGTGAGCCTTCGTACATATCCTCCCTCGGCGATCATTTACAAAGTGGCGAACCATAAAAATGTAGGGGTGACTGGGCCATTCACAGATTCGTTAGAGCCTTAGAGCCCCGTTCTAAGCCAAGCAGAGCGGGACAGGCGCAGGTGCAGGGGTTCGTCATCATAGTATTGGTAACAAATCAACAGAGCACATCGTCAATAATGAGGCAGAAGTACTGACAGTACTGACAGTGCTTCCACCATGCCTTTGGCGCTGCATACTGCTAGATGATTATTCCTTACCATGCCGGCTGCTATGAATTTCTGTGATGGACCTTTGATGAAATGCAGACTTTTCTGGCGGGTCCATTCCCCCACTGCAGCATTCACAAGTTGTCACTACCTCTCCCCCCCCCCCCCCTTCCCCTCCCCATCGGCCCACCCCACTGATTGCTCCTACTCAGTTCCAATTACACAATACCCAGTAAGCCAGCTCTAGATGCTCATGGTGTACAGTAGGTATTGAAATCCTTGAACAGCAGTATTTTATTGAATCATGCAACAATGGGACTTTCAAGGGACCTTTCAGGACAAGACAAGATGAGAAAAATTGCAAACAAGGTAAAGAGAAGTTGCAAATCCTTATTCCGAGATGCCTTGGTTCTACAATGGAACAAAGACCGATGTCACAACAGGCAATCTCAGTCTCATTGTTGTTCCCAACAGAAAGGACAGAAGCATTGTGTCAGCACAAGGGTTTGTCCCATGAAGATAACTACCTTCACACTATCCTAATTCATGAGCACTTACTGGGCGAAGATTTCTTTGCATTGAGGTAGAGTTCAGCAACACTTGTCATGGCTTTGTACAAGAAGATGTACTGAGCCTAGAAAGGCGAGATATTCCAAAGGAGAAAAAATCAGCAAATTAACACACTTCATTTACGAACGTGTAAACACCTGAAGTACCATGGTTGAACGGGACTGAGACAGGCCCATCACTCGCACATATGCATGCAAGCACACACACGCACACACAAAGTGTGTGCATAAAACAGCATCAGTGAAACAGTTGTGTAGAGTGTAGTTCACCAGGTAAAACTGCTCGAAGCAAGAGCACATAGATCAGATGGCGCAGCCTAGCAAGCGTGTGCGACAGTGAAATTCATCGTCACTTTGATGAGCCATGCAGTACGCGACTGAAGTATTGCATTTCATTAGCACAACTTGCGCACGAGTGACGTACATGACAACTCTGCATTTCTGGCTGCCTACTGAGATGCAGTCTCTGGTTAATGTACTCGAACATCTAAGTGTAACTCTAAAGTCAAGGGATCAATTTTGGGATAAGGGTTCATGTAAAAAACACACACACATCTACCCACCCACCCACCCACACGCACACACGCGCGCGCACGCACACACCCACCCACACGCACACACACGCACACACGCACACACCCACACACACCCACACACACCCCCACACACACACGCACATACACAAAGATGATATAGGTAGTCAAGAAACTGACCTCAGTTTGAACCATCAAGTTCCTCTGCATGCGCATGGCACAGATGGTGCCGTAGACATCGATGGTTGGGCGGTACACAAGGCGTTGCAGCAATGTGTCAACACAGATGAAGGTGCCTGTGCGACCAACACCAGCACTGCAAACGGAGGAGAGTAATGGCACATGCACAACAGGATACATCAGGTATAGCATTGAACAGGTACAAGTAATAAATGAATGCACAGAGGCTAGATGTTGGGGGAAAGTCTCGGCTAGAGAACGGCGACTATCCCACTGACAGCGAATACGCTACTCCATAAAACACGGTACTAACTGCTGTCACCGCAAGTCGCACAGTTTTCTGGCCTTGGAAACCACAGCGAAAGGCAGCACCACTGGGATTGCGACTAATAGCCTCGCATATGCACACAGAATGTCGCACTGAAGCGTATGTCATTTTAGTATTCTTTGTTTGTGTGGATGAAAAGGCATGTCATGTAGATTCAAATACCCCCCCCCCCCCCCCCCTTGCACACACACACACACACACACACACACATAATGTGCGACATGTAACGTTGCATTAGAAAGAGCAGGCACGCATGGACTCTGAGCCTTGTTGTTTCCTGCAACACGTACCTGCAATGTACTGTCATAGGTGCGTCACTGTTGGCTGGGACATACTGGCGTACTGTGAAGACGAAGCGGATGAGAACGTCTGATGTGGCCGGCACACCATGATCAGGCCAGGACTGGAAGGCTAGATGATGAACGGTCTTCTCAGTTTGACCCTATGGCAGAACGTAGAAGTGAAGAAACAATATAATTATAGACTTGGATGGATGATTGGACATTAGAGCGTATCTTGTACATCCTTGGTCCTTTTCTTCCCTATAATATATTGAAGAAACATTCCCTGCAGTATTTAAAAAAATGTCTGCTTGAGACTTCGCATTCTCTAAAGTATTGCGAAACTTTGCAACATATTGAATGTTTGCTTTCGAAGCCTGGAAACATTGCAGAGCACTGGTCTTCATCTCCTGAGAGTCCTGGGAGTGCTGGCAAGAGAATACGGCAAGCAGGCCATGGAATAGGGGGGGGGGGGGGGCAGTTTTGCAAAATGGCTCTACATGTACTTTCAAAAAACAAACTATTGCCAGCCGCTTGGTCATGCCAGAAACTGCTAGTAATCGGACAAGTACACACCGCTCCTCTATAAACATTGATACAATGGCCAGGGCACAATTCAGGCTGCGACACAGCCAAACCACAAAAGCCGGCTAAAATTCCAGATCAGGCTGCCTGGGGAACATCTGTTGAGGCCAGTTAACAATATCGAGGCCAAGCAAAGAAGTTGGACTCACATCGGAGACTAAGATCTTTCGGACGTGCCAGTCAGTGTTGCTGGTATCCTCGGACAACAACGTAACAGTCAGCTCTCCATGCTCAAATGGTTGATGAAGCTCTTCCGGCCAGTACTTGTGGCATTTCACCTGAAACCAGAACACCAAATGCAGACGGCATTGTTGAAGTGGCTAGTCCATGATTGCAATACGGCATAAATCACTTGGCATACATCTGGAATTGGTATGATAGAAACATGGTTATAATGTACATACTGTATTGTACAAAAAGTCCATCTCTTATTATTATTATTTATTCAACATCTTATGGCTTCCGATGGCAGCCAAAACGGGAAGATGTGGGTGATAGCCAACCATGGTAAAAGAAGGAGAAGATTATATACATGAAAAGGAAACAGCCGAAAAGCTATATTGATTAGTTTTTTTTACTTGCAAGTATAATTATTATGGTGCACTCAGTCATCAGCAGTCCCTCAGATTCACTTTAAATTCTTTCAATGATGCAGAAGTCTTCACTCAGTCGGGAAGTTGTAGCCACGCACAGTAGCCCTGGAAGAATGGCTCCACTCCAAGTGTAAAGTCCGTCTCTTATACTAGCACACTCCAAGTGTATAAATCCTGTTGTAGTTTCATCATTCCCTTTAGTCATGAATTCCATCGATAATTGCGACAAGAAAACGTTCTAGAGTACTACATGTATATTTGTTGCTATGGTTGTGATATGAGTGCGCATATAGTTTTATTCATTGCATTATCTGACATAGAAGCTTGTTTCGAACAGGTCAGCAGCCTGATTTTTTAAGCCTGGCTTTCATTTCGATGTATGTAGAGAAAAGGTTTGAAATCAAGCCCAATTCAAATAGAAATCATGATTCCCCCGCGCCTGCATGTACATAAACCAGCCCAGCTTGGCACCTACATTCATAGCAAGCCACTTACACGTGAGCGCTCTAGGAGTTGAGTAACCATGGCAATGACCGGGACATTGTTGTCCCAAATCATGCACCAGAAGTCTGCGGCAGTCTGCGGCAGTGGTCCTTGGCAAGCAATGTACACATTCCTCTTGCGATATCCCTACGGGCAAATGAAAGGAGTAGTGGAGGAGAAGAGATAATTAGGCTGTTAAAAAAAAAGACTTTGCCGTGCAAGGTAAGAGGCAACTAATTGCAAAACGCATGGAAGAACCACACTATCACAAACAGTCACCTATTCCACTATTCTTTAGATGAAAACCATTACATCAAAAAGAAAGAATTTTCAATGCACTCTGTAAATCCCATTACACAGGCAACAAAAAGTCAAGAAACGCATAGAACTTACATGAATGAAGTTGGCGTTGATATAGTCACTAAGGCCAGTTCGCGGTGGAAGTACAACACGAGAGTGATCGTATGCCAAGATGTTGGTGTAGCGGTTCTTTGGCTTGTTCACTTCATGCCTGGACACGGTAGCGAGCTGCGATGTACCGACTGTTTTGATGAAATCAAACTCTTCAGCAAAGATAAGGTCATCATTGGCACTGCGCACTCGAGTCTCTCCTTGCATGTTGGAGACCTCAATGGGCTTACTCATCGTGGTGTCCTCGACGGGCAGTGATGGTTTGGTGCTAAGAGAGTCCTGTCTAGGCTCAGATGATACCTGAACACGAGATGGTGAGGGACTTTTGAAAGAAGAAGTGTCGTATGCTGTGTTGGGCTGAGTCCTGTCTCCTATAGGAGATGTCACTGCATCACTCTTGCTCATGCTGGATGTGCGCACAATTTCATTAATCAGTGCGTCTGACTTGGGTGTTGTGTACTTTTTCAAGTTGCTCATTGAGTTCTTGTGCAGTTCTTCAATATTCATTGACCTGTAGCACAAAGGAATAGCAATGCACATAGAAAGCAATTACACCAACACAACACCGACCCCGCCATCTGCCATGTGCTTATTTTTTACACAAACATTCGTATTTTATGATAAGAAACAAACAGCGAGCTAGACCAAGTAACTTGTCGACATGCAAAGACTACTTCGAGCGAGAAGGCTATACATATGGCACGAAAAGCGACGCACTTACATTCCCCGAATTTCGGAATTATCAAGTTTTCAGAATCTGGAGGGAGGAGCCAAAAAAGTAGTAAAACTTCCGGGAGTATGGTGGCGAAAGTGCATGGTTTTCCGAAAACAGCTCGGTTCTTTCCGGCTTTGCCGGGCATGCGACAAATTTCGGTTTTGGCGCTTTCTTTACTCAACATTCTGTTTTTGCATGGCAACCATTGGAAATGAAGTGGAATCAGATTTTCGGAATGCAAAACAATGAAAATGGCATTTTCGGCAAGTAACAGTTACTTTCTTTTCGGAAAGACACAGTGCAAAACCTCTCTAATATTGCTCTGTTTGGGATTAGCCAAATAAAACCAAGATGTACTTGCAATGCTAGCCAACTGCAGCAAATCAGGCAAACCGGAAGAAAAGAAGCTCACCACCACTTACTTAGTTTGGAGTTTTCGGTGGTAGACGAAACCAAAAATGGCAGCCGCCCCAAGTAGTAGAATAAGGACAACCACAACGGCAATAACCGTTCCAGAAGAAGATTCTGAGAGAGAGAGAGAGAGAGAGAGAGAGAGAGAGAGAGAGAGAGAGAGAGAGAGAGAGGGAGAGTTCAAAAAGCATGCACACACCAGCCATGAGCAATACATATTGAAGTCGTGGGGAGCAATGGGTAGAATGAAAGAAACGGGCACACTTCACCTCTATACCTCCTACATATATCATTTGTTCTCCTAAGCTCGTTATCATTGTTGAGATGATTTTCCTTGATGACAGTCTCATGAAATTTGATTAGGAAATGTCTTCATTCATAATACCGGAATATCATTCTGCTACTTCAACGTGCAATGTTAATACTTTGCACAGCTCTAGTAGAACTCCTGTCTCCACATCATGTGAGATTGAAGAGAGCACAGGGGAGGGTGGGGTCACTATTCATTAGCTGACCATCGGTACCCTACCTGCAGGAGTAGTTGTGCCGAAAGATCCAGCCACAACATTTGTGGAAAAGGCCAAACGCAGTGTTGCAATGTCTGCACTCAGTGCGTTTGGAGATGGGCCGCTGGTGACAGCACTAACAAGAATCCTGGAATGGACAACAGAAAGAAAATTTATATTATTGTAAGCAGCCAGAGCAAAAGGAAGTGATGGCTGAAGTAGCAGATCTCAATAGGGCGGAGTACAAAATTCATTTGAATACATCGCATACTGAGTATGGCGCTCTGTCACCTCCTGAATGTGATGACCAACATGAGAGGTTTCCCGAGCTATTCACGGGGAGGGGTAAGACTCTATGTGCTTCATTCTATCAGCACTGCTTGCCACTGCTTACCACTGCTGACCACTGCTTACCACTGCTTACCTGAATTCTATCAGCACTGCTTACCTGAATTCTATCAGCACTGCTTACCTGAATTCTATCAGCACTGCTGCTTACCTGAATTGGCTTCCAGATGGCAAGGGAGGATTACACACAACTGAACAGGATTGAGGATTGGTCTCGGAGCCGAGTTGTGCAATGGACTGAAACAGATTGGCAGAAGAGGAACACAGTATACATTTACAGCAGCAACACCACAGGATACAGCACCGGCAAACATCTTACACTTGTATACAGTCGCAACGAATACGCACACACACACGCTTGCATGCGCGCGCACGCGAACAACAGACTCCCTGTTGTACGGAAAAGAACACAACACGAAGTAGCAATGCGCAGAACTTACCGTAGTCCCTCCAGTTGATGAGGAGATGTTGAAACGAGGTCCATACAGAGCAATGTATGGCGGGCATGGGCATGTCCTGCACTTTGAGTACTCAGTGTATGGAACAGCAGCAGCTAAAGAGGATAGCATACAAAATCAACAAGAAGATCTTGTAAATTAACAGAGCCGCAACATGTTGGTTGTATGGCACCACCAAGCAATGCATTAACAGATGGGGACACGGAACAAACTGAGATCAGCAAGAAAAAGAAAGTATGTAGTTGCACTGAGGTGCACTAGCTCTGCACAGTTAATATTTGCATTTATTCATATCATGTCCATCGCCTGGCTACTACAATACACAGTAGTTCATGCACAATAGCAGCACTCTCAATCTCACCATTGCTGTACTTTCCACCACACGCTACAGCCACTTCTATCATATAGTATTCGATCTTGCCGTGAGTCTCATCATCTGCCGGAATGGTAACTAGGATATGGCGTGTGGAATCATAGTTTGGTGCAACTGACACAAATACATTCGGTGGCACAGTAGGTAACATGGCAGTGCCTATCGGCAGCTGAACAGTTGGAGCAGCTGTAGAAAGAGAAGCAGAAGAAGCAGAGCCCTCGCATATGAAGAGAACAAGTACAAGGCGGGGAGCATAACCCAGTCTGGAAATACTTCAATTGAAAGTAATCCAAGCAATCAGCAATTAAACGCTACACCAGCAGTGCAGCAGAGCACCAAGGCTGTCAATACGTGTAGCTGTGCATAAAGTAGTTCGCCATTTGCATTCAAGTCAACTTGAACTCACCTTGTACAGGACTGTTAAAGCTGATAACAGTGTTGTTGTTACTTGGTAGGCCACCAATGTAGGCAATGACCTTGGAGAAGACATAGAAAAGCAAGGAGTCAGGAGTCAAGCCAATAGTGCTGATTACTGTAAAACACGTAATTTTCGGTGTAACTTTAATTTCGGTGATTTCGGTAGAGAAACCAGGCACCTAAATTTAAATTACATCTAAAAGGCACTAGAGTATGCACTGTATGTGAAGGGAACGCTGCTCACCTAATTCTAAATTACACCTGAAACCTGGCAGGTCCCTGGCACCGAAATTGTAATGCACCTAAAATTACATGTTTTACAGTATGCATGAAAGTTGCTCGCAACGGAACAACTTATGTTCAGTCTTTCGAATGTCATTTACCTCAAATGGTTCTTCACTTTCGGCATCACACTTTGTGGATTGAACAATAAAGATGACTGCAGTACATCAATTCAGAACTGCAGATCTGCTGCGAAGGAAGTTTTCAGAGAGCTGCAAACATACCTCAAATGTGTACGAAGTGGAGCCGGTCAATTTGCGAAGAACAAGAGAAAACGGCCTGTTTAGCTCAGTGCCAGCAGCCTCATTCACAGGTAGCGAATCATAGAGTGTGTCGTTGAGAATAACCTGTACAGAAGGAATCATTAAAAGCATCACAAGAACAATGGTGTATAGATAGTATTAGATACAGTAACAATGGTGTATAGATAGTATTAGATACAGTAACTGCACTGACGTACCCTTACATCTGCACGAGCATGTCAAACGCCAATGCAACATAATGAACACCCCTGCAACCTTTTTGGATTGCGTGCATTGCATTAACATGAATTCCTTCAGAGTTCCTATGAGCCGCAGAGTCTGGCAGCTGTACTTACCAGTCGTCCATTCACCGACACCCTCTTTGTTGCCTTGCGAAGAACTTGGTACTGCGTAATGATGCCATTCAGTACAGATGGAGATGTCCAGGAGACTGTGACATGAGCAGGCTGGCCACTAACTAAGGTAGCAACAGTATTGCTCACCGAAAGTGGATCTGAAAAAACAAGGAAGATGCAAAAGGCATGAAGCCTGAACTTGATATACGCTGGCAATGACACAGCTCAGTCAATCTGGACTTGATTTGCCTGATGCAAAAGAGAGACCATATAATTATATTGGGAAGACGCAAGCCCGGGCAAATTAGCGTAAACAAATACTGACACTGCTACTCCCTGCTGTGTACGAATGACTTACTCGTGACGGCTGATCTGAAGCTTCCATTGACTGACGGTCCACGACCAGCAGCGTTAGCAGCTACAATAGAATAGGAGTAGTTGTAGTAAGCTTCCAGGCCTCTAACAACTGTTGTAAAGGTGCTGCTAGTTACATTGAAATCTTGCAAGAACGAGGTCAAATTGCGACTGTCAGATGACCAAACAATGATGTGGTAAGCTTGAATAATACCATGATGGAATGTTTCATTCGGGGCATGCCAAGACAGTCGAACAGAATCATGCTGGATCTCCAGAACAACTCCCAAAACTCCAGCACCGGGTGCTTCTTCAATTGTAAATATATTGATCGCTGAGGAAACATTGCTGCAGCCAATCAAGGTGCAGCTTGACACTGATAGACTGTAAGTTGTATTTGGGTGGAGATTGTCGAAAATCTGACTATAGGAGTCAGCAGAAGTCTCCTCCGGCACGCCAACACGATGAGTACAGCCGGTTAGTGGGTCTTGTCCAATAGTGCCATTTAATGAGTCCTTATTACGTTGGTAGGTGACGCTGCGCATGTTTGCAAACTGCAATGGGAGAAAAAAAGACAAGTGAATAGGTCCAGCCCATGGTCACAAACAGTAAACAACAGAATAGGAAGCTTGCTATAGCATCGTCATCCCACTTCTATGAACTTACAACATTGGAAACCTTATATGCAAGTTGAAACTAAATGGGGAATCATAGTACACATATAAAATGCACATGCACAGTGACTTACATGACCTGCAGAAGTGAACCGCATGAGTGTGAAGACGTAATGAGTGATGATACCATTACGTTCTGTCACAGCCATCGGTGACCACACAGCTTCAAAATTTCTGGAAGAGATTCCTTGAACCGAGAAGACTGGATTTCCAATGGGAACTGCATGGCCGACATATTGCACAACAACACGCACACGCAGTATGCACACATACCATACACAAGGGCATAGGCACAGGCATAGGCACACACACACAAACACAAACATTGTGAAGCAATTAAAATTCCAGAGAGTGGTAGCAGAGGATAGCAGTGATGTGACAGTGCCCAGTCCATATTGGGATACACGGGTACAGTCTAGTACAGTAGAACTCCCTATTCGGGCAGGTTGGGAGCGAGCTCTGTTTCCTAATTAGGAATTGCCCACGACATAATAAACACTTAGTGAAGTGAAAAGATGACAAATCCACAATGGAGCTTCAGGGTTCTTTAAAAAAAAGTAGATGCAAGTCACTTGTTATGCCTATCAATAATACTATCAATAATACCCTTGGGGTCTTTTTCGGTCGAAAATCCCGGTTATGTGAGCCCTAATGGGTAAGAAAGGTGCCCGGAAGACGAAAGTGCCCTGGAATAGGGAATTTTACTGTATGACATCTTATCTTGGGTATTGGGTTTCATATAACAATATCACAAAGGAAATGTTACTTCAAGTAGAAAGGTCTTACTTACCACTTTGACAAGTGACAAAAGACACGTTGGAATTAGTTCCCGGACCGGTCAATGTGGAGGAGTAGACTTCAACCCAATATCGCACAAACTCGTCCAGAGAATCAAGCACATGTGAAAACGTGTTCACAGCCAGATTGAATGTGACGTTGCTCTTATTAGATACAAGTGTGTTGGTCAAAACCAATGTAGTACCAACTGGTATTCCATGATAGTTGGATGGACGAGCCCAGGTAATATTGGAAGCTGTTGGGGCTACAGATGAGAAGTTCAACTGCTCGACAGCCTCAGGCACTGGGAAGGAAATCACAAAATGAAATGAAACAGACACACTCCGAATGAAACTACAATATTCAAAGTGCTATCTGCGGCTACAAGTACATTGTCGCCACTGTTGAATGGAAAGAGTGCTACAAAACACAGGCAACCGATTTTCTTAAAGCAATGAATTACCTGACTCTCCGGTGAAAATCAGAGCGCGGAATTCCGGCCCCTCTTGGCCCAGGCCATTATAGGCAGTAATTGTCAGCACATAGCCGGTGAAGCTTTCGAGTTCAGGTCCACCAACAGTCTGCAAGGTACAGGGAAGCAAGTTCAAGCACACACACTTCTATACAGTTCTATACAGTTCTACAGTTCTATTTCGACATTTGAATACAAGAACGCCAAAGTGTAGATTCGGTGTCTGTCTTGAAAGCCAACTGGACAGTAAATGTGGCTGACTGTGCATAGATCCCAAGTAGCCTTGTACAGGCAGTTATGTACAGGCAGTTAATGTTTAAAATAGTCACATCACAAGTGTCCCTCCATCCACCCCATCCACCCCTGAAAAAGCATGAAGACGAAGGCAAGGCGAAAAATAGATACAATAGATGCGACATGTTGCACAGGAGCACGCCCGGACCGTACCAAGGCTACAGAATAGGGGACAAGCGACACAGGACTTTGCAGAGCATTCAACACATAGCTGTACAGGAGACATGCCTAAGCAACGTTGATCACCAGTACCGCAACTGGAGGTGCAAAACTTACTGTTGATACGCTTTCTCTTGATGATGACACAGATCGGTTGGCTGTAGCCAGGGTAACTTGTGCATCTTGAACACGCAGGACATACCCTCTGATAATACTGTTGCGGTCTACCTCGGGAAGTGCCTCAAATGACACTCTCAAAACAGCACTTGACTGAGTGACAGTTCCATTAGCTATCACAACATTCTGGACAATGCCAGTTGGTGCTGGATACAGAAGAGAAAGAAAGCAACAGTCTCAGTGATATAGGGACCGGTAAGTGACGGCAGCTCCAGGGTCGTCCTAAGCCGGTGTAGTGTTCACACATACATATATGGACTGAACACTACAGCCGGGTGGCCATCACAAACAGATGCATCCCGCTGCTCACGGCAAGACACAGCAAGGGTACGATGTACGATAATTATTTTACCAGTACAGTTCATAAACATCACAGGCTGAAATGGCAAGAGAAGGGCAGGGAAGCCTTGACCATGGAGTCATGGGGAAGCCTTGACCATGGAGTCATGGGGAAGCCTTGACCATGGAGTCATGGGGAAGCCTTGACCATGGAGTCATGGGGAAGCCTTGACCATGGAGTCATGGGGAAGCCTTGACCATGGAGTCATGGGGAAGCCTTGACCATGGAGTCATGGGGAAGCCTTGACCATGGAGTCATGGGGAAGCCTTGACCATGGAGTCATGGGGAAGCCTTGACCATGGAGTCATGGGGAAGCCTTGACCATGGAGTCATGGGGAAGCCTTGACCATGGAGTCATACTACAGGTGTGAGATACATGTACTTGTAAAACACATGTACTTGTAGAGGCTTTCGCTAAAAGTGCCTTGCAAGACAGGCAACATGATTGAGTATCCAAAGTTCAGGGCTGGATGGAAGATCTATGAAATTCTAGTCTGAGAAGGGCAAGCAAAGTAGATCTTACCATCTTCCAAAGTTGTAGCATTGGTGTTTGTTGTGACCACGGAGCAACCGATCTGCGTGCAGGTTGTCACTGCAAATGTGTACAACTGGAACTTCCTCAAACCAGAGATAACAAGTGCCCGGGCGTCCTCGTGATTATCGGTGATGGGGACAGAGAACGTGCGTGATCGTGCAATCGGCGAGAGCGGACTGCTGAAGGCCACCCTATAAGCCGTGATGAGACCATTCCTATTCAACAGGGCTGGCGGAGACACAGTCAAGCTAATAGAAGTAGAGCTTACAACCGTTGCCTTGACAGCTGAAGCAGATGTGGCAGGCGCTGTAGAACAATAGTCAATACAAGAACAAGGACAGGTTTCAATTGTTTGCTGCATGGATCAGGCTGAGAACGTGTGATCGATATTGAAAGTCTCAATGGACATCAAGCACAATGCAATAAAAAGTCCTCGTCATCCTACACTACAATAGTAAATAAAAATATGAAGCACTAGAAACGCGGAGTTTGTCCTGGGGTCAGGTGCTGTTCCGACAACATCACATGCCATCAACTTTCAACCTATAGTCCATTTCAAAAAGATTAGCAATCAGGTTTTGGTCTTAAAAAGTATGAAGATAAGGGAAATTCGGGCAACAAAGTACATAGAATGGCTTGTTAGGACACGGCAAATTGTTCTGTGAAAGTTTCGAAACAATTGGACCAGCCGTTAAGGAGTTAGAATTTCGGCCAGGTTTCCGGCCTTTTCCCATGGTTTACAATTTGCCCTGGATGTCAGTATCGATTTTGTATCAAAACCCACGATTTATCCTTTCCTTTTTGGCCTTGTGGTTATGAATGCTGTCTGCTGACCATGAAGTTGTGAGTTCAAATCCCAAACTATCTTCAAGTCAAACTTTTTTTCATTGTTTTGGTGATCACGCTGGTACAAAAGTACAAGCCAAAGATGAGAAGGACTGGGTGGCTGCGCCAAACGACTTGTTGTTGTTGGAGCTCGCGTTTCCTGCCGAACAAAGACACTTGACTGGTTCACGCCATGTGAACACACCCACAACACTGAAACGGTGTGAGTGAACACGGAAGTCATTGCGCTGTAGCTACGTGTTGTTGCACATCGATCGATCGATTTCTCTTTGAGAATTATTAATTATTAAAAAGTATTTCAAGATCGCCACTTTATTTGAATTTAGGAGTCAACGCCGTCTTCTATCAGCTTTCACAGGCGTCTGCTTTTCTCAAAATGTCGTCGAAGTCACACGGATAGCTTTGCCAAGTCATGGCCTTGGGAATGAGTCTGTGTCGATGTCGTTTTCGTCACATCGTGAGAGTAAATTGCATCGCAGCCGCAGTCAAAGAAATTGGGCACGAAACGAATTGGGACCCATCCCGCTCGTCAACATTTACCACACTTCCGACATGTCCTCTCTGTCCATATCGATACGAGGAAGAACTCGTTTGTTGTAAACCAGACGTACATGTACCGACGAGAGTGAGTTGTCATTTTTTCATTCTTTCGCGCGGATTATTTCTTCGAATTCACAGTGAGTTTTTCCAGCCAGCTCTCGAGCGCGCATACGGTAAGACGGCAAACTCCCCGGGCGATCGCCAGGATTGCTAATCTTTTTGAAACTGACTGTAGGCACAAACTTGAGCAATCCAAGTCATTACAAGCATGCTTGAAAGCAGATCTCACCAGATTCCAAAGTAGAAAATAGTACAACCGCAGTTTCTACGGAGCACTGTGGCGTCCCATTAGCTGACGATGTGCAGGCCGCCATAAACCCAGCATAAATAGCACCCTCCTCCAAGCCATCAAAAGTGAATTGGGCGAACTGTGAAGCAGGGCTTACCTGCAAAGATGTTACCATAAACAAATACAAATGGCACGTAATGAGGGGAATTCATATTGTAAAAATTGATCCAGCGTGGCCGAAAGAGATCCCCAACACTACGGGAACAAGGATGCACATCAATTTGAAAATTGCCTCTTATAAATCGCTTTTCACTTTCCACACAAGTCACAAGCTATCAAAAATCCATGACACGCTTGCGATTGCAATGAAAACAAAGCTCAGAAGTTAGTTCACCGTACAAGTGTCAGCAAAATACACTACTAACCTGGCGAGTTACATTATTTATAGGATCTGGGCTAGGACTGGGAGCAGCATTCACAAGAGTACGTGGCACTGAAAAACGGTAATGAGTGATAGGACCGTTGGAATCCAAAAGACCAGGAAGTTCAACAGTCAATGTGGCCGTAGTTGACGTTGTTGTTTCCAATGTGACCCGTCCACTGGCAGAGGGTTCTGGACACCGACAACATTGAATTTAATTTAATTTACAGCGAAGGCAACCAATGATTACAACTTTGCTACGACTTTGAACACTCCAAACACAGATTTGCTATGACTTTGCATATGCAAGCCATGAATCCCAACATGGGAATCTGGCTACCATATTGACTGGCAGCTGTGTGCATGTACGTGTTAAAAAAGACAACATAACTAAAAGATTCCGTGTTCGCTTATAACAGAGTAGTAACAAAGTGTGATGCACTCAATCCAGAAGTACAAAATCCACATGCTCAATTGCTGGCAACTTACGAAGACGCATAGATTTTGTTATATTGAATGGAATTTGACCATCTCTGAAAATTAACACAGTTTAGTGGGGTTCAAGCTATTTGTGCATGAACTATGGCATGTAAAAGAGGAAGACCAAAATGTTGCACATTTTGACTAACAGTCCACCACTATGAAATGATTTGTGATTCACATTGCCTAGAATAAAAAATACCATTTCGTTTGGGAAATTAATGTTGTTCGCCCGTGCAGTACGATGTAATGTCTCCATTCACCAATCACAACTTTCAACCAACCACAACACAGCATTATCCATGTGGGAAGAAAGAAGACTGAAGAACCTACCATCAGTCAAAGTAGTAAACATGGGTGCCTGCATCTGATCACTGCATCCATCAACACTGCATGCCTGTATGGCTACACTGTAGGTGCTGCTGGGCTCCAGGGCCAATGAAGAAGAAGCACAGTTCTGTCGAGTTGAAGAACTTGCAATTCTCAGCTGCAAAAAGCAAGAAAACAGGAAATTTTATCATCTTTTGCAAGATATTATAAGCGGGAACACACACTTTGCTTTTTGTGTGCAGTTGGCCGGAAGCGCTAGGTCCAACATTCACAGGCAGTATTGTTAGATGAACAGAAAGCAATGTAGAACATGTCATCACACTACTGGCAAGGAGATCCATTAAAAGACGGCAACAACAACGCCATACGTGGACAAAATGGAAACTCACCATCACAGGTGTTGCCGATTGCCTAACATTCTGCACCCTCTCAAGAGTGTAAAACACAAGGTAAGAGGTTACTGTGCCATGCTGCAGAGCTTGTAGCGGAGGTGAGAAGCAAACCGTGAAGCTCGTGGGTGTGAGGTCACTAACTGTAGGTGTTCCGCTGAAGGCAGCTTCTGGTCCTGTAGACAAGTACAGAATTGTCAGATAAGGTTAGGTGTGGCCATGATGTGTGAAGCATGCTGCTCAAAAGGTTCTGATGCCGATTACTTCGGACAACCAACAAGAGCGAAGAAGATCACAATTCTCAATGCAAAGAGTGCACATTTCATTCTATTGAGAACTTAATTTTGTCTCCAAAGAGACTACTCGTATGCTGGATAACTCGCAACAGACTAGGCCATAATTATAATCTTGACAATGCATCAACACGTAACTGATGGCTTGCAGCAATAGTCTACTTTGAAGAAGTTGGCTGCTCCCAACGTGAACACTAACTTCCTCAGGTGCTACCGCTGAAAGCACTGGCCTATTTCTATCGTTCACAAAGTATGCACATGGAAGAGACAGGAAGTGTACAGGATAGAGAACGTACGTGTTGTTGCAGTTGTTGTTTGGAACACAGGGCTGAGCTGGCTTTGATGCTGGTAGGTACTGTTCAGAGAAGAGCTACTGTAAACACGAGACTGAACACTGTACTGAGTATTGGGCTTCAGGTTTGTGAACAATACTGAGGCATCGGGTGCGGCCTCCCCAATGGCATGGCCAGGAACGGTGGCATTGAGCAGAATAGATGATGTTTCACCAGATTGAGTAAGGATGGCTTCATATGCCGTCACAAGACTGTTAAGCTACAACAAGAGAGAGAGAGAGAATTACAACCAAACGTATGCACGCAAACACATACATTTAAAACTCGGGATGTACTAACAGTGGGAAGACATTTATTATTGACGGAGAAACGGAGAGAAAGACGAACTAAACGACTACATAGACATTATGAAAGAGAAAGAGAGAGAGAGTGTGTGAGAGTTTGAGAGAACGTGCTAGACAAAAAGGCCTGGGTAGCTATGGCAAAAATGGGCGCGCAAGTAGCTACCCAGGCCATTGGAACGACAGGTGAGTACGCACGTGGTGCATACAGCATTACAGGCAAGCTAGAAAAGGTTGCAGAATGTACGGGAGGAGGTACCTGACAACACAATAAACCTGGTAGACAGCCCGCTCAACATGGCACGTGCTTCGTTTGGAAACATAGCAAAACAAATATGCACTGGGCTACGTTTCACTGATGGTCACGACTCTATGTGCTACGACACAACTTACCTCTAGAATGGGAATGGAGTTTCCATTAAAAGTGACATTGAGAGTTGAGATGAAAGTGATGTTGTCACTCAACGAAGAGAACATTACATCTGGGGCACGGTCGGCAGCTTTTACAGCGGAGAAAAAAAGAAAAAAAGTGGAAATTAGTACAGTGTTGCATCAATAGTAACAAGAACCACTCCTGGCGTTCCAGCCAACAGGCAAATGACCGTCCAGGGTATAAGAAGTACGGGGCACAAAGTTTAAAACGAGAAAAATGCAACGTTACAGGAGTGCCACTCCTTCTCTCTTCTGGACTAGAGAAATAAAAGACGGGCGTTTGATGGCAGGGTCGTTGTACCCGCCGAGTGGGGAAATTTTGCAAATCTGTAATTCTCGTCACGCTTTCAACTCTTACATTAGGCTACACAGGAGGAAAGTCAAGCACCAGGTCAAGTCCAGATTGGAGTTAATGATAGCTTCCATGCCGTCCTACCGGTAGGACCCAAGAAATCGCGCCGCAAAAGTGCTTTTGGTTCGGAAATTTCTTGAAACAATTGTTGTGATGAGGTCTTTGTCAGGCAAAGTAATGGCGGAAAATGTAAGACTATGTCTAGTGCATTGCATATGTGCAATTTTATCAATTGTCAAAATGGCCGCACGTACTCATGTCGGAGCGCTAGCAACTCTGTCCCAAATGAATTTTGACCATTGCGCATCAATCGTGGTGAAGACTTTATGTTTTTATTAGCCTGTCAAGGCAGTGGAATGCAAAATTCCATACTTTGTTTCCATGGTTACCATGGGCTGTTGACATGGAATTTCATAGTAGGCCTTGTGCGATCACGTCTAAAATTTGTGGACTCCTTCATTAGCCCATTTGCAACCGTTTAGGGTCAAGTTTTAGGTCAATGTTAGAACAGAGGCCGTGCAGCATGCCTGTGTATGATGGTCCTACCGGTAGGACCGAGGTCTGTTTAATGAAAGAGAGCAGCCGGAATAATCCTATTGTTTTCATAATTATGCAATACCTTTGGAGTTGGTTGTGATATTGCGTGATGTTCCTGTACTGCATACAGATGCAGCACTCTCGAGACAAGACGAGACTGTGAAAGTAAACACCGAGTGCTCCTCAAGATTGGAAATGGTAGCCACGACGGAATCACCACTCTGCGAGATGCAAACAAACGCAACGTCAGGTTGAATAAGGTTCTGAATTCTCGGAGAGATTTTGCAGAAAGCAACAAAACGAGTACACAAGGAGGGCATGTAGTAGATTGTGAATCGTTGAACCCCCCACCAACACTTCAACACTTCAAACCACAACTACAGTCACAATAAAATGGTAAATGTTTGGTCAAGCATCGGTGCACACACACACACACACACACACACACACACACACACACACACACACGCACACACACGCACGCACACACACAATGAATATAAGATGCAGCTTCAAATTATCTTCTGATAACATTTGCCATTGGAAACATATCCTTGGTTGAAAGCAGCAAAAATAAAGCTTTGTGAGTGACTCCTTTGCCCCAGTGTGCATGTGTGCACACTGCTACCAGTTTCGCAAACGCCGAGGTAAGGCAGAAGAATATTCTGTACAATAGCCATTGAAATGATTGTCCAATGCCATCTCTTACCAAAAGGCTAGCACTTTCAGTCTGGGGCGGAGCGTCAGTACGCGGGACAATTTGCTGATAAGTGATGGAAAATCCTCCAATTTTTCCATTGCGCAAGACAAGCAAGGGCTGTGCAATGGTAAGAACAATGTTGTTCACACCAGCCACAAGGCCGAGGGACGAGAAGTCAGATGCAGGTACTGTACAGGAGAGAACAAACGTATGAAACCCAATTAGTGTCAAGGAACACATTATATTCGCTGCAGCAAATTCCACATCAAAAACACTCTTGGAAAGGAGGACAGAACAAAATTCTTTGAATGCATTTGTCATGACCCGGATCGGACTCGTCGTGAAAGCGACCATGCATTGAGTTCAGCAGCCAAAAGCTGGGCTCCGAAATATCCTAGAGTTCTGTAAGAACCATGATTAGTCCTACGAAGGATTTGGCACTTTCGTTAGTTGAGCAATCATGGCTTACAACTCGTGGCTTAGAGTCGCAAGTGTTGTCGTACGTCGGCAACACCTTCAGTACAAGTCGTCAGCATTGTACTCACTACACTGTTGAGCTTGAGGGGACCCTGCTTAGTCCTGCAAGGGAGCTGATACCTTTGTTAGTCGAGCAAGCATGGCACCTCTTCTCGCGTCGTACGACGTAAAGGGTCCTGCAAGTGTTTCGCGCACTGCGGACTCCGTTATCCCTTTTTTTGGGAGAGGTCGCGGCTTGACCGTGAAGCACCCTACGGGGTAATGAGAGGGAAGAGCCTACGGGCAGGAGATGAAGGGTGACCAACGACCAAGGCAGCGTACGGAGGCGGCGTGCTCTAGCTGCAGCAACTTCCGACAGCATACTCCAGGCGATGCAGGCCCCGTCGCACGAAGAGCCTCGGAGTCCTTTCATGTAATGTGGGTGAGCAAGCTCCCCGTATGGATTGATCATTCTTTGTACTATATTCTAGTTTGGCTGATTGCACATATTGCACCACTGTTTGTAATAGAAATAATCCTTACGCATTCTTGCCACTGTATACTTTTGATCACATAATGTAGCATATATAAGGAGCTGTTTTGCTAACATTCATCCTCGATTCTCGGGGAGCTCACTACTCCTCTCGATTCTGAGAGAGTCACTCCGACTCTCTCCTGCTTTGGTCTTTTGACTCTACACACTTGATCTTTCGATCTAGTACTGCAATGGTTCAAATAAACACTGTTCAAGTGGAATCAGAAACCTGTCGTTCTATGTGAGCTAGCAACTTGGATGGCGACTATATTGGTCGTCTACCTGGGTAGCCACTAGATCTAAGCCAAGTCACAAACCCGCCGAGCGCGGCCATGACACATTAAAACTTTTCATGACAGTGTACATACCTGAATCTAAGGTAGACAGAGTAAGCACTTCACTGAAATCTCCGGCCACAGGGTGAGCATTCACAGCTTGAACGGCAATGGAATATACAGAGCCAGCTGACAATGAACTCAACGAATACTGATGAGAAACTTGAGCAGCTGTAACTGGAATTGAATGAACGGCGGCGGTCTCTGAAACTGGCACACCACTTAGCTGTGTTCTCCTCACAGACAATCTGCACATTGACAGAACATATCGCACACAATATGCATTTATATGAGCCCCGGCCAGCGAAAAACACAGCACAAAGTTACAACAGCTTAACGGCTGGAATGGAATGGTGCTCTCTTCTCTCTTCTTCTGCATTGCTCCATTCCAAGCTGAAATACAAAATTTGTGTATTTTAAGGGAAATGGGTATGGAGAGAAATATAACACAAGAAAGGAACAACTCCTAAGTGACCAACAACTCTGACCTGTAATGAGTGATCCTGCCATTTTGCATGGTATTGGTCAATGGAAGAATAGTAATACTGGCAGTTGTTGCTGTGGCTGTGCCTGCTGGTCGGGGGAGTTTCCCAGGTTCTGCAGAGAAAGGAAGAAAAGTATTTATTCAAAAGCCACAACACTCATGTTTATAGTAAAGAAAAAGGGACCCAGAAACTACAAGCTACGCTATAACGTCCACTAACACCACCAGTTACTAAACAATCAGCTCACGCGATAACATTGCGGTACTGACGTTCTACAACTAACTGGCTAAGAGCTCTAGCACATCTTGTTACTTGTATGTTATTTCTATAAGTTGGAAGGCTCAGGTCACCCCATGAGAGAAGGTTGAGTTATTGAATGACTTGAAAAGAAATGAGCACCTACTCTATACCGACTCTTGAAATAAGAGATGGTGCGCTAATGAGCGGTCTCAATGACTGACACAGCTGTCGGAAGGCATTATATTTCAGTACTCCGAAGGAACGTCTTGTTGCTGTGGGAAGTGCGTGTGTGGTTGGCCACAGAGCGCAGGTGGCGGTGTGGTCAATGCACCAAGTAATGAATAATCACTGCTCTAGCCAAATGCCAGGATGGTGACTTCAAATTCAGGTATACCCTGAATCAAGAGTACATGAAAACCAGAGTGTGCAGCTCGGATGGGTTGCTGTCACGGCGAAATTCCGTGATTACATCATTTTAGTGATGTAGTGCGTACAAGCAGGATTCAAGCAGGTCTCTTTCTGCACAACTGCAGCTCAGTTGTACGCACTACGCCATTTCCCGCCTAGATCTGGGCCAAATATGATGTAATCACGGAATTTCGCCGTGACAGACACCCATAGCAGAAAAGGCCCCAAGCTGCACACTCTGGTTTTCATGTACTCTTGCCTGAATGGCTTGGACGGAGTTTTCTTCTCTAATGAGATGATCAAAGACACACTCCTGAAAAACAAGCTACCGATTCACAAGTAAAATAGGTGGAACATGGTGTAGAACTTACTGGAAGTAGCTGTCTTGATAGTAAGGGCTGGGCTACTAGCACCAGACATGCCATTCTGAGCAGAAACTGTGATACTGTACTCAGAGGCAGGTGTCAGTGAAGTCAAAGTAGCCACAACAGCAGAGTTTTGTGAGGTTGCTACAACCGTTTGAGTAGTGGGACTCTCAGACACTGTGTAAGTGCTAACGGATGTCCTCAAAATTGAAACGCTGAAAACATGAATGAGAGACCAATACATGAAATAAATTAATGGTGCTGACTGCTGACCCACTTCACATTGGATACATACTAATTTGGTGCAAGTATTATTAAAGGTAGAACACAGTTTTATTGCTAATGGGGTTTCACCCTTACGCGATCATCAGGCACAATTAATCGAATATCATATTGGGGAGGGGGGTATCAGGTGGGAGTACATTTTCTATTTTCTCAAGCATTCCAAGCCGGTCATGGTCGAAATCCTTTATCTCCTTGACATGTGGTTGGCACCTTCGGGACTTCAGGCCAAAGGTTTTCCTGTTTAGTGTGTCATTTTCGTCTTTGCTTTTCAGGAAGGAGAATGATGCCTTTCTCTGCCATCTCGATGAGCCTAAAGATCAAGACCAAGCCACTGCGGATATTCAATCTTGGCGTGGAAAGGTAGGGAGAACGTGCTCAACCTCATAGGCGGGAGAGGTCTACACAGCGTTAGCTATAACGACCAATAAAGGCACATTGTTCACAGCCGTTGCAGCATTCCCAGCATTCCAATCAAAAATGTAGGTATTGATATACACAAGACATACGGTGCAGTGTTTTAACAGGCAAAACACACAGCCATGCATCAAGACGATATACTGTACTCATTCTTCTACTGAGGGCAAAACAAAATCACGACGACTCTCACCGGTATTCAGTAATTCTCCCATTGCGGAGCGACAATGCCAATGGCAAGATTGAAATACTAGCATTCGTCGAAACGACTGAGAGTAGGCTAGGAGCGGCAAGTTGCCCAGGTGCTGCAGAAGAGACCATATGCAGGAAATTGAATCGTCAGCTTTATTCTTAATGAAACAGTTACAGTGGTTGTAGTTTAGCACCTTGCTAAATTGCAAACAACAACCCAATTCCAGAGATCAGGAAAGGTCCATCATAATAATTATTATGATGCGGCCTATAAACAATATCAGTGGTGTGCATGTACACACACTATTATATGGAAATGGATAATGGTAAAAACAGCAAAAGACGCCAATGTGAACATAACAGTCTATAATTATGCAAACACTACAGCAACACAGCAGAATTCGTGAATGTCCATATACATGCATGCATGAATGTATGTACAGACGAACTTCAAGGGACTGAGCAAGTTTGTTCGTCTTAGAAAATTGTTATGCATATCGTATGGATAGTATTTACTAGTATGTGAAGGTGAATGCTATGGCACATGTAAACCGTTTATTCACAGCATAAGCAAGCAACAGGTCCAATGTGCAATGAATTCATGACAGCTTGCCTCCACCTTGTAACATGCTGTCAATTCCGTTTGCCGGTACAAGAGGCCTAGACTATCAAACAAAAAACTACAGCTAGTGCCCACACACATTAATCGAAAGTTCGTACTACGCGATGATTTTTTTTAAATCACGCTTCAGGAAAGTTCGCCAAGCAGAGTTCGTTGTAAACGAATAATTTTGACTTGATATGATGCCTGGCCAAGCATAGGATTGGCCCTAGTTCGTACTAAAGGAAAGTTTGCCTTATCAGTGTTCGTCCTAAATCAGTTTGACTGTATGTATTTGCTCCCACCCACTCAACATGCACACAGTTAATGCATGCATACCTGCATTGCTGGTGGTGGCAGAATCTGAAGTGCTGAACAGTCCAGCTAGGGTGTTGAAAGCACGGACACGTATTTGGTACTTTGTAGCAGCAGTAAGGCCGCTGACAACATGATCCCCACTGCCTGTGACATTGATACTTGTCACCACTGGAGTAACGAGTTCCTGGCTTTGTTCTACCGTTGAGTATTCAATGCTACAATCATACAGAAAAACACACAAACCTTATAGATGTTGCATGTATTGTAGATACTTGCAAAGGAGAATAATATATTGAGGAACTACAATCAAGATACATGTGCACACAAAACTACTGCATTTGATGATCAGTTCTGTTTGGTGAAGATGTCACGCCACTAAATGTTCCACACTCTCTGTCAAATGCTACTGCTGCTTATTGTTGGACTGTTACAAGTAGTGAGAAAGGCGAACAACAACATCAGCAGTGAGACCAATTCTAGCTATGAACAAGCTGTTTACTCAACACAACACACCTGTATTGTTGAATTACTCCAAGTTGCCGATTAGCTGTAAGTGCAGCAATCGTGACACGCAACTGCGTGGCACTGTTAACAGTCACTGTCGGAGCAGTTGGCGCCAAGGGAGCTGGGAAAAATGAGAATTGCAAAGAGGACATATTTATTAAGATTCAATTAACAGCAGGCTGAAGACAAACACAATGGAATCAGAAAGGCATGGTGGAGACACTTGGATTTTCATTCAGATGGTTAATGGTGAGCTCTTAGAAATATACTCAAACGAATGAAATTTAGTACTAGTGGTGAAACGAATATTCGAATATTCGAACATTCGTTCGGTTTGTCACATTCGAATATTCGTTAAGTCACATTCGAGTATTCGTTACGTCACTTCGAATGCAGTGCCTGTACATACATGCATGCCGAACACGGTACAGTGCAGTGCGTACAGCCTGCCGGTGACTTTGTACTGCATGTTCGCACATGTATGTCCATACTGGACTGCCAATGTTGCACATAACATTTATGAACTTCGAAGTAGCCTTATGTGGCAGTATATTTTACGTGGCACTACCGTTTGTCATACCTAATAATATATTAGTATTGACAATATCCATCAAATGACTGAGAGGAGGGCATGTGATGTCATCTGTGTTACCAAAAGAATACTCGTTCATTCGTTCGTTAAGCTGAAGAATATTCGACTAGTAGGTTTTGACATTCGTTTCACCACTAAAATTTACACATTTGGGAAACTTCACCTCCCAACCAGGCCCGAAAACTTTGTGTAATGTAAATTTGAATTTGAATCGCAGTGAAGAGACCATTTTAGGAGCTGTGAAGTGAATTTTCCTAAATGTGTAAATGGCTGCGTTGGAGTTTCCGGACAATTAGAAAAGAATGAAATTTACCTTCTTCTAATGTTGTGCTAGTTACTCCATTACTTGGAAGGCTCAAGCCACGATTATTCCGAGCAGATACTGTGATTATGTACTGCGATGCTGGGAAGAGACCACCAATCCTGAACATCACTGGATTGAGCCATTGGTTGGGCTGGAGGACCAGTGTTCTTAATTCAGCAGCCTCTGTTACATTAATTCCAAGGTATTGTGTCCGTTGAATACTAATCCTGTGAGCAAAATTTCAAGAGAATACCCATTAGGTCGTGTATTCCTTCAAAAGCACACAGGGTGATTTCCAATTGCAAAACGTATGGTAAAATTCACCTCAAACTAGAGATCTAAACAACATGCATACCTGCAAAATTCAAGGTGGGCAGCTAGCCAATATGAGCGAAGCAGCCAACTTCATACGTATGTAGCAACTTACTGGTAAAGACTCAAACTGTTATCACCATTGATGCTGTTGGCCGCGACACCGGGGATTAGAATGTCAATTCTTCGGCTTGCAGTGGTGCTTATGGTGGCAGGTTGCAGTTTATCCGGAACTAAAGAAAAAGACAGGCATAGGAAACACCAACTGAAGGAGCATGACCAGTATAATGGTCCCAGGTTTGAGCCTCGGTTGGGTTAAGGAAATCCATTTGCATGTTTAAAGAGACCCTTTAAGCAAAAGGCTGCTGGCCATCATAGACCAGTAGCATGGACACACATGGAGAGATACAGATAAGCACTTTAAAAACAAGCCATGCACTTAGCCGAATCTCTTACTATTGCATGTAGGCAGAGATGTTTGTGTGCCAGACGAGCATTGGCATGTAAAAGAGCCATCAGTGTTCTGACACATTTCAGCCATATGACATGGTGATGCAGTGGAGGAGCATTCATCAATATCTGAACAAGAACGCAGAAACAACACACTAGCAGCATGACTGAGTGTCCACAAAAAATGCTACCCCGTAGCACCCGCAGCATCATCAAAGCAGGCCAAAAGGACCTGGTCTCTACCTGGTCAGTCTGCCCATAAATTACAGATCATGCAAGTGAGAGAGAGAGAGAGAGAAAAATGAGACTGTCATCAGGGAAATAAGTCTCAATGATGAAATCTAGCAATAAAGAACAATATATACATGGAAGAGTACGAAATGCACTAGGTGAAAGAAAAATAGGAGAAAAGAAGGAGAAGTAGGAAAGACTAGAGAAGTGTGAACAAATAACATGGGTGGACGAAGAGAATATAAATTGATGAGGAGGTGAGAACTAATAACAATGTGAGACTATGAGAGGGTAAAGTGTAAGGAGTACGCACGTGGATGTGTGTGTGTGTGTGTACTTTTTGTTAGATTTCATTATTGAGACGTATTTCCCTGATGAATGTCTCTAGAAATTTTTTATTGCTATAATAAAGTTATTGTCTCCGTGCCGCTTATTAACCCTTTGTGTACGGACTGTACAACTTTCGATCCCCTGGGATCGAAATTTTCAAAATTTCAATCGATCGTAACTCAGTCATTTCTTTTTCTTTTTAGTTATTTCCAGAAACTAAAATATGTAGGTCGAAGAAAAAACTGCCAGCTGTCCATTGAAACAATCGCTGAAGCGCTCTGATGTGCAGGTCCAGAGTTACGAAGCTTGAAAGTCGAATCACGGCAAATGTCGCTCAATAGCCGCGTGTGCAGATTTGAATGAGGGATTTCCCCATCATTCTGGACATGCAGTGACGTAGAAACACGTTCAACATGGCAAGCGGACTCGTGGCAGTTTGTGAATTTTTTGAAGTGACACTAGTTGTTACAAGCAAGGAGAGCGAAATGGCTGATACAAGACGATTTCTGTCGGAATATTGGCGTTGGAGCTAAGACGCTGGGCTGTAGCGCTGGAGTTTTGACCTTCTTGGTGGCAAGTATGGGCACATTGTGTTTCTCTTGCGACGAGCTTTCCATGAAGGACAATATTGAAAAAATCGTCAAAAGGAGACCAAAGTTATGACCCGGAGAATTTTGGAATTTGAGAAGAGTCGAGATCAAATTCAGTCTACGTACATTTTTTCCGTACATAAAGGGTTAAAATATCACTGCACAAATAGTAATATTCATCGTCATTTAGAAATGTTGGCATTTCGTGTAAGGAGCAGAACTGCTATAGCCATAGAGAAAGTGGTGTGACTGGTACAAAGCAAAGCACCTCAGAACTAGACGTACCTGAGCAAGGTGATCCAGTATATCCAGTCTTGCAAGCACATGTGAATCCCTTTCCAGCTGGTGCATTAGTACAGGTTTCAACTGATGTGCAATTGTGCACTCCACTCTGACACTCATCCACATCTGTGCACACAGAATGCAGCCAGCCAGGACCAGAATGAAAGATTCGACACGTTTTAATTAAAATCTCAGAAAGTATATTCATAGGTAAGGAAAGTAGGAAAAACAAAACACACAACAGACAGAAAAAAACCCAGAGCCACTGCGAGCTAGAACAGTAAACATCAATGAAATGCATGCCTCAGCCTTACCGACACATCCCGTTCTATCTCCGTTGAGTTTAAAGCCAGCACCGCACACGCACTGATAGGAGCCAACTGTGTTTATACATACACTGTTGATAATGCCGACACACACTCCAGTTTGTAAACATTCATCCACATCTAATCCAAGGGAGAAACAAAGGAAGATAAATGCACCTAAGCTACAGGCTTAGACAGTATTCCAGTCCAGTATATTATAGATTCACACCAATATACCAAAAAAATGTTCAAAACCGAGTTCTAATGGATAAAAGGAACTGAAAGTGATGCCATCATGATGGGACAAATATGTTGCAGCAGCCACGAATGCTTAAAATTTTATTTTCTTCTGAGGGAGTTGTCGATTTCCACGGGCGTTGCTACACATAGCATGCAGCAGTTGTATAACTAACTTAAATTCTCACCTTGACATGGACTAGCAGAAGTTCCACCACCAGTATATCCAGCTACACAACTACACTGATAGCTTCCACTGGTGTCGGAGCAAGTTGAAAATGGTGAAGTGCAGGGACTGACTGAAAGGCTACATTCATCGATATCTAAAATGGATAAACGAACACGTATTAATGTCTGGAAAAATACATGCTCAAGGTGTGGTCCAATAGTTCATAGCCATACTACTTGCATGGCAACAGGAAAACAACCAGCAGCAATGGCTAGGCTAACGTTAGCATCAACCCTTGCAGTGACCAGCAGCCATAACATGAAATTGGATCATTGAAACTTACTTGCACAGCTGCTTATGCCGTCACCGGTAAATCCAATAGCACACGCACAGGTGTAAGAACCCATGGTGTCAGAGCAAACTGCATTAGATGCAGTACACTTGTGAACACCAGTGGTGCATTCATCGACGTCTGTTAGTGCAAGGGATACACAGAAAGGGATTAGCAATATGACTAGGTGCACGCACACACTGCGGGCCGGCTGATCGCGCACATTGCACACATTGTTAACGAGAAGGCAATATCTGTGCAGCAAGTGTGGCGAATGTGTCCTGGCAAGGCAATATCTGTGCAGCAAGTGTGGCGAATGTGTCATGGCAAGGCAATATCTGTGCAGCAAGTGTGGCGAATGTGTCCTGGCAAGGCAATATCTGTGCAGCAAGTGTGGCGAATGTGTCCTGGCAAGGCAATATCTGTGCAGCAAGTGTGGCGAATGTGTCCTGGCAAGGCAATATCTGTGCAGCAAGTGTGGCGAATGTGTCCTGGCAAGGCAATATCTGTGCAGCAAGTGTGGCGAATGTGTCCTGGCAAGGCAATATCTGTGCAGCAAGTGCGGCGAATGTGTCCTCAATCCTTGCACACTACAGATTTAGGAGGGTCACTTACTAGCGCAACCTGATGGTCCTCGGCCATTCCCATTGTATCCAAGTGGACATGTGCAGACAAAAGATCCCAAGGTATTATTACATGTTGCTGCAACTGCACAATCAGCTGTTCCTTCTGTGCATTCATCTCGGTCTGAACACAAGAACAGAAAAAGTATTCATACCTCTTAATTTTTGTCACCAGCACATCTCACTACATAGGATTTACTTTCTGGCTAAAATGTTTTGATGAACAACCCATACAAATTGGCGAAATGAGTGCCACGAGTTTCCATGCACTCCCGTAGGAATTTCTAGCCGGTTGGCCAATTTTCCAGGTGTAAATTCTGCCGTGGCACTGTTAAGAAAACCTGTGGCGGTACTCTTCAAACAACCACAGACATCTGTCCATGGTACCTTTGTACTTGTTCAGCATACAGCACTTTTGTATTACTGTCATGGCCCTGCGTAGATAGCACTACTCACCAATACTATAGTAGTGCTGCACACATTCATTATCAGCCTGTCACCTACCTCTACCGCGGCTCTTCATCAATGTTCTCTTCCTTTTGATTAGGATAGGGTTACCTCTCCTGTCGCCGGACCTAGACTATCCATTACCATAGAACTGTCAGCTATTGTCTCTGTTGCCGGTCCGCTGTTCTGCTGTTCCGCTTAGTTGCTCCGATTCATGATTAGCATTAGCTTCAATACTTAGATACATTACTCTTTGCTGAGTTTAGCACAGCTCACTAGTCGTTCGCTGCTGCCTGCTCGATCCTTCCCTTCGTGGCCGCTCGCATAGATTTCAGCTAGTATAAGTTCGCTGACTTAGTCAGATATCGAGGAGTCTTCGATTAGTCTTGGATTAGTCTTGTATGAGTCTTGGATTAGTCTTGTATGAGTCTTCGATTAGTCTTGTATGAGTCTTGTATTAGTCTTATTCTCTTTTATAGCTTTCTTGACTTTCTTTATAGGAGTTCCGCTACCGCTCAAGCGGACTTGTCCGCTTGAGCCGGTGTGGCCTTTGACTTTGTAGTTTCTTACTGTTCCTTTGTTCCTTTACTATCGGACCTGAGGGCTCCGCCACCCTGACTTCTCTCTGTGCTTTGGGTCTGAGGTACGCCTGAGTGGAACTACCAAGAGGCGCACATATACTTTGTGCAAACGGGCTTGGGATAACTAACACGTAGGGACGATCAGCCAGCCACGACACTTGGTGCTGTGACCAGGATTCTTCTTGGTCTAGTTTCCCAGGTCCTCCGCCCTACTCTTGGTGTACGCCCTTTCACTCTCCATCATCGTTCCGTCCTCCGCTGTGGCTCTGCCGCACAGGCTCTGTAATCTACGCCGCCTCACGAGTTCTTTGGATTGTGAGTGCCTACTGACGATTCCTCGTCGATCGACGAGTCGTACGCCAAATCCGTTGAAGACACGCGCTCCGAGTTGCGAACGGCAACAAAGAGAATACTTACGCCAGGTTACCACTGCGTTCGCAGTCGTTTCCTCTTTGAAGAGACTGAGCAAAAGAGACGTTCCTCGGTGTTGATCGTCAGTTGCGCCGCTCTGCTGTTTCAGCAAAGCCATACGCTCCCAAACGTGTTGTGGTACTGTCTGTGCTGCTTCCGTTGGCCTACGCCTTTGTGATCAGTCCTGCCTCCGGAGCCCTGGTCAATCTGTTCGCCTGTGTTACGCCTGTGAGCTGTGTTACGCTCGCAAAGCAAAAAAAATTAGTTTCGTCTCTTCGCCGGATGCTCCGCGATCCTTGTTGTACATGATTGTACAGTCCGCACTCTCTGAGCATGCGCTCACTCCGTTAACGCGTTGTGTGTTCAAACCAGCTCAGCTGGTATGGTTCACCGGTTTCTCCGCCGATGTACATGTACTTGTACTTACGTAGTTCCTGTGGGAGCTGTTGACGAAACGCTCATGAGTTACGTGAGTGCTCCGTTGTACTCGACGAGTTTGGGTCCCGCGCGTTGGGTCATTCACCGCTGCAGCACTTCCTCCGGGAAGAGGTTGACTCTACGCGCTCTCCGTCTGATGGAGATGGCCATCCTCCAGCTCTGTGCTCGAGCTCGTTTACGCTGTGTGACGGAGTATGCGCGTCATGCCTCGTCGGTCTTCCGCTTGATTCCGCCAGACCACTTACGCTTATCCCCTGGTGTTGGCCTTTGTCCGCTGTCCACAGCTCCTGTGGTGCATTGATTGTCTTGATAATTGAGTGATTGAGAGATGGCTCTCGTGATACTGATACGCCCTGCAACAGGCGCCTGGCGCCACCTCCGTCCTATTCATGTTTCGTTTCTGTTTCCGCTGATAATTGTCCTTTGTCCCGCGTGGCGATTGAGTTTCGCCTGGTTTACGCTTCGTCTGGTCTGATGCGCCTTTGGCGATGTGGTTCCGCCTGGTGCAAGAGAAGGATTGTGCGCACGATTGGTGCGGTTCGGATCGTCACTGGAGAAGTTCCTGGTCTCGTGACTGGATCCAAGATCGGAGTAGAGAGAAAAGGCTCCGATGGCTCGCGGTTAGTGGTTGCGCTGATTGCCCGTCGTTGTATTGCTGCCGAGTGCTGGCGACGGAATTGAAGTCCGATCTGACCGTGGAGTGGTTTGTGTTGTAAAATGCGTAGCCGGCTACGTGACAAGCGGCGAAAGGCTGCTGTGGTGCTCGGGAGCTCGCGTCCGACTGATCAACGGAGAGCGGAGCTGGCCAGGTAAGAGTACGGAGATATATGCACGCGATCAGACCATCGTCATTTTGTGAGTTTTGTTTTTGGTTGTCAGTGGAGGTTAGCTGGTTTCATTTTTCAAGGTTTTGGAAGGGTTTGTCTGAAGTATTTGTTTTGCAAGCAGTAACGGGTTTACTGGGTTTTGAAGGGGAGCAGAGGTAATGAATGGTAGTTATTGAGTTCACGGAGGTTGAGAATCTTGGGTTTACTTTAGATTGAAGAATACGTACTAGAAAGTTCAGGCACCAGCTGTTGACGTAACATTGTTTTGTTATCATTTTGTTATTATTTTTGGAGGTTTTGTTGATTTATCCACCTATTCTATCACGGGTTCCGGGTCACTGATGAGTACCATTCTACTATGATGTCTATGTGAAGTACACCTTTGGGCTGTTACTTTTTCGTGTTACCAGGGTGTCAGGCTCTGTTTTGAAGTACATGTAGGTTGAAGGTAGTTGTAGTCTTGTCGTATGAATCATTGCGGGGAGTGTGACTGCATTAATGTTGTTATTGTTGCCGTTGTTGTCTATCGGTACGAGAGTACACTACGCCGCCCAGTGGGCCTTCCGTATCCCTGTGTCGTTCATTTCCGCCGGTTTGCATACTGTGGTTGTAAATCACTCTGGTCCGCGTACCAGAAAGACAAAGTACGTAATCATTGTGGTTGCACATGTCTCGAATGACACTGCTCTTACGCCTACTTGTGTTGTCTATCTGGCACACGCCGCCGCTGCTGATATTGCAGCCTAGGGAGACCTATTTGTATCTCACTGAAGTGCCTGATGGCTTGTTACAGTTTGATACGCGCCGTCCTTTCCGCCAATTGTGCCCCTCTGTGGTGTTTTTGGTATTCCGCTGCTAAGTTCACTTAGCCATATCATGAATTTTACGCTGCATTATGCTGGGCTGTTGCCACCTGGCCTTGACTGACCAGGCTGCCCACCATAGTTCCATGACCCATCAATCTCGTTGTTACACGAAGCTGGATTCTGTAGTGAATCTGATCAGTACGTGCAACACAGCTTGGGTCCTCTTTCCGCTAACGCTTTTGGCGTTAAATCCCATTGCTGGAGAGTCAATTCTCCCACTGCCGCTCAGATCATTGATTGTGGTGTGCAGCCGTGAGCCATGCTAACAGACTATCACGTCGTGCTCGTTCAGCACAGTTCGTGTGTGTGCACACTTGGTCTATGGCTTGCATTCCGCTGAGGTACAAACCGTTGCGTTTCCTACCCTCATGTGTATCAGGTAAACGTTACGCCAGAAACTTTGTGCATGCGCATTCTGTGTGCACAAAACGTTCGCCTGTATCTGTCTGCACTGCCCGTCCTCATGACATTGGCGCTCGTCTGGTGCATCTCGTTTCTAGTAACCTTATCTGGTTGCTGGTCCTCGCCGATTGGTTGAAGTTTCCCCAAACTTTGTGTATACTAACTATGGTGTGGACTATTCCTGGTACGAGACCGTCTCTTGGATGTTGTGTATTGCGTCCCAACTACGCCCGGTCTTCGTGATTATTCTCAGTGATTCTTGTGGATCAACTGTCTCGCTGCCGTGTTCTTTATGAGCTAGGCCACCATCCTTCGAGATGGAAGAAAAAATTCGCTTCTTGAGTTGGTGGAAGATCTGCCTTCTCCCTACGCCAGTCCAGTCACCTGTGAGTGAGGCATTCCTACTGCTACCTGACTTCGAGTCATTGGCTCTGCTGTTCTACCACTACGTCTCATCGTTTCACCCTACCATGCGGATACCATCACTCACCTATAGTACGATGACATGAACACCAGGATTCCATTCCGTGGTCTGCTGAGCCTCACCAAGTATCTGTCTTACCCAGCCATTGCCACCAGTTGCTGGAGTATCAATGTTTCTGCTATGTCTTCGTTGTCCGTCCACCCTGTCACTATAGCCGATTCCGTTTGGTACTGCACTTACACTAGTACTGCTATGATGTCGTCTGTTCCCTACTACCCTGAGTGCACTGTTCCAGTCTACCATCTTGTACTGCCATCATCTTCTATAGTGTCTACCGTCAAAGTACTGTCTTCCATGTGCCTAATAGTGTCTGCTCAACTTGATTCAAGTGCTGTCGTCCACCATCGTCATGAGTACCGCCCGCACTGATCTCTGTCTGCTACCCGCTGAGTGTCACCAAGTAAGACTATCTATGTACGAACAATTGTGCCCCATATCGTTAGTTCTCTAAGTTCAGCCTTTGCTCATAGCTACCTCTCGAGTGCCTACTGCCCAACTGTTACCCCTGGTCCTGTGCCTTAGGCAGTGAACAATTAGCTCCTAGCCCCATCGTGCTTTGATTAGGATTGTTTCCCAGCACACAACAAGATTTTGTGCCAATAGATTAGATCCGCTGTCCATTCGTTTTGTTCTGTTCGGCATAGCTCATCAGTTATCCTAGTTTTGTTCTGCTGCTAGTGACTGTTTTGCGTCACAATTTTTCCAAAGTTAGACCCTGCTAGAGATGCCACCTGCCAAAGAAATTAGACTTTACATTGTGTTCATTAGTTCTAACCGTAGGTTCTTTCCGATTTCGTTTTCCTGATTCGAAGTCTGAAGCTTTGTTCCCTCTTGCTCACACCCTCTTTGGTACTACGGCGATGTTTAGTTTCCTTTTATTTTAGCCCTTTTTCATTTGCTCTTTTGTGTTATTTCTTCCCGTCACGAGGACGTGACCCTTTTCTTTGTAGCCGAGGGAGATGTCATGGCCCTGCGTAGATAGCACTACTCACCAATACTATAGTAGTGCTGCACACATTCATTATCAGCCTGTCACCTACCTCTACCGCGGCTCTTCATCAATGTTCTCTTCCTTTTGATTAGGATAGGGTTACCTCTCCTGTCGCCGGACCTAGACTATCCATTACCATAGAACTGTCAGCTATTGTCTCTGTTGCCGGTCCGCTGTTCTGCTGTTCCGCTTAGTTGCTCCGATTCATGATTAGCATTAGCTTCAATACTTAGATACATTACTCTTTGCTGAGTTTAGCACAGCTCACTAGTCGTTCGCTGCTGCCTGCTCGATCCTTCCCTTCGTGGCCGCTCGCATAGATTTCAGCTAGTATAAGTTCGCTGACTTAGTCAGATATCGAGGAGTCTTCGATTAGTCTTGGATTAGTCTTGTATGAGTCTTGGATTAGTCTTGTATGAGTCTTCGATTAGTCTTGTATGAGTCTTGTATTAGTCTTATTCTCTTTTATAGCTTTCTTGACTTTCTTTATAGGAGTTCCGCTACCGCTCAAGCGGACTTGTCCGCTTGAGCCGGTGTGGCCTTTGACTTTGTAGTTTCTTACTGTTCCTTTGTTCCTTTACTATCGGACCTGAGGGCTCCGCCACCCTGACTTCTCTCTGTGCTTTGGGTCTGAGGTACGCCTGAGTGGAACTACCAAGAGGCGCACATATACTTTGTGCAAACGGGCTTGGGATAACTAACACGTAGGGACGATCAGCCAGCCACGACATTACTTTCCCTGCAAGTTCTATCATCATTGCATCCATTGCAACACTCAAATCCTATACTAGTATAATAGAATCTCCCAAAACACTGGAATGTCCTCACTAAAATATCTTTCGGTGAAACGAAAAACTGAGACTTTTCCGGCAAAACTTCTGAAGAGAGAACGGATGCTGCCCAAACACCTTACAGTGCACTCTGGCGCGGTAGTATGATCATGATTTTCGAAAACAATCCCATATACTTCAAACCTTTCCTACATACTGGGAAACGTTTGCGCCAGTTTTAATTTGTGATTTGCTAGCACAGACTAATTTTGCAACTGAAGATGTTTGTGATTGGAGTCAATTTCCTCACTTCCTTTACTACAGTTCTATGCTGATGTTCGTGATTGGAGTCAATTTCCTCACTTCCTTTACTACAGTTCTATGCTTTGCGCTAGTTTACTGGCTGCAACTTCACACCCATCGCCAAACCGTGAAGGATTCCAGATGGCAACGGTTTCCAAGTTTACAGTTTGGGATTTGATAGATAAAGAGATACTATGTCCTGGCCCATGTTCCGCAGGCAAAGGATAGCACAGTGGCGCTACTTATTCCAAAAGCAGGCAAGCAAGACTTTGCACAATCATGATATTCTATAGATGGCGGGTACAATGGGACCAGATCAAAATTGGATTGTGAAAACAAATGTGAATTTCTAAACATCTTACCAACAGAAAGCACAACTTGACCAGATGTACTGCCACGGTCATTAGTTGCTGTGCATATGTAGTTGCCATCAGGGACTATCCTTTCACCATTTGAAGCAATTGCAAAGGAGGATGTGAACATTAAAGTACCCTCAGTTGTACCAGAGGTGAGCTGCAAATAGGGCAAAAAGAACGTGAACCCGACCTTACTGCGTCAAACGTCAACCCAAAACAACTGAAATAAAAAGCATTCTTCTAACGCTGAGTTTTGTATTCAGAAACACTCAACAGATGGTTATCTTGCCTTTGTGTGTTGCACTTTACCCTGGCTAGAGCACAGAGCACTAGTTTCAGCAAGGACGCAAAACACATTGTCTACTGCCATTCATCTGCACGGATCATCTGCACGGATTTAGGCAAAAATCGATGGCGCACACTGCACTCAAGATACAAAAAAGTGTGCATCATATCCAAATATTGGTGGTGGTGGTGGTGGTGGTGGTGGTGGTGGTGGTGGTGGTGGTGGTGGTGGTGGTGGGTGGGTGTGCGCGTGTGTGCATGTGTGTGTGTGTGTGTGCGTGTGTGCATGTGTGTAATGTGTGCATGTGTGCATGTGTGGAATGTGTGGAATGTGTGGAATGTGTGTATGTTGGGGGGGGGGGGGTAGATTTGGCAATAAGTAAACCCAGGCAGCTAACACCATCAAGAGAAAGCAGTCAATGCACCATCAAGAGAAAGCAGTTAATGCACCATCAAGAGAAAGCAGTTTTAAATGCACCATCAAGAGAAAGCAGTTAATGCACCATCAAGAGAAAGCAGTTAATGCACCATCAAGAGAAAGCAGTTAATGCACCATCAAGAGAAAGCAGTTAATGCACCATCCTGTCTATTGTGCAGACTATAGAGAGGCGTGCCAATGGAAGGATTCTTACCAATGTTGTTGTTGAACTGAAGGCTGAACCAGCAGCAGCAGTAGCAATCCTGTTGCCACTAGGCGAGGTCCAAACAATGCCTCCAGTCACAACACCAGTAAAGGAGCAAATGAAACTGACGGAGGCAGCATTTGGAACAATCATCGGCATGGTGACAGTCTGAAGTTCTGCAAGTACTGTAACATAAAAACCACAAACGCAAAAGAAACTGAACAATTCGGAAATGACACAGGAACCAGGGGTTCTCCAAAAAAATAATCTCTACGTTCTTCTCCACGCAAGTTCTGCAAAGTAACTAGCAAAGAAAAGTTGCAGAAACACACGTAGGAATTTGGGCTTGCTTGAGCAAGACAGAACAGTACATACCAATACAATTTCCAGCAGATGTTTGCAACTGGCCGTCCGGACAAGTGCAGTTGAAACTGTTTGCAGTTGAGGGATTTTCAGTACACGTGGCACTGCTGTGACAGTTGTGTCCACCAAGCAGACATTGGTTGAAGTCTGGAAACAGGACAAATACGCACAGAACACATGAAGCTGAAATGCTTACCAAAACAAGATTAGAAAGACACAAAGAGAGAAAGAGAGAAAGCAAACCTCTGTAAAAAAAAGAAAAGAGAAACGCCTCTTCTTCATAATTCTTACTGCTGAAATACGCACTTTCCTGTATGATGGCAAAGAAATTCCTGTTGTATTCCTAGCCGATTCAACGCTGATACTTCAACTAAAAAATTTAATGGTGCTGATATGCAAAGAACACTTCCATTCACACATGTCAACGTACCTTGGCATGGGGCACCTGCCACTCCCGCTCCAGTGTATCCAGCTTCACAGCTACACGTAAATGATCCAACATTGTTAGCACAGACTGCATTGTTCATAACGTCACAGTTATGACTGCCAGCCAAACACTCATCCACATCTGCAGCGGGAAACAAACGAAGACAAGTAAAGTTACACAGCCATACACACCGTTGTGTTGCTCTGTAGTCGACATGACCAGCAGTGGACCAGCAGTGGACCAGCAGTGGGCGAGAAGAGAGGGATCCAATCAAGTCAGTGATAGCAGAATTTTAGAAGTACAAGCGACATGGGGCTAAAGTAGCAGGAACTTACCTCGACAGTTATTGTCGCCACTGCCAGTATATCCAGATTTGCATGGACACATGTATGAACCGACAGTATCTTGGCAAGTATTGATAGTGCTATTACATGGACTCCTTGTGGTGCATTCATTGATATTAACACATGCATCATCAACACTGCTGGGAGTTGTGTAGCCTGATGGACATGCTGAGCACTGTCGACCAGATGAGGGAGCCACTAGATCTGTGCAGTTACGCAATGCTGCACAAGGTGTAGTCGTGCAAGCATCAATGTCGGACAGACACTGATCTCCAGTGAAGCCTACACACAACAAGAGGAGGGAGAGAATGGAAGTTATAGCAACATTTGCAACCAATTGCCGATCATTACAGCTGTAAGTGTACCAAAACAGTCAAAAGGTTCAATTCATACGGGAATGACTATATGCCTACGAACTTCCTGCTTGCATGTTTTACTAGGAGGCCCTACACAAGCGATTGTCATTATCCCCCTTACTAGGTTTACAAAGATGTGAACTACCACAAGGATCATCAATATCTGTTCTTTTATTCTTCCTCTTCGTTCTCCATGAAACCTGAAGAAAATGAGAACGCCCCTAGGTGGATGAATGCCACTTACCCGGGTCACAAGCGATGCAAGGAAGCTGGGTGAACTGGGAGACAGGAGTTTGGGGTGGACTACCACAAGATCCTTGACAACCACAAAGTGCGATAGGAACTTGGAGAAGGGAAGATTGACCAGCGCTGTCGGTGGCAATTATTGATAGAGTCGATGATCGTACACGGACACTTGGCAGCCAGCGAAGAGCAAGCTCATTTGTACCATTCGCAACCCAGGATAGGTCGGAAGGAGTACCAAATCCAGTCATTGTGTGGATTGACAAATTGACAATAGAGTTAGTAGAATTTACTTTGACGCCTAAGGAGCTGTTTTGGCCAAACACTCCAACAAAGAATGTAGTATTTAGAATGATTGCAGGAGGCACAGCACCTAGAAGAAAAAAACACAAGAAGTGCAATGATCATTGATCATAAGAGTTTTCAGTTAGTTAGTATAGCTTGACCATAAAATTCTTCAGAAAACAATGATTTGTGCACTCTGGCACTCACACGTGCACCGATAGTTGGCTTTGTCAGTACAAACAAGTTTGACTTACACAAGTACCATAAGTACATACCGTAATTTTATGTGGGGCTAATGCAGTTAACCCTGATCACATGCGCAGACTCTCGCTGATTCTGTTCCTCATGTTCCTTATACTTGGACATGTCGTTTTTGTCTTTGGGTATCTATATACATGTACAGCTTATGCCCCAAGAGTGTGCAACTCCCGCATACCCTTCTGTCAAGGCAGAATTTCAAAATGAGGTCATGTTTCAGTATGACGCGATGCTCTTACTTCAAGCAGCAACAGTAATTTGTGATGTTTGTTCAGGTATCAACGCATCACACATGTTTCCTTCAACTAGTATGTACCGGAATAAATTGTGATTTGACCAATACAGGCGCAGAATACGTCTGTTGGTACGTGAACGATGTGCATTGGAGGCGATGTACTCTTGCTAGTACTAATGACATGAGGTAGTCATAGCTTTCGAAAATTGAATATATAGAGCCATCGCTCAGCCTACCCTGACCATGCTTGCAGTTGGCTTCGCAATTGCACGCAATTGCACGTAAAAATTTGTTCAAATTCCACATAACAATTTTCCGTACAAAATGGAAATTTGGCAGCACTGACACAACGGTGACAACAACAACGATGAAGACAGCGACAACAACAAGAATGGTCATCTTTTTAAAACGTACTGATGATTAAACTGGTCGCATCGAACGCGTTCTTAAAATCAAGTGTAGCTTCACCAAAGCCCTCTTGCCCAGTGGCAGCAAAGTCCAACGCGCACTGCACGTTGCCATTGCAGAAAGCAGGTGGATTTTGAGTGAGCAAGTCTGCAATGAAGACGGGGCTGGGAATACCAGCATGAGGGTTGAATGTTGCGTACGAGGCTCCAGGACCATAAGTGAAAGGACTGTCCACTTGCTGAAGATGGTCTGTAATAACACAGTAGAATGTTGCAAGTAGACACGCAAAGAAGAGCGATCACCATCAGCATTATGCTCACTTCTCTTTTTTATAAATTCGAACTCTTTACCATTCGACACTACAGCAGGACACTACTATTCAGCCAAGAACACTGAATGACCGTAACAAAATATGCTGGCAAAGAACTGGAGGGTTAGCATGTTGCAATTTTGTCCTTTTACTCTAATAAACTGAAAACGGCAAATATATTTCCCAAACACAATATGAAATGGAATTGGGGATGATCGAGTCGTTCATATAGCATGATGTTCATATAGCATGAACGACTCCAGTGCAAACACAAACACGCACACACACACACACACACACACACACGCACACACATACACACATGCAGGCAATAGCCATAGCACACACTTACACAGGGAATACGCAGTAGTGAAAACAACTGTCCTGTTAGCGGTGGATGAAAGATCATTCTCGATGTTAAGTAAGCCAGAAATTCGTGGAATTTGATTTTGATAAACTGGAAGGCAAAAACAGTGCAACATGGAGCATGTGTGAACGCACAAAACAGCACTACATAACTGAAAGAAAATAAGCATTTTTTTATTCAATGATACGTTTTCGGTTACTGAGGCAACTCGCCTTGCTCATCTAGTCATGTCGAAGACCTCGGCAGGCACAGGCGATACTGCACATTCACCTAACGTGTTGGAAGCTGTGTGTATCCACGACCAACAGCCAGACTTATGCAAACAAAAAGACTCAAAAAAGAAGTCACCACACTCACACCTTTGCACCAACTTTGCTATATTTCCACACTATCTTTCATTTCTTTTCGCACTTTCTCTCTATACTGAGTCTAGAAAACGCTCTTGCAATTCACCCAACAACTTGAATTGTGTGTGTAAAGAATGAGTGTGCAGCGGATCCTATTTATTGCTATGATCCGGATGATTAAAGGTTTTCTCCTCGGGCATTTGGGGTTCGAATTACCAGGAGTCTACCTGTATGTCATAAGTCGACCCCCGCTTTTTAGCAAGATGCCTGATCCACAGAAGATGCCCAGAAGATGTATTTATTCGGGAAATACGCTAACTGGTAAACACGTCATTGGCGAGCAGAGGACGTTTCCAATTGTGCACCTAGAATTGTACATTTACTGGCTGATCTTGAATCAACACAGCATCTTGAATCAACACAGCAGCAGGCAATACTAGTGGTGACAGGCACCTGGATCTCTTTTTCTTTTGCAAGTACAGGTGCACACAATCTACAATACCTTGCATTTCCACGCTCAGGGCAATACCAGACTGAACATTAACTGTTGCCGTTATTCTGCCGGCAGAAACTGATACAACATTGGCCCGCCTTAGCATTAGGAATCGAACACTTCCATTAGTCACATTTCTGGTGATGTCAGTACCGTTCTGGGTGATAATAATGTTGCCAGCACTGCCCAAGTGCATTTCATAAGTCAGGTTCTGACCTGAAACAAATAAAACCACGTCAAATCACAAGACTGAAGTGTACTGGCACATTCTACACTATGGGTGATATCATACGGAACAAAGAGCAATATTGAATACCAGCTGTTAAGCTATACTGGCTCTCAACGTCTGTTTACCACAACTCCATGAGCGACTCTGACTCGCGCTGCTGCCTGGGGCTTCACAAGGTGTTTGTCGCGCTGGAAACAAAGTATCTCTGTAAGTTTGTATCCCTGGTGATGGTTTGGCCTGGAGAGCAGTATATAAGTGGTACTTTTCAGGCACAATCTTTCTCAGCCTACTCAAGCGCAACTGATGAGGGGTGAATTCCCCGAAACACTGTGTATTGAGCAGGGAGTGGTGCTTTCTTGCAGGTTTGCTGAGAGGAAGGTGCGACGTGCGCCTTGTGTGCTCCGGATGGCAGTCGTGAGTCAGTCAAGTGTCAAGTGTTCGGCAAGAAGCGTGTGTTCCTAGTTGGAACAATAAACTTCACAGCTGTTAAGGATAGTATTAATTTTGCCAACACATGTGTGTGGATGAAAGGTGCAACAGGAAGGTGGAGAATTGATGGCAATCATCCGTGAAGAGTTAGAAGTATATTCTAAAAACATGAATAAAACAGCATGGTTTCATAATACAATGAATACATGTATATGCGCATTCATATCATAATCATAGCAAGTGTTCCAGAACGTTCTCTTTTCATATCAAATTTTACCTAATTCAAACGCCAGTCTTGTTGCAGATGTGGCTCCAAACGGATTAGGAGGATTGACTTCATAACGAGCTGATACTCTGAATTCCATGTTGCTATTTCCAAGAAGAGTGACATTAGTTGATGAAAGAACAAATTCACCAGTAACATGAAACTCGTAGGAGAAATTTCTCATGGTGGTTACATGTGGATCACCAAAAGATGTTGCTGAAAACAAAGTACAACGAAACAGCAAAGTCAAAGACAAGACGTACTTTGTGCATCCTGTAAAATCGGTTGTGGCAACAAACGCGATTAGGCCGGCTGCAGGGACGCCGTAATGTCGCACTTGCCCCAGCACCATTCAAACAATTCCCTTTGGCAGTTCACGGCACGAACTTCAACAAAGCCCCGTGAATGCGTACCAGGGGAAGGCTAGACAGCATGTTTCTAGACATCAATAGGCATCGTATGAAAAGCCAGTCAATAGCACTAAAGAGCGAAAGCCTTTGTCACGGTTCGGTTTCACTCGCGCACCGGGCCCGAGCTGGCAGCACAAACAAACGCCGGACGCGAGCTGGCAGCACAAACAAACGCCGTACTCACACGAGCGTTGGGCGAACGGATGGCCACAGCCATCAAAAACAGGAACAAACCCATCCACGGCTCTTTCTCTTGCTAGCTGTGCTGCTGCGTGCATCCAACTGTTTTGCAATTTCTCCCTCCCACCCACGCCTCAGGGCCTGGTATTTATTATCGCTCTACACTATCCTACGTCTCGCAATGAGTGCCACTCAGCATGATGGTACTCCAAGCTACATTGTATTTGATCTGTCCTAGCTCACTATTCTGGACAAAATATTAATTCAATTGCAATGAAGCGCCGGGGGCCGGCGGGGGCATTCGGCGGCTTGGTCTGATTCCTAGCTTGTTGGTAACCGGCTTGAGATTTCCAAGGTTGCTATGACAACGTGCAGTCATGCGCAGGGCCACCCAACATGCATTTGGGGGCCCAGGAAAGACAGAAACGCGTTGCTAGGCAACAGCAAAAGCGCTCGGCGAGTATCACGCTACTCATGCAGCACGCACGTTGGCTTAGGGTATCACGCTACCCTTGCGCTGCGGGGTACCACATTGCCCCTCGCTGGAATCAGACCCGCGCCCCGGATACCTTGCGCTGGCCTCCTGACGGCCAAACTCAACCAACTACTTGTGCGCTGTGACTGGGGTTGTGCATGTATTAGCAACATAATGTGGCCGAGGTCGGCAGACTTTCAATTAGCCAAGCGAGCTACTCAGGCCAGGGTGCATGATCACTATTCGCAGCACTTATCGTCCATGCAGCAGTCGGGTTAATGGTGGAGTATATTTGTGCACACCCAGAAGAGGACATACAGTAGGTATCGGCTATAGCGTGGGTGTTTGAAAAACGACTTTCTATTCATATTTCCGATCTTTCTTACACACGATAAAAAAAGGGAAATGCCTAGTTCGCATGCTGGGATCCCAAACCACAGGAATCTCCACGTTTCAACCATCTCAGAGCTTTGGAGAGCCTCCTAAAACTCAGAGAGGATATAAGAACAGCTCTCGAACTTTCCCTCAGTTGCCGTTCTTGGATTTTTCCATATTTCCTTTGAAGAGAAGGGAACGGAAAGGTTTCGTTTTGAAACTGTGGTTCTGTAAGGCTGGTGTGCATTGTACATTACTTTCAAATTTGTACGTGTGCTTCCGATTTGTCTAGGGTACAATACTAGTAGCTACTTACCTGCTAAGACTGGATCACCGGTACTGTATGTACTGTATGGAGATGGACGAAGAGAGTAAAAATAGGAGAGGAAATACTGCGAGTTGGTTCGCAAGCAGGCAAGGAGGTACGTTTCGTCCATGTCGGACAACTGGACGTATGCGCGCCCAGTGGAGCCTGAAAGCAAGAAGTCTCCATCGTAGCAGCAAACCTGTGAGAAGATGCCAGGCAATGCAAAACAGACAAATTAATGATTTTTTTGATACTACAGTCCATTTCAAAACTATAGACGCGTACCTAGGCAAAAACCGTTATGCCAGCATCTATACCACATAACTTGAAATCTGTGATCACTTTGTGCATAATTTTTTCCAAATTGGGCGTCTGTTATCCAATCCTTTAGAAACTATATGAGAGTAATTGTGGAGCGATCCTGAGCAATATTCCGAAAACTATTCTCAAAAAGGTCCAGCCAAATTTGAAATATTTCAAAAACCCTACGCGTCTCTAGTTTTGAAATGCACTGTAAGTGAGAGGCCATGATACAGGCTGAGAGTGACACCTTAACTGGAGTTTAGACCAAAAAGAATTGTACTGTATCATGATCGACTGCTTCCAAATTTCCAAACTAGTTAGATGAAGAAAATGCCCCATCCCCATCCCCTCCCCCTCCTCTCTGCCTAGGCCTATATAAACTGACGAATTCTGAACTTACAGTTGCGATGCTGCCAATGCCCAATGCAGGCAGCGGCGTGCTGCGATAGCAAGTTTGACTCGTCACAGATGTGTAAGTAGAAAATGCATCCTGCAGTCTGATGCTGCGATGCAACTCTGGACAGACTGGATACACGTCTGGGTTGACAGTCAATGAGCTGAACGTTGGTGTTGCCCTGCATGTTACTTGGTTGAGTAAACTTGCACTGCAGCCAGGAGTAAGTCTGGAGATATATCTGCTTGTCACATTATCAATATCATTGGAACTGCTGAGACCAGACAGAGGGTGGAACTGGCCTCCTGCACCAATTACAGCTGGACTGAGTTCTCCACTCCACTGAATGCCACCAACAGGGTAATTGAAGATTGCAAATGATTGACAGGCATCACTTGCAATTACTGCTTGGAAGGTGTTCAGCTGTAATGAAGACGAAACCAAAAAACGGAGCATGAAGAGCTAAGTACGGAGCCAAATCAATTGGATCTGCATACACATGCAGACATGACATGCAGACAATGTGTGCTTTTGAGTTGATAGAGGTTTAGCACTATGTAAAGTCAAGCAACTTTGCGTGAAAAAAACTTTAATTCCCCAGTTTGCACTCAGAGAAAGTTGTTAACGGAGAGTACGTACATGGGGACTTCAGTATTGAAAGTGATGGATTGCGGGGTACATGGGGGATTCTCTCTCCGAGTCTTTCGTGTTTCCCGTCCAGAGTTGCCATAGGCAGCCACGTGGTTTGAAAACTCCGTATGGCGGAACACAGATCCCTATGCAGTGTACATACTGAAACTTTCCGTAGATTGACCAAGGTTCTTTGTAACGTGATAATGTAGCGTGAAACCTGTCTATCGCACCAATTCGGTTACACTTATCGGTGGCTCCACATTACATAGGAAATCTAAAACATACCAGTTTATTCGACAGGCTACATGGAGAAACTGTCCGGAATATTCTACAACAAGTGTGACACGGAAGCATTCTGGATGCTAGGAAGCAATGTTTGTGATATGAGTGCACACTATGTATTCATCAATGTACCTGCTTATGGTAGTGTACTTGCTTACAGTACCCACCTGCTTATAGTAATGTACTTGCTTATAGTAATGTACTTGCTTATAGTAATGTACCTGTTTATAGTTGGATGACTGGCGAATGCCATTCCAAGTCACAATCAGAGCTTCGGTAGCAGCAAATGTCTGGGTAGGCTTCTGAATGCTGTTGATATCGCTGTTTATTGCTTGCACAGTAGCGGCATCGGCACGTGTCACGGAAACACTTGCACCGCAGCTCAGATCTGCACCTTCTGAAGTCCAGAATGGTGCCACGACTGTTGAAGCATCTGTTACATGCCGCGGCAAGTTAACTTGTCCAGCAAACTGGCGGAAAGAAAGGAAGCCACTTGGAGAGACCTGTATTCCCAAACAAAGGCCAACAAGCATAAATCAGCTGTCCATTTGGCGATGTTCTATGCAGGCCTGGAGTGGTGCTTAGTGTATGCATACCAGCTCTCGGGGTATTTGCAGAATTGAAAACATGTAGCAGCACTGCAACTACTTTACTGTTTTCTGATGATCGCTTAGTGAATGAAACTCGGAGTAAAAGCATGTTTTTCGTCCTCTTATTATTGTTTGAACTTGCTCTGCCTCTCGGTATTGAACACTCTCTTGGACACCCTGGAACCTCTCTATTCTAACAGCCCTGATAAAATGGTGTAGTGCACACAGTCAACACGGATCCATTCCGAGGGCCCTCCAAACGGCTTCAGAAAAGCATACCTGTACCAGTCAACTTTCAATGGCCATGTTTAACAGAATCATACATCTTTTTGGCTGAGGCCTAAACGTGTGTGTATGTGTATGGCTGTGAAACTGACCGTAACATTGGTGTATTGCTCATAGGATGCTCCAAAGTAGAAGGGTTGGCTCAGTGAGACCTGAAGGCCAAGCTCAGGGCCACTTGAACTATAAAGGTTTGCCGGCAACTCTAAACAGGGGAAGAAGAAGAAGAAGAATAAAAAGAATAAAAACTGAAGGTGATGCTTCCCGACTTGCTGTATGCCATGACGTCGAGAGCTCAGGTCGGCTGAGGGCAAATAGCCTCACCATCACTATGCTCCCACTATGCATTTTTTTGTCTTTGCCTGTGAGCTGTGATCATTGTAGAAAAAAATGCGATATACATACAAGTACCTTCTAGAGGAAATCAATGAAAAGAAGACAACATGCTTTCAACTAGCAAAGAATCCGCATTCTACCTGCAGAGACACCATGGCCTATGCTTATCCGTAGTCTACACACACGTAGATGGCCAATTCTGGGATGATCTTAAACTTACCAACACATCCAGATGCCTCGGAATAGTACTGGCTTGAGCTTGTGCATTGGTCACATCTGGAGCCAGTATAGCCAGTTTTACATGTACACTGTCCCGATGGTGAGCATGCTGTTCCGGATGAACCATGTTGCGAACATTCGCAGCCTGTACACAAAAGTTGGCGAATAATGACAAGATTGAATTGCCAGATGTGCGTCTGATCAGGGTTCCAGATTCCAACATACTAGAAAAGGCACATTCTAAAAAAACTCAGTGAGAGATAGGTAATATACTGTAACGCCGTGTATAAATGCTGGGTGCATTCCTGTAAAAGTCTATGCAGAACTAGGCTTCCACCACTGTAGTACTCAAATCAGGCTTGCATTCAAACCAGTTTTTTCACTGAACTTCACTTTTTTTCGAGTTGATGGTGCATATGGAAAATCAGGCGTGTATTCAAAACCGGCTTCTATAGGAGACGGGCTCATATACACGACCTTTCGTCACTGGCAATGCATTCCGCTACTCATCAAGCACTTTTAAACCGGCAAAAAAAACAAAAAAAGCATTAACCCGCAAGCGTGCACTTGCAAACACACGGATATCATTTTAAACGTGGTGTCCCAGCAACTTCAAACGGGACCGCACCCATACAAAATACAGCCCGGCAACAGCACCACAGTTCATATAACAGCATCAGTAGCAATATTGCCAAAATGCAAATTCTAGACCAGACTCAGCAACTAAATTCATAGCAATTAAATTTTCTTTTTGGCCTTGATACTCAAAAGCCCACAATTTTAAACACTAAATTAGAATGTGGACTGCATGTTTGGATGGCATTTTGCATGGGGAAGGGAGGGGGTGGGGGAGGGTGCAGAAAACAACAGTACTGGCGTGGTAGTGATGTGTGATAAACATTCGGCTGCATAGCCAGTGCTGTTTAGTGCATAACTTTTGTGACGTATATACACTGTACAAAGCTGGGCAACTAACTCCAACTTGACTTACCCTGGCAACGCTGAACAGAGTTGATATTGAAGCACGTGGTGGTCGAAGAAGGGAGGAAAGAGCCTGATTGACAACTGTCACACTGACGGCCAGTGCTTAGTCTCTTGCAACTACATTGCCCTGTTGCCCTATCACATGTATCACTCAATGATCCACTGCTATCACATGAGCACAGGGAGCAATCTCCATTGTCAGCATAGTATCCTCGATTGCAGCTGCTACAGGTTAGGCCAGAATAAGCAGCTGTGCAGCTACATTCGCCTGAAGTTGAGTTGCACATGCCAAGAGTACGACCAGCTTGGCATGGACATGAGGTGCATGTACTGAAATCATTCAACTTTGCTGTGTAATACCCACTAGCACACTGGTTGCAGTTATCTCCTTGAACATTAGATTTGCATGTACAAGTGCCCGCGGTCTGGGAGCAGCTGGTTGTACCACTTGCATCGCAGGAGCAGGGAATACAATTTACGTTGTCTGTAGCTCTCCTGTGAAGTGCTGGGCACGACCGAACTGGAGAACAACAAGCGAAACCAAGTATTCAGGTCAAAAGCTGACAGTATACTCCACTTCTTCACATGGCAAGAATGAGGTAAGTAAAACAGGGCTAGGGCATACTGCAATGGCAATGTAAAAACACGGGTTTATTCAAACAATACGGCATGGAAAGAAGGAAGAACACCAAAGATACAAGGGATGAAACTCGGCGATGAAATTAAAAAGAAAAATTGAAATAGTCTAATCCAAAGAAACTCTTGGCAGATGTATCAAGTGCAACAGAACTCCAGCAAGTACCACTTACGGTTCTGACAGTTAGCACCTTCATAGTTTCTGGTACAGTTGCAAGAATATGAGTTCACATTGTCAATACAGGCTCCACCATTCTGGCATGGTGAGCTCGAGCATTCATCAACATCTTCGAGAAGAGAAGCAACAGACAAAAGAAAGAAAGTAAATTGATCAGTTTTCCGGATGACTATTGTACGCAGACGGTGTGGCTCACATGATTTGCTGGCACTGTTTTCATGAGCCTATGCCTCAATTTGCCTCAATTTGAAAATCTTGGTACGGGATATCACTGTGTCGGTCGTACACTAGTAATATGATGTCATGCCATAGGACAAATAGTGGAACATTGTAAGCTGAAATCAGGTTGCACCCCCACCAGAGACTGAGCACATTTTGTGAAAAGTGTGCCAAACTTGATTGCATTCTTCAAACTGTGTACGAGTCACCATGGTCACCTTGTACGGTATAATGGGTGAAGCCTTAAGGCCGATTCATACTTAATTTCGCGTACGGGAAACGCGTCGCGTCGCAAAAAAGTTGATCTGAGCTCAACTATTTCGCGTACTGGAAAGCCGTCGCGCGACATGAAGTATGAATCGGCCTTTAAAGATTGTGAACGTGATCATTTGGGACAAAAATCAATGTTCTCGCCAGGTTTCACTGTGAAAAAGTGAAACTGCTCGGTCTGCTTCGGCTTTGAGGCAGGAGCAAGCAGAAAATGTTCTGGCAGAGCTGGAACAGGTGAAGTCCCAACCAAACGGGCTGTTCAGGTGAATCCTGTTCTAGGACTGGGAAATATATTGACATTTTAAGTATATCCCACTGGCTAGCAACTCGAAATCTAACTGCTGTGCATGAAAATATAGCAATAGACATTTTGCAGGGAAACAACAGGGCAAAGGCAAAGATTTTTCAATATGGCTCAGCGAGGATTCGCTCGGCCATACATACAAGCTATGCTCAGCCATACACGTCACGCTCACCCATACCGTAAAGTACCGTTGACCGCACCCTCTCTAATCCCCCCCCTGTCGATTTTCTACCTGTGAAGCGACTTCGGCATATACAACAAAAATACGATGTTGAACCGACGCATGCACTGCTGTACACAATACTTGCCAGTCCAGGATGAAAATGTGCACAATCCAGCACATCGAATCTGAACTTCTACGTTGTTGTACATCGTCCGCCCCTGCCGAAAATCCAGCTGGGAAGCGACATGGCGTGGGGGGCGGATCAACAGTACTTTCTGGTACTAGTGCATGTCATGCGCAGCATTCTCTTACCTGTTTCGCAGTTAATTCCTGTATAGCCAGGTAGACAGGCACACGTGTACAGAGCTACACCTTGGGTGCATGTAGCAGCATTTTGGCATGGGTTGTTTGCACATTCATCAATGTCTGGCAAACGAGCACATCAACAAACCACCGCAATCACTATCTACACATCACGTCAGCATGAGATTGAGCAACATGCCCAGAATGGTCTTGTAACCACTGGAAATGCACAATGCTGTGTCTGTCAGGACAAGGACTAGTTTTTGTTTCTGATAGAGATCTAATGCTGTGTCTGTCAGGGCAAGGACTAGTTGTTTTGTTTCTGATAGAGATCTAATGCTGTGTCTGTCAGGACAAGGACTAGTTGTTTTGTTTCTGATAGAGATCTAATACTGTGTCTAGGAGAGCTCTGAACACATACAGGACAGGCACTTACCAACACTGCAGGTGCTTCCAGTATAACCTGGCTGGCATGCGCAAGTGAAGTCAGCAATCCCATCAGAGCATGCACCGCCATTCACACAAGGGTTTGGTGCGCAGTCGTTTATGTCTGCATAGAGAGAGGAAGGAGACACAGCGGTGGCAATCAAAAATAAGAGAATGGGAATGATTCCAAATACGACAAAGGCGCTGTTTCGATCTATATGATAGAGACGTCTGCTTGTGTTAGACCAGTTCCCATTTCAACCCAAAATAGGAGATCCTACCTTCCTCTATCAGCAGATAAATTAAATGTCACTTTGAAGTGATGACGCCACACACACACAAGGACAAAACACACAAACACACACACATACACACACACACACGTGCGCGCGCACACACACACACACACACACACGCACACCTCACACACACACACACACACACACACACACACACACACACACACACACACACACACACACTTCGAATCCCTATCAGAACTTTCTTCCACAACAGATCTCAGTCAACATCGTTTCTATTATGACATGCACTATTATCTATAATTCGAACCTGGAAGTACGGGATTAAGCCTAGTATTCTAAAGGAAGGGCTATGCCTTGATTTGGAACAAAACAAGAAAAGAACGGATATCTTACTCATGTCACAGGTGATGCCTTGGAAACCCGTTGGACAAGTGCAGTTGTAACCATTCACTTGATCCATACAAGTGGCACCGTTCAGACACGGAGATGACGAACATTCATTAATATCTGCGCAGAGAAAGAGATGATAATGAAACCAGTACCGGAAATCGGTACCCTAGACCAAAACGATAATCCAACAGGACGGAAAACAGAAAGTTCATTTACAGTTCAATTATCGTGTACAACTAACCAGTCTGGCAGAATGTTGATGTGTATCCCGGCAAGCAAGTGCAAGTGTATTGATTGATGCCATCCTGACATGTCGCACCATTTTGACAAAGCGAGTTTGCACATTCATCAATATCTAGAGAGGAAATAAAGGCAATGAATCAGTCAATCCGTCTTATTGGCACGAGTCACCATCGTGAGAATAAAAGATAATAAGAACGGGCATGTATCTCTGGGGACTTGCCAGCTCTAAACTAAACTGCACTGGTACCCGGTCAACACCAGCCGAGGGATGTCTTGATCCGAGAAGGCGAGATGTTGATTAAGGATTTTAGCAACGAAGGAAACCCTCTTGCAGACCATTACATTATGATTAGCATTTCATACTCCTGGCTGAAGAGGCTAGCAGATGTGTACAATCTTAATTGCTTCAGGTTTTTACAGCAAATATACAGAATTGTTGAATTCTCGGGGTGAAGAACTCCTACAAAGAAGGCCCACTCCGCATTCGGATTCCACGGGCGGCTACTACTAAAAGCACAGACTGCGACATGCTCATGCTGTCATCACGACTAAGTCGTCAGCAAGTACAGTGGAAAGCAAAAGAGCTACACATCAAAGACCTACCTGTTTGACATTCACTCCCGGTGTATCCAGGATCACACGTACACTGGTAGAGGTCAACCAGATTGTTACAAACTCCATTCTGGCAAGGGTTACTGCTGCATTCATCAATGTCTGAGCAACATTTCACAGACAGCACACACAGGAACATCAATTAAAAACACTAGTGATTTTTACAGCAATCATTTACGGCAATAAGTCAAACAAAGAACAAATAAGAATCTCGGATATTGAGCCAATAATAATGTAGAAAGGAAAAGGGTATATGGAAACGAGTTAAGAGTAATAATGTGAATAAATACTATAGTATTAGATACTGAGTGAAAGTGACCACTATACAGTTATTGGCAGGAAATCACTGCTAGAACTCCTCATCAAATAAATAAGGAGTAATGGACACCAGGAGCTACTTGTATGCCGGTCCAAGGCCCATTTTTGGCTGAATTATACTTGGAGATCTAAGCCTAATTTTGGCCCAAATCAGGTTTAACACAAGCACAGCACTGGGTTCGATTATGTAGCTTCAAGACACTCACCTTGACAGTTGGTACCATTTCCAGTATAGCCAAGATTGCATGCACATGCATAGGAGCCATCATTGTTGCTACACGCTGCATTAGCTGAACATGCGTGTGTCCGAAGGGTACATTCATCGTTATCTGCAGTGCATAACGCGGTACACAGTGCTTGAATAAACTTCCGCACCAACAAATACAAAATACACTATTTTTGTCAACTTGGAATTTGTTGGCAAGAGACTGTCGATTTCATAGAACACCAGAAACTTTGGACGCATCCGATTACATGCTCTGAGATTACGGCCATGTAAACGAATGAATGGAATTTGTCGTGAATTCTGTACTCGTGACCGTGGAAAGGGTTCACGTATACAACTATTAGTATAAATCATGTACTCAAATATAATATGTAGCAAACAAGCATGCGGTCCAGAAAGTACACACCAAATGCGTAAATTCTGGCGGTAGAATTCGAAATTCCGCCTTCACTTCACTTCAATTCCTTGGATTCTGACGACGAATTCTGTGTAATCATGCATGGAAACGAATTCCAGAATGGACAGAATTGGGTGTGATCAAATGCTCCCATGCTCCCTGCCAATCGGCAATTTGTTCCCAGTTTGGTAGAAAATGTGAGAATAGCGCAATACTGCAACTCACCAGCACACGTGGTCGTTGTATAATTTGTTGGTTGTCCACTGTGTTCGCAAAGAACATGATCAGCTCCTTCCAAAGTGTAGCCAGTATCACATGAAAAGTTCAGCCGCTGGTTATAAGTAAAGATGCCCAGAGATACGGTACCATTGCGTGGCGGAGTAGGCCTCTGGCAGGTAACAACTGCAGGATCAAACCAGAATGCAGAAATGTTTAAAAAAGAAAGATCCCAAAACAGCGTACACGCAACTGTCGGGCACAGAAACAAGGTCCAAAGTGTCAGGCACAGACAGAGCTGCAATGCAGAAACAAGATCCAACGTGACTGCATCGCAAGTGACAATCACGTACAACCGGCCAAAGACTGCCTGCCTAGATGCAAAGGGTGTGTGACAAACTGAGTGTACAGACTTACTTGTACAAGAGAATCCTGTGCCATTGTAGCCAACAACACAGTCACAACGATAAGTACCAATCATATCCGTACAGTTTGCATTCGTGTCACATTCGTGCCCACTTACACACTCATTGATATCTACAAAGAGAAGACATACAAAATGCAGATCAAAAGGCTGCATTGCACAAGTTCACCACCTGATTCCGGGCATTGAAGTTGACTGTTGATTATGGTTCAAAGAGAGAACAGTTACCGGTAAGTATGGCTGATATGACAAGCCCACCTTTTTGTGTTCTTCTCAGACATGCTCTCTAAGAAATAATTTGATCTATCGCAATCGTACTACTGTGCTAGGGGAAATTAATATGGCTATGTAAACAGTAGATGACACACAATTCCACAAGCACATGTTATAGGATACGGAGACAAAACTTACTTGTGCAATAGGTCCCGTTTCCAGTGTAGCCACTCTTACATGAACACCCAAAACTTCCTTGAGTGTTAGTACACATTGCATCATGGTGGCAATCATGGAGAGTAGCGTTATCACACTCTACAATATCTGGTTGATGGAATAAATAAGACAAGAACATGACAAAATACTGTAAGTCGAATAAATTCACAGCAGCAGCTTCTTGTGACTGCAGTGGACCCGTAGCAAGCCATATCAGGACAGACAGAAGCAGGTTTTGGTTAATCCGGCAATACCATAGCCTTTCATACAGTTTGTGTATGATATGGAGGGTATACACATGATATGGAGGGTATACTAGGGTATACACATGATATGGAGGGTATACACATGATATGGAGGGTATACACATGATATGGAGGGTATACACATGATATGGAGGGTATACACATGATATGGAGGGTATACACATGGCCACCTCAACAGTAAACACACATTGATGGCCAAACGTTGGTCCGGCCATGGCCTGACCAACCGGACCGGTTCCGCCGCCTCCACCCTGCATATCCTTAATAACTACATTGAACTACACTCACCTTGGCACACGGGGGCCGCGGCTGTAAGACTTCCACTATCATCACAAAGAGAACTAGGCTCACCAACCAAACGGTAGCCAGTATTGCAGGAGTAAGTTACATTCTGATCAAAGTTAATTGTCGGCGGAAGTGGACTGACACTACCATTTGCGGGTGCAGTAATTTGACATACTTTGACTGCATAAGAAAAAACATCAGAAGCAACAAAAATCATGTAGATAAACTCCATAATACATGCTATTTCTTGGTTAAACTCCAGTGCCTTACGTTTAAATATGTACTCTGATAAAACCAAATTGGCTGTGCTGCAAACAGCCTCCTCTGTACTGTCAACATACACAGTCTAGAGTTGCGCGCGTGCGCAGTATGCAGCACATGGACTTGGCCCGACCGCAAATATTCGAATTTTCGAACCTTCGACCTAGATATTATCCGATCGATTATTCGTTGCAGTTGAAGACATCGAGGAAATTAGAATAATCGATTATTCGCTGCGTCACTAGTTATCATAATTATGGACTGAACTCCCATGGCATGAACTGGGCTTATAGACAGATTCAATCTTGCTATGTAAGAATGTGCAGCAAGAGCCTAAAAGCAGATATGCTGGGAAAGATATCCAACTTACTTGTGCATGTTGGTGCATTCTGCCACAGCCCACCAGTGTTGGTACACGTTTGAGCTGTTTGGCCTGGAATGTTCTCATAACCAGGAACACAGGTTACAACTCCAGTGGTAAGAATGGAATCAATGAACTGCCCTTCTGGAATCTTGCAAGCTATAGCAAAGAATGAAACAAAATAATGAAGAAAAACATTGCTGAGGATTCAAGAAGAGGCCTTCTCCATCTTGCCCATGAGTGCGATCACTCTCAGATTTCTTCATATACCAGAGAACATCAGTTGCAACAATTTACAGGAAAGTGAAAAAGGCTGCAGGTGCAGAAATATTCATCGCACCGTCTTGGTTACAACAGTACGAATGGGAATCTTACAAATGTTTGCCCCTGAAAGCATCATCAGGAATGGAAAGGACTTTGACACAGAGACTAGTAACATAGTTCAAAGGTAGAAATAGACATTGCACGTAAGTGACAATTCACACAGGTGACGATACCAGTAGGGCCCTTAGGGTGATATCCAGCAGAAAACAGCACAAACATTAGTAGCAAAAACATTACGTAAAAGCATTGAAAAAATCGTATGGCCAAATGGGCAAAAAACACATACCTTGACAACTGCCAATGTTCTGCCAGGACACAAACGCATCTTGGCAAACAGGCAGCGACCCATTGTAATAGTATCCATCGTTGCATGTTACTGTGCCACTAGCTGACACAGAGGCAATGTTGTGACCACTACCATCAACCGTACAGGCTAATCATAAACAGAAATCACAAAGAAGGTGTAAACACACATGAGGAAAGCTAGCAAAACACAACCAGCACAGGACTATTATCAAAATACACAAGCATTGCAGGCGCAAGTCAGCGCACCTCAGTGCTATTTACCACCATTTCAACAAGTCTCCAACAAATCACCTCTAACATGTTAGTGCACTTGAAAAGTAAATCTCTGAGGTACACATTCTCACATGTGCATATGTAACAGCAAACAAGTAGGCCAGCATGCAGTGTGCAGCAGGAGTCATACCTTGACAAGCTGGTATTGATCCAAAATCAGCGACATCACTCGAGACGGAACAATTAACAAGCGTGTTGCTCGTGCCTGTTGAAAGCCTATATCCCTGATCGCAGTTATACACAGCTGAAGAGTACAAGTTTGCTGAAGAGCCAGAAACAGCTACTCGAGTTCCATTCACAACACCATTGGTGATTGCTGCTGGCTCGCTGCACAAAGCTGCAAAGCACAAAGATTGCCCAAACACATGCCATTAAATTATTATTATTGCAGTACAATGGTGCTGATTTGAACCTCAATTTTCCGGCAAGTAACTTTTAACTATCCCAAACTGTATGTTAAACCCAATATCATGTATGTCAGATTGAAATAAGCAAGACATTCAAATTAAATTTGAAAGCATTGGGACACCTTTAAATTCAAAGGATAAATCAGGGAAGTGAACTGCCTGAAAGGTTCGATTGCTGGTGAGGTTGGCATTCTTTTCTCTTTTCAGACTGATCCTTTGAACCTTCAAAACCATAATTTGAATTATCGTACTGTAAATCAACAATTTTCTACGAGAGAGAGAGAGAGAGACAGCATAACAATGGACTAGGAGGAGCAATTGGTAACGTTACAATGACAGCCGTGACTGTAGTATACACCTCGATGTTCTAATGGCTACTACTCAGAAGTGTCACAGGTAAATAATGGAGTGATCATATGCAATAATTTAATCAAAACGATGGCTGGATGTTACAGAAACCCCTGGAAACAGGAGCTGGACGTTGCAGGAACCTCTCATTTCGCTTCACAAGAGAATCTCAAAGTGAGAACAGCCTTGCAATTAAGAGTGTCTAAAACTGAGGGAGGCAAAAACTTCAGTGAACTCATGGGACGGAATCATACCTGATGATCAACACCAATCGAAAGAAGAGAAACAAAAAATAAGTTACCGGCAAGCCACCACAGGTGTGCTGCCCTCTTATGTAACAAGGCAGAGAAGGACGTATATAAAATATACCTCTGCAGTTTCCAACTCCTTCCCAATTGCCAGTTGTTGAGTTCTTGGGGCATGTAGCAACTGAGTTGCCTTCAACACGTGTATAGCCAGTTGCACAGGTTACTTGGCCAGTAGTTCTGTCAACACTGGCGATGTTCAATTCAGGGAAGGTACAACCTGAAGAAAAAAAATCAAAACAAATGCAAGTAAGGCAACGTGGCGACAATAATCTTAATAGTGCAATGAATAAAACTACAGTTGTCGCAGGACTTCATGGCGCTCGGACAACTGCAATACTAGTACACAGACTCTCACTAGCTACATAGTACTCTGATTCTGGCACGTTATTTCTGCATTGAATAGTGATTGATTTTCCGCGCCGAATTTCCGACGCTGCATGCATGTCCAATGCGCGTCAACAGTACTTCACACTTTCCTTTTCCCGCGTTATCACCTCAGCTATGCCAGTTTTGTATGTGGAAACCCCTATAATAGCAGTTTGGTCCATATTTTTAATCATTCAACATCTACCTTCACTGATGAGCTATGTATTAGCGAAGCAGCTGTCTGAAGGAGTTTATCAATATCGTCTAGGGAAGTGTCCTCGCAATGGTGATGGTTGTGTGCAGGAGGGTCTAGTCGGCTAAAGAGCGCAATGTAATGAGTGAGCCAATTAGTTTTATTCATTGCATTATTGAAATGCAAGTAAAACTACACTCACCAATCTGGCAAGAGAGCAGAATCGGTGGTACAAAAGTTCAGAAAAACGATTAACTGCTGACGAAATATGTTAGTACAGTCAAACCTCTTTAGCCCGAACACTAATAAGGCGAACATTCCATTAGTACGAACTAGGGCTAATCCTATGGTTGGCCAGGTATCAAATCAAGTCGAAATTATTTCTCAACGACGAACTCCTGAACGATGATCTATTTTCAAATTTGATTTGAACAAACTGCTGACGAAACACGTTAGTAACTTAGTATCACAAGCAATCAGTCAGTCTGAAGCTCCTGTCCCATGCAATGCGTACAACTCCTCACCCCGACAAGAGGTTCCATTTCCGTAGAAACCAGCATTACAAGCGCATGTGAATGATCCAACAGTGTTTGTGCACGTTGCTGATGAGTCACAGTTATGTGCACTGGATGCACATTCATTGATATCTGAAATCATCGTAATAATTGTAAAAAAGAACATAATTTTACACTGCACAGAAACACACACTTCCAACACCAGAAACACCAGAAACATATTAATCATTATACTGATACAGGTGAACCGACACTGAATAGTTGGTATGCAGCCGCCATCTACAATGGAAGTTTGGCTATGAATTAAGTTACATAGGTAAGCACCAATGAAAACATAAAAGCAATAAGCAATTGCTCACCATCACATCTAGGTGGTAAGGTAAACTCTGGATTGTCATTTACAACAGAACATTGAATAGTTGCCCGGTCACTCGATAGACTGTATCCTCCATTACAGGTATACACAACTGAAGAGTAGAAGTCAGCAGTGGAGTTTGCAACAACAACGACACTTCCATTTGCCACTCCATTCACAATCACCGGAGTGCTGCACAAGGCTATATGAAAAAGCAAAAAGGCGTGAATAGTAAGAATGATGTGAAAAGGCCATTGCAGCAACATAGTAGGAAAATGGTGAATAAAACACACTTGACAAGATGGCAGTAAATACCCAGATGCCCAGAAGTAACTGGGCATTCTCCGTCTGCATTCAATAGTTATTTCAAAACGATACTCCTTCAAACCCACCCACCCCCAAACAAAAACTTTTTCGTTTTGAAAATATTATTGGTAACTTTAGCTGGCCCCTATTATACATAATAAATTGTCAAGTACCTCTGCAGCTTCCAACTCCTTCCCAATTGCCAGTTGTTGAGTTCTTGAGGCATGTAGCAACTGAATTGCCTTCAACACGTGTATAGCCAGTTGCACAGGTTACTTGGCCAGTAGTTCTGTTAACACCGACGATGTTCAACTCAGTGTAGGTACAACCTGCAAATGATAAAGACCAATGGAAGTAAAATTTACACTTATCCAGCTGGCAAGAGAAAAGTTGTTGTAGAATTATTGCAACAAAAGATTAGACCAATGAGCAACTGCTTGCAGAAATACCTAAGCATCACCAGTAAGGGGCCATCGGGAAATAATAGTGTCATGACCCGGATCAGACTCGTCGTGAAAGCGACCACGCATTGAGTTCAGCAGCCAAAGCTAGACTCCGAAAGAACCATGATTAGTCCTGCGAAGGATTTGGCACTTTCGTTAGTTGAGCAATCATGGCTTACAACTCGTGGCCTAGAGTCGCAAAGTGTTGTCGTACGTCGGCAACACCTTCAGTACAAACCGTCAGCATTGTACTCACTACACTCTGAGCTTGAGGAAACCACGCTTAGTCCTGCAAGGGAGCTGATACCTTTGTTAGTGGAGCAATAGTGGCACCTCTTCTCGTGTCGTAAGACGCAAAGGGTCGACAGTACTTCGCGTACTCTAGACCCCAGGCCTGTTGGAGGGAACACGGCATTGCCGTCTGCTGCTATGCTTGGGGGAAGAGCCCGCCTGTACTGCTGCAATGCATCCCAGCCACCGGAGCGCGGACCAAGATCGTGCCAGCATTTGGAGATCACTGATATTCACATTTGGGTGAGTGGGCTCCCCGTATTGATCTCTGTACTATATTCTAGTCTGGCAGCATTTGGAGATCACTGATATTCACATTTGGGTGAGTGGGCTCCCCGTATTGATCTCTGTACTATATTCTAGTCTGGCAGCATTTGGAGATCACTGATATTCACATTTGGGTGAGTGGGCTCCCCGTATTGATCTCTGTACTATATTCTAGTCTGACTGATTGTAATAATATTATAGAAATAACACGCATTCTTGCCGCTGTATACTTTTGATCACATAATGTAGCATATATAAGGAGCTGTTTTGCTAACACCTCGATCCGGGGAGCTCACTCCTCTCTCGATTCTCGACTCTCGGGGAGCTCACTACTCCTCCGACTCTCTCCTGCTTTGGGTCTTTTGACTGCTCAAGTGGAATTAGAAACCTGTCGTTCCGTGTGAGCTAGCTAATTTGGATGGCGACTATATTGGTCGTCTACATGGGGAGCCACTAGACTGATCTAAGCCAAGTCACAAACCCGCCAACGCGCGGCCATGACAATAGTATTTATTTAGATTAGAAACGAAAACAAGTCGTTTCTCTTCAACCCCCATCACCTCCTTGAGAAACGAACACATGCAAATGGTACATAGTATCGTTATTTTTACTTTTTTTGTACATCGATATTTTTCAAGAAATGAACAGGCGCTCAATCCGCTCCCCCTAAACGACTAGTTATTGTTTCTAAATAAATAACTATATTCAGGGATGGCCTCTAAGTGTGAATGTGTTCAAAGAAGCAAATAGGAGATCATCTAGATCTCGGTCTGATTAAGCCAACAAAGCAGGTACACATGCTGGGGTCCATTTCTAGATATCAAAGTCAATCTAAAGCGCTGGTCTCATGCAATGCGTACAGCACCTCACCCTGACAAGATGTTCCATTTCCATAGAAACCAGCATTACAAGCGCATGTGAATGATCCAGCAGTGTTTGTGCACGTTGCTGATGAGTCACAGTCATCTGTGCTAGAGATACATTCATTGATGTCTGCAATCATCGGAATAATTGTAGAAAAGAACATTACAGTATATTACATTGCACAGACACACACTTCCAACACCAGAAACATAATTATACTGATAGCGGTGAGCCAAAACTACATAGTTTGTAGGCAGCTGCCATCTATACATAAGCATCAATGACAACATCAGTAAAAGCAATAAGCAATTGCTCACCATCACATGTAGGTGGTAAGGTAAACTCTGGATTGTCATTTACAACAGAACATTGAATAGTTGTCCGGTTACTCGATAGACTGTATCCTCCATGACAGGTATACACAACTGAAGAGTAGAAGTCAGCAGCCGAGTTTGCAACAACAACGGCACTTCCATCCGCCACTCCATCCGCGATCATTGGAGTGTTGCATAAGGCTGGATGACACAAAATGAAAAACAACAAGACGTGAATATCAAGAAAACATGTAGTGCAGAGCAGGAACAAACAGTTTATTGGTATGGGGAATGAGGTTAAATGAAAAAAGCAAAACAAATGGTGTGAATAGTGAGGAACAACACAATCCATCAATCATAATTATACAGTTTGTGGACCCGAAAGGGTGAAACACATTTACGAGACATAAATTGTCAAGTACCTCTGCAGCTTCCAACTCCTTCCCAATTGCCAGTTGTTGAGTTCTTGGGGCATGTAGCTACTGAATTGCCTTCAACACGTGTATAGCCAGTTGTGCAGGTTACTTGGCCAGTAGTTCTGTTAACACCGGCGATGTTCAATTCAGTATAGGTACAACCTGAAAAATAAGAGGAATGGGGGGGGGGGGGGGGGAGAGAGAGAGAGAGATGCATTCTGGCCTATAGCTACATACTTCTAACAGAACGTGGCACCAATATTCTCTACATATTATCAAGTGGCATTCAGATGGCAGGAGGAGAAACGTCCAAAGTTAGGAGAAGCGACTTCTTCGACTTTCAAAGAAAAGTAATCATGCGATGCACCAACGCTATCATTGTGATCCCAGTCGGAAGGGTGATCCCAGTCGGAAGGGAGGGGGAGGAGGCATTTTACCGTAACAATACCACATTGTTTGGTTCAGATGGGGCAGGAGATTATACTGACTAGATATAAAATCCAATGTATACCCACTATTACACAAACTTACCCTGACAAGAGGTTCCATTTCCATAGAAACCAGCGTTACAAGCGCATGTGAATGATCCAACAGTGTTTGTGCACGTTGCTGATGAGTCACAGTTATGTGCACTGGATGCACATTCATTGATATCTGCAATAATAGGATTAATTGTAATAAAGAACATTATTTTTTAATATTTTACACTGCAAAGAAACACACACCTCCAATACCAGAAACATAGTATACTGATAGAGGTGAACCGACACTGCATAGTCGGCTATGAATTAAAAGTTACATAGGCCAGCATCAAGGACAACATCAGTAAAAGCAATAAGCAACTGCTCACCATCACATGTAGGTGGCGAGGTAAACTCTGGATTGTCATTTACAACAGAACATTGAATAGTTGCCCGGTCACTCGATAGACTGTATCCTCCATTACAGGTATACACAATTGAAGAGTAGAAGTCAGTAGCGGAGTTTGCAACAACAATGACACTTCCATTTGCCACTCCATCCGCGATCACTGGCGTGCTACATAAGGCTGAATGTCACAAAGTATGACACAAAATGAAAACAACATGACGTGAATAAGCAAGAAAAACATGTAGTGCAGAGCAGGAACAACAAGCATACATGTACAAACATATATACGTATACTTCTACATACTCCATGCACAAATTGTCAAGTACCTCTGCAGCTTCCAACTCCTTCCCAATTGCCAGTTGTTGAGTTCTTGGGGCACGCAGCAACTGAATTGCCTTCAACACGTGTATAGCCAGTTGTGCAGGTTACTTGGCCAGTAGTTCTGTGAACACCAGCGATGTTCAATTCAGTGTAGGTACAACCTGGACAAAAATGCAAGGAAAATCAACTAAAATTACACTCAGCCATCTGGCTACAGGAAGCTGAACTGGTGCAAGTTCAGACAAACTAGCTGCTGATGAAACACGTTAGTATCACAAGCAATCAGTCAGTCTGAAGCTCCTGTGCCGTGCAATGCGTACAACTCCTCACCCTGACAAGAGGTTCCATTTCCATAGAAACCAGCATTACAAGAGCATGTGAATGATCCAACAGTGTTTGTGCACGTTGCTGATGAGGCACAATCATTTACACCAGAGGGACTGCATTCATCGATATCTGCAATAATAGGAACATTAAGCACCAATGACAACATAAAAGCAAAAAGGAATTGCTCACCATCACATGTAGGTGGTAAGGTAAACTCTGGATTGTCATTTACAGTTGTGGCAATTGAAATCCGACACTTGGCATAAGGGACTACACCATGCAGTCTGCAGCCCTGCGTACGTACAGTACATGTGTTGCATACTACTTTATCTGTCTGATGACATAACTCGTACTCATCACAGTCAAGGTTCAAAAGGTGCTGGCAAAAATGAATGGGGATTGGATACCAATACTCCTTATGTGTACCATGTTTGTGAACTGTGTGTATCTACGCTGTGACCTTTCGATCCGTTTTGGATGCATACGGCTCTATTGTACAAATTAGGTGCAGTGCATTACATCATTGATGTCCATTTGTGGCGCTGTCCCCTATGGCAAGAGTCGGATTTCACTTGCCACAACTGTACAACAGAATATTGAACAGTTGTCCTGGATTCAACGCTCGATGGACTGTATCCTCCATTACAAGTGTACACTCTACCTCGCCGCCGGGCACATGGTTGGCAGCGCAACAAACGGCCATAGCATGAATGCAGTGTGGGTCATGCCGGTGGTCGCAGCCGTGAAAAGGAGGAAACCTTTTGCAAGTTACCCTTGTGCTGCATGGAGGTTACCACATTGCCCCTCGCTGGAACCAGACATGTACCCTGAACACCTAGCCTCCTGACGATCAAACTCAACACATCTGTGCTGCGTGCCTGAGGTTGTGAATGTGGTCGATGTCCACTGGCTCCCAATCAGCCATGCTAGCCAGGGCAGGGGCATGATCACAGTCCGCAGCACCTGCTGTCCGTGGAGCAATCGGTTTAAGTAGTATGCAATTAAAGGGGAAGTTAAGACTTAAATCAAATTTTTACCGCCATATTGCCAGGTGTGTCTTTACCACCATATTTATCAACCATAAGTACAGCTGCAGTGGTGTCCTCAACTTCATTATTATATTTAAAGGGGAAGTATACCCTAAAATCAAATTTTCACCAGTTGTAGTCTTCGGGGTGCTGAGTCGAATGGTCTTGGTCCGAGGAAGCTGAGACGCTCCCTTCCTACTTTAATCCCAATCGAACTCGTGCACTTCCACAGAAACTGGATGACTGCGCCCTACTACATGGGGATTTGTATGCAAAATGTCACTAAAAGCGCCATTTCGTTCTTATAAAAGCACGGATGAGGCCCATATGTTGTAGTCTTTTGGACGCTGAGTCGACTGGTTTTGGTCCGAAAAGGGTGCGATGCAGCGTTCGGCCCTTATTCCCAATCGAACATGCTTGAACAAACGGTCACGTGCTCCTGCGTACACCAGTCACCTGGTCACTGTGCCTGCAGGTTTTGGTCCGAGAAAGCTGCGATGCAGCGTTCCTCCTTTATTCCCAATCGAACATGGTTGAACAAGCGGTCACAGCGCCAGCAGGCGACAACTTTCACACCAAGGTTCAACTCGAGTTCAACTCGAGTGGCAGGACTGCACCCAAAAAAGGTCAAACAGGCTGTAAGTTGTACCCTGCAGGCACGGTGACATTTTGCATACAAATCCCCATCTAGTAGGGCGCAGTCACCCAGTTTCGGTGGAAGTGCGAGAGTTCGATTTGGATTAAAGAATAAAGTAGGAAGGGAGCGGCTCAGCTTCCTCGGACCAAGACCATTCGACTCACCACCCTGAAGACTACAACTGATGAAATTTTGATTTTAGCCTTAACTTCCCCTTTAATTCCACGTACCACAGGCTTTCCAACAAACTAACACCTACAGTAAGCACAACAACAAATCAATAACTATACTCACCATCACAAGTGATGCCACAACAACAAATCAATAACTATACTCACCATCACAAGTGATGCCACAACAACAAATCAATAACTATACTCACCATCACAAGTGATGCCACAACAACAAATCAATAACTATACTCACCATCACAAGTGATGCCACAACAACAAATCAATAACTATACTCACCATCACAAGTGATGCCACTAGTCGCAGAAGGTTTCCCGTTGGCTTGACAAACCACACTATGACCACCATTCAGCTGATACCCGGTCAGACAAAAAATGCTCAGGCTGATGTTGAACGTGAAGCTTCCCTGACTGACTGGGGTGATTAGACCGTTGGTAGGCGGCTGGGGCACTGTACAAGTTATAACTGAACAGACACACAGACAGACAACTCCTCAGAGTGCAATCCAACTAGCACAAACTGCAGTTTTCAGGCCTGCACCAATACAAACACTGATTATCAGTAAAGAGTGGCAAGTTGTATGGCGAATATGTACAGTGGTGACAGAAATGACTAAGATAAAAAAAAGATTACGAAAATCCATTCACCCGGGGCTTGCAGTTGAACAAGATCAATACAGAGCCTTGGTACTGCACATGGCCAATGTGCTAGGGCACAGACTTGTACATCACCGAGATACAGTGTAGCGGCTTGGACTATGAAACCGTGTTTTGACTTCGGTCACGTCCACACTGGATTATCTCAAGCAAAACAGATTGAACAATGATCTTACTTTCGCAATGTGTTGTATTTCCTGTGTAACCAGTCTTGCAGTGGCAGTTAAATGTGCCCATTGTGTCCGTGCAAATGGCGTCTTGATGACAGTTGTGAAGATCAGAACTGCACTCATCAATATCTAGATACATGTGAAAAGTGAGCATTCAAAATAGACATAGGCAATGAGCATTCCACACACAAGAAAAGAACATAAGGGGAACATAAATAATGAAAGCACGTCGAATGTGGTATATGTCTATGATACTATCTCATCTCTGTTACGCCTCTAATTGCTTCTTTCCTGCGCTTTCACGGTCTCTGCTAAATTGCCTTGTAAAACTGCATAAGTCTGGTATTCGTGCTGTGTTTCAGGCTCCCCGCCGCACTGCAACAGCTCCCTTGCTTGCTAAGTTATCCATACCATCACTTCACCAAGTCCTTTTACAGAAGCTGCTTGTATTTGTTTTCCGGTCTATACACGGATCTGCAAGCTCTCTCTTTCAAGATTATTTTGTATTACTTGCCCAGCCTCAGATACCACTTGCTGATCGTATAGTCACCCGTGGGCAGCTGCATAATTTACTTCGCATCCCATTCCTACCCAATCCTGCTGGGAGATGTTCTATCCAATTTCTGGGCAGCACCACATGGAACTCTCTACCTGATGCTACCCGCTCTCTAACAAACCTTGTTCATTTCAAAAAATCTCTTTCAGATCTTGATCTCACTTCACTCCATTAGCTATTGACACACGAGTACGTTCTGTCCCCTGTCCATCATCAATATTATCTACATGTACAACCACAACACACATAAAATACACTGCTGCATGGTATTTTTATAATTGTCCTGCTGACGGTCATGACATCTTATCAAATATTAATCTATCATACTATTATATTTTTCATCATAGCCTAGGAGCTGTGGCATCATTAATGATCCACAGCAAGAAGGCAGCAATGACTGTACCTATGGTGAAGTAAAATAAAGCTAACATAACATAACTTGAGGGGAACATGAGGGGAACATGAGGGGAACATGAGGGGAACATGAGGGGAACATGAGGGGAACATGAGGGGAGCGTCATCAAAGTCAATGTGTAAGTGAAATTGCCCTCCATCAACTCCAGGATAACATGCATGGCTGGATACAACTGCTATCTTCATACTTGGCACAGGTATGGGTATGAGTGCTGCCATTTTGTGGCAAAACCGATTACTAGTAGCAAGAGTTGTTTGAAATAATAAGAGCACAGTCTCTACAGTCCATTCAGAAAAAGATGGACTTCTAGCTTTTGGCCATAAATAGGGCAAACGTTGAGTTTTTTTAGAATTTTTTTCTGCAATCCCCTATGGAATCCTCTTCCAATTATGTTTCTGAAGCCTATTTCTCCAAAAAGCAAGCCATAGCAAGAATAGGATTTCGGCCAGGTTTTGCCCCAAGAGCACTGAATTGAGAAACCCATCAAAATCCAGGCCGTTTGGCACTGCCTGCAACAGTGCATTGTACGGTTCGAACCCCAGTTCAGGTACCCTTTTGGACCCTTTTTCAAATTTCAAATTTCACAGCATGCACTGCACTGTGTGCGATAAAATCTTGAAAAATCGCCTAATACGGGAGCTCGCCAGAGCCAGGGCCCATCTTTTTGTGAATGGACTGTAGTAGTAGCGCGGGTCACAATTGGAATATGCAAAAGTATATTGGCTGCATATAAAACAGCAGTACAGCATGCCACTCACATACATGTGTTTGTAAGGAGGTTTTCGGTCTACTACTTCCCACGCCATTGTAAAACATCAGTTTTGACAATATTCCTAAGTGTGGGGAGAAAAGCAGTCTTGATATGGGTAGTTACGCCTATATAGACTGGAGTTGGCTTGATAGTGGAGGATTGAAAACGAGAGAGCTTGGAAGCTCAGGGCCCTACGCTATGCTTTTATGCTTTTTTGCCTAGCTCATCGTACATGTTATAAGAACTGAGGCAAAAGTATTTGCAGAATTTATTGCGGATTGTTATTTCTCTAATAATCATCTTCTTTTGGTTTGCTCCTTCTTTTCTTTTTATCTCCTTATACTGTAAATCAACAAATTTTGGCTGATGAGAAATAGAAACCTCTCTATTAGAGAGGTTAAGATGCACGTTATTTCCGACGCGACGCGCAATTTCACGTCAAATTTGAAATCGATAAGTATTTTTGCTCTCACATGCATCCATTGCTCAATAAAGCATCAATTTTCTCTATGACAAACTTTGGCCTGTGATTTACTTTGGCCGGTTGGTACCAAGCGGCGAAATCAGCGAAATTAAATCGCCAGCGAAAATTAGTTGATTTTAATACAGTAATCGGATTTTCTGGGATTTGTAGTAATACATGTACATTGACCTGTTGAGCCAATGACGACGCCGAATGCATGGTTGCCTGTGGAGCACATTACATAACTTAGCAGTCTCCTAAAATACGTATCCTGTCCGACTGCAAAAGAGTCTGCAGATTTAGTTTTTCTGCGCGTCGACGGGATGTCTGCGACGCGAAAGTTCAGCTCGCGTTATTTGGCTCGCACGTCGAAAAATCAACGCGAGTGACCTGCTGCTCACGTGGAAATTTGGACATTACATAACTTTACAGTCTCCTATAATACGTATCCTGTCCGACGGCAAAAGAGGCTGCAGATTTAGTTTTTCTGCGCGTCGACGGGATGTCTGTCCTGACGTTCACTGGGACCGGCGCTGACTCTGCCGATCACAGGCGTTCTGGACTCGACAGGATGTCTGTCCTGACGTTTCCTGGGACCGGCTTAGACTCTGCCGATCACGGGCGTTCTGGACTCAACGGGATGTCTGTCCTGACGTTGCTGGGACCGGCGGACTCTGCCGATCACGGGCGTTCTGGAGTCGACGGGATCTCTCTTCCGACGTTTCCTGTGACCGGCGCTGAATCGCTCGTTCACGCTTATTTTGGAGACGACTCTCTTCCAAAGTACATGTATATTTATGCTGACGCTGTTTATGCTGACGCATCCTATCACCTATTCGGCGTCTATTCTAATTTAATTTCCTCCTCGTCTCACTATTTCTTTCCAAATCTCCCTCTACATCAGGGAGTCGTATACATAATACGACGAATATTGGTACGGTACGGGATAGATACAGGAGCCCGCAAATATTGTGGACAGCTGATATGTACAATCCTGTAGAGCCTTTGTAGTCACAGATACGGGACAGATACGGGATAGCGCCAGGCGTGACACAAACAAACAAACAAACACACAAACAAACAAATACCAAATTAAAGCTGTGTGGACCCTGGCTAGCGCCAGACGTTACTGAAGTAACGTCTTCTGCATAGCTACGGGAATTAAATAAAATAGTAGCACCGTCTCTAATAGGAGCGCAGGTAGAGCTGTCGCTGAAATAAAAAAGAGCCCTGGGCTCTTTAATATCAGAGAAAATACGGTAAATATATTCCAGGCAACAGGTCAGTTGCATACCTAGGGCATGAAGCACCTACTTCCAAGTAGATGTAGCACCAACTTACAGTCCCAATACACTTACTCTCACAGTAGGTTCCATTTCCAGCATAGCCGGTCAAACAAGAACAGGTATAACTCCCCACGGAGTTGTTACACCGTGCATCACGGTGACAATCATGAAGAGTCTCGTTGTTGCATTCATGAATGTCTGACAACGCGTAGAAGGCAGTAGAAACAGTCAGGTCATGATACAACACTACACATGCAGCGAAAAGTAAGAAATAAAGAGAAAGAGGTTGTGACTTTTAAACGTGTTGTATGCTAAAGCAATCAGACAAGGCATCCTGCACATAGACTTGCCGGGGCTCGGGAGGCTGAGGCTGAGGTGCGGAACAGCGGTGAACAGCTAGACCACCCTTGCTTCGAAACCAACGCCCACAATTTCCACAGTGGCAAGCCCCTCGCTGCTCAGCAATCGGCTTTGCCCGCTCAACCACACATTTGTGGCGAGCACGATTTCCAGGGCGCGAGAAGGACCGATTGCAATCCGCACATACCACTGGGCAAGGCTGAGGCACATTCTCCACAGGCTCGGCGTACATAGTTCGCTAGTCAGCACGGGACTCACAGGCAATAGGGTACCATTCCTTGGCGAGGCCACGAACTCTTAGGTCGGAGACAACGCAATCCTTCCAGCGCTTGCGAGGGCCATGTGCTGGGCGACGTGTGGGAAGTGAGCCAAACAGGATCTGTCTCGGCATCCGGCTACTGTTCATCCGGACAACATGGCCCAGCCACTCTAGGCGACGCTGTGCAACCTTCACGCAGATGGTATCAGTGTCACCCCACATCTCCAACAGTTGGGCGTTGGTCGTGTCATTATGCCAGCAATCTCTGCGGGGCACACCCAAGATGGAACGGATGCACCGCATATGGAAGACTGACAAGCGTTGGAGATCGTGTTGCAATGGTGTCCAACACCCATAGAGGAGGAGCGACAGCACACATCCATTAAACACACACCTCTTGATATGCAAATCGAGGTCAGAATTGCTGAAGATGGTTCCTTGCAAGGCGCCACAAGCACGAGAGGCATGCGCAATCCGAGCAGTGATGTCCTGTGTCGACCGGCCACCGCGATGGATGAGAGATCCAAGATAGCGAAACTCCGCACACACACACACACACACACACATACACACGCAATTTCAATGTGCAAAGAACTGTCATATTTCCATGCCCATGACAGTAGCTTGAAAAGCATGCAAACTCCAAAGATCTTGCCGACAGGCATCTTTTCTTGCGGACAATAGAAAGGTTCCGGAAGTACTAATTATGTTAGTAAAAAACGTAATCGATCTACGGAAAGTCTTACGTGCACTTGCATGCAAATCCGTGTTCCGCCATACATAGCTTTCACGTAGCTGCCCATGGTAACTAACTCCATACGCGACAGTGTACGACCTTTGGGAGAGAGGCATACATGTATACCCCAATCCACTTACGAAGTACAAACCCCTGCATATCCTTAAGAACTACATTGAACTACACTCACCTTGGCACACGGGGGCCGCGGCTGTAAGACTTCCACTATCATCACAACGAGAGCTAGGCTCACCAACCAAACGGAAGCCAGTATTGCAGGAGTAAATTACGCTCTGATTAAAGTTAATTGTCGGCGGAGGTGGACTGACACTACCATTTGCAGGTGTAGTAGTTTGACATACTTTGACTACATAAGAAAACATCAAAAGCAACAAAATACAGTAAAAAATCATTAAGATAAAGTCCATAATCCATGTTATTTCTTGGTTATACTCCAGGGCCTTATATCTAAATGATGTGTAGTCCGATCCTTGGAGAGCTGAAAAAGTACTTACTATCCGAGGCATTTCTTATCCAAAGTTGAATCCTACGGTCCCTCCAAAACGATACATGTGCAGTATGTTAAAATGCTCAAAATTATTTTTTGCACTCAGAAAGACACGTGGCTAGTGCCACAAAACCAGATTGGCTGCGCTGCAAACAGCCTCCTCTGTACGGTCAACATACACAGGTGTAAAAAAACACCAACTAGTATGTAGTAAGAGAGGCCAGATCTATCAGGATCTGCTGAAAAGTCGTCATACACTACCGTATTTCCCCGTAAGTTAGTACGTACTAACTTTCGAACTTAGCAGCCACGTGAGTACTAACTTTCGGGGTGGTACTATCTTTCGGGGAGTACTTTTTTATCGGGGGTAAATGACACACAGTGGGAAGCCTGCGCAACTCTAGTGTCTGTGCTTATGATGCATGTATTGTATGGTGTCTGTACATGTAGGACGGGTACGAACTTACTATCTTTCGGGGGGAACTGTCCTTCGGGGTGATAACCTCTGCAGTGGAAAGTGTGTTTTTTATAGGAGGGTACTAAGTCATTGGGGAGAACTAACTTACGGGGAAATACGGTAGTTCCACGTATTATCAGAGTATGTCGTACCCGTGAATATTTATACGCACTTTACATAATAAAGTGCGTATGGTAGGAAAATCAATTCGATGGTAAAGGACTGTGCCAACCATGTGTAAGTCTTACCCGGGTATGCACTAATAGCTACAGGTGTTCTGAAACCAAACAGCAAAGCAGCCGCATGGTGGATGAAAAGGCACAAAGGCATGAAGTCTGTTTTGCTTCTACTGCCCAAGGCCAAAAGCTATCAAAAATTGTCAAGGTTACTATCATATGGACTGAACTCGCATGGCATGAACCGGGCTTATAGACAGATTCAATCTTGCTATGTAAGAATGTGCAGAAAGAGCCTAAAAGCAGATATGCTGGGAAAGATATCCAACTTACTTGTGCATGTTGGTGCATTCTGCCACAGCCCACCAGTGTTGGTACACGTTTGAGCTGTTTGGCCTGGAATGTTCTCATAACCAGTAACACAGGTTACAACTCCAGTGGTAAGAATGGAATCAATGAACTGCCCTTCTGGAATCTTGCAAGCTATAGCAAAGAATGAAACAAAATAATGAAGAAAAACATTGCTGAGGATTCAAGAAGAGGCCTTCTCCATCTTGCCCATGAGTGCGAACACTCTCAGATTTCTTCATATACCAGAGAACATCAGTTGCAACAATTTACAGGACAGTGAAAAAGGCTGCAGTTGCAGAAATATTCATCGCACCGTCTTCCCCAGTCTTGGTTACAACAGTACAAATGGGATTCTTACAAATGTTTGCCCCTGAAAGCATCATCAGGAAGGACTTTGACACAGAGACTAGTAACATAGTTCAAAGGTAGAAATAGACATTGCACGTAAGTGACAATTCACACAGGTGACGATACCAGTAGGGCCCTTAGGGTGATATCCAGCAGAAAACAGCACAAACATTAGTAGCAAAAACATTACGTAAAAGCATTGAAAAAATCGTATGGCCAAATGGGCAAAAAACACATACCTTGACAACTGCCAATGTTCTGCCAGGACACAAACGCATCTTGGCAAACAGGCAGCGACCCATTGTAATAGTATCCATCGTTGCATGTTACTGTGCCACTAGCTGACACTGAGGCAATGTTGTGACCACTACCATCAACCGTACAGGCTAATCATAAACAGAAATCACAAAGAAGGTGTAAACACACATGAGGAAAGCTAGCAAAACACAACCAGCACAGGACTATTATCAAAATACACAAGCATTGCAGGTGCAAGTCAGCACCATTTCAACAAGTCTCCAACAAATCACCTCTAACATGTTAGTGCACTTGAAAAGTAAATCTCTGAGGTACACATTCTCACATGTGCATATGTAACAGCAAACAAGTAGGCCAGCATGCAGTGTGCAGCAGGAGTCATACCTTGACAAGCTGGTATTGATCCAAAATCAGCGACATCACTCGAGACGGAACAATTAACAAGCGTGTTGCTCGTGCCTGTTGAAAGCCTATATCCCTGATTGCAGTTATACACAGCTGAAGAGTACAAGTTTGCTGAAGAGTCAGAAACAGCAACTTGAGTTCCATTCACAACACCATTGGTGATTGCTGCTGGCTCGCTGCACAAAGCTGCAAAGCACAAAGATTGCCCGAATACATGCCATTAATAATAATAATTATTATATTGCAGTACAATGGTCCTGATTTGAACCTCAATTTTCCGGCAAGTAACTTCTAACTATCCAAAACTGTATATTAAACCCAATATCATGTATGTCAGATTGAAATAAGCAAGACATTCAAATTAAATTTGAAAGCATTGGGACACCTTGAAACTTCAAATTCAAAGGATAAATCAGGGAAGTGAACTGTCCAGGTGGGGTTGGCATTCCTTTTCTCTTTTCAGACAGTTCACTTCCCCGACAGATGCTTCGAACCTTCAAACTAGACCATACCGTATTTTCCGGAGTATAGTACGCACTTTAGATGTGCTATTTTAGGCCCTAAATCGCAGGTGCGCACTATGCTCCGAATATGAAATGCATGTACTTCAAGAGAGACAGCATAACAATGGACAAGAAGGAGCAACTGGTAACTTTACAATGACAGCCGTGACTGTAGTATACACGTTCTAATGGCTACTACTCAGAAGCCTCACAGATAAATAATGGAGTGATCATATGCAATTATTTAATCAAAACGATGGCTGGATGTTACAGAAACCCCTGGAAACAGGAGCTGGACGTTGCAGGAACCTCTCATTTCGCTTCACAAGAGACTCTCAAAGTGAAAACAGCCGTGGGAATAAGAGTGGCTAAAACTGAGGGAGGCAAAAATACAGTGAACTCGGCACGGTAAGGAATAATCATACCTGCATACCATTAAAACCAATAAGGAATCATACCTGACCATTTACACCAATAAGGAACCATACATGACCATTTACACCAATGGAAAGAAGAGAAACAAAAAATAAGTTACCGGCAACCCCCCACATGTGTGCTACTCTCTTATGTAACAAGGAAGAGAAGGACGATAAAATATACCTCTGCAGTTTCGAACTGCAGTTTCATTTTGAAAATATTATTGGTAACTTTAGCTGGCCCCTAAATACATAATAAATTGTCAAGTACCTCTGCAGCTTCCAACTCCTTCCCAATTGCCAGTTGTTGAGTTCTTGAGGCATGTAGCAATTGAATTGCCTTCAACACGTGTATAGCCAGTTGCACAGGTTACTTGGCCAGTAGTTCTGTTAACACCGACGATGTTCAATTCAGTGTAGGTACAACCTAAACAAAATGCAAGTAAGGCGACGTGGAGACAATAGTCTTAATAATGCAATTGTTAGGTGCCTCCTCCCGTACAATCTTACCTACAACCTTTCCGAAGCTGGCCGGCCTGCATGTACCCGTACTACGTCATACTCACCTTTCGTTCCGTTGGCCTGGGTAGCTACTTGCGCGCCCATGTTTGCCATAGCTACCCAGGCCTTTTATATTGGGCTGTCCGTTCTAATGTCTGGAGAAGATGTCGTCAGTCGTCCTTCTTCAGACTCAACACAATGAATAAAACTACAGGCGCACTCATATCACAATCTTAGCAACGAATAAATTTTTCCAGGACATTTTCTCGTCCCAATTATCAATGGAAACTCGTGACTGAAGATAATATCAAAATAAAAATATGATTTATGCACTTAGAGTGATAAAAACAAGGATACGAGTAAGAAAGTAGCACACAATTGATAAGAGTATAATACACTGGTTACTGAGGGTTTCCTTTGATCATTGGGACGAGAAAACGTCCTGGAACAATTTATTCGTTGCTATGTTTGTGATATGAGTGAGCCTATAGTTTTATTCATTGCATTATCGAAATACAAGAAAACTACACTCACCAATCTGGTAAGAGAGAGCAGAATCGGTGCAACAAAGTTCAGACAAACGATTAACTGCTGAGTAACTGCTGACGAAAACACGTTAGAATCACAAGCAATCAGTCAGTCTGAAGCTCCTGTCCCATGCAATGCGTACAACTCCTCACCCTGACAAGAGGTTCCATTTCCATAGAAACCAGCATTACAAGCGCATGTGAATGATCCAACAGTGTTTGTGCACGTTGCTGATGAATCACAGTTATGTGCACTGGATGCACATTCATCGATATCTGAAATCATAGGAATAATTGTAAAAAAGAACGTTATTTTACACTGCACAGAAACACACACTCCAACACCAGAAACATAATTAATACATGTATACTGATACAGGTGAACCGACACTGCATAGTTGGTAGGCAGCTGCCATCTACAATGGAAATTTGGCTATGAATTAAGTTACATAGGTAAGCACCAATGAAAACATAAAAGCAATAAGCAATTGCTCACCATCACATCTAGGTGGTAAGGTAAACTCTGGATTGTCATTTACAACAGAACATTGAATAGTTGCCCGGTCACTCGATAGACTGTATCCTCCATTACAGGTATACACAACTGAAGAGTAGAAGTCAGCAGCCGAGTTTGCAACAACAACGGCACTTCCATTTGCCACTCCATTCACAATCATCGGAGTGCTGCACAAGGCTATATGAAAAAGCAAAAAGGCGTGGATAGTGAGAATGATGTGAAAAGTCCATTGCAGCACCATAGTAGGAAAATGGTGAATAAAACACACCTGACAAGATGGCGGTAAATACTCAGACACCCAGAAGTAACTAGGCATTCTCCGTCTGCATTCAATAGTTATTTCAAAACGATACTCCTTCAAACCCACCCACCCCCAAACGAAAACTTTTTCGTTTTGAAAATATTATTGGTAACTTTAGCTGGCCCCTATTATACATAATAAATTGTCAAGTACCTCTGCAGCTTCCAACTCCTTCCCAATTGCCAGTTGTTGAGTTCTTGGGGCATGTAGCAACTGAATTGCCTTCAACACGTGTATAGCCAGTTTCACAGGTTACTTGACCAGTAGTTCTGTTAACACCGACGATGTTCAATTCAGTGTAGGTACAACCTGCAAATGATAAAGACCAATGGAAGTAAAATTTACACGTATCCAGCTGGCAAGAGAAAAGTTGATGTAGAATTATTGCAACAAAAGATTAGACCAAAGAGCAACTGCTTGCAGAAATACCTTAGTGTCACCAGTAAGGGGCCATCAGTAAAATAACAGTATTTATTTAGAAACGAAAACCCTCCTCCCTGATATTTTTTCCTTTTTTTCTGGTCGTGCTCAATCCGCTCCCCCTAGACGACTATTTTTTCGTATAGTTTTGCTCTCCCTAGCAGACACAACAATTCTTAAAGATACAACAATGCTTACAAATCGTTTAAAAACCTCTAGCTTTCCAAACAATGTCCGTATTCTCACGGCAGATGTGGAATCACTTTACACTAACATGAACTGGCATGACACTATAGCTGCAGTCGATTCCCTGTTAGTCAACCACCCACTTCGAAATCTCTTGTTAGATCTGTTAAAGTTTGTTCTAGAAAACAACTACTTCATTTTTGATAACATTCTATACCACCAAGAGTTCGGAATGGCCATGGGTACCCCAATGGCCGTAAATGTGGCCAACGCTTTCCTTTTCGTACATGAAATGAAGTCTATTACCACATTCAAGTCATCCATGCATTTATTCAATAGATTCATTGATGATCTTATCTTAGTGATCGAAGAATCTGCTAATTTAGCAGCTTTGCAAGCGTCTCTCTACAGTGAGCTTCCAAGTATCAAATTAAATTGGACATTGCCCTCGGACTCTTGCATCTTCCTGGATCTGGACATTTTCAAAACATCTAACAATGATCACTGTGTGTTTGAGTTTCGTACATTCCAGAAACCTCGCAACGCATACCTTTACATACCATTTATCTCCGATCACCTAAGAGCTAATCTGCGTGCTTTCATCAAGGCTGAGCTGCTGCGTTACAACAGAACAAACTCAAGACTTGCTGACATTCAACATGTAAGATCTTTGTTCTGGAAACGTTTACGCAGAAGAGGTTATCCTCCGCAATTTCTGGCTAGCTCATTCACTGATGTTTTGCCTACTGTAATGAATCATGCTATAGAAAGCAAAACTCCCAAGCCTAAATCTGATACTATTGTATTTACTACTCAGTACCATCCGCATTTCATTACTAATGATTACAAAGCTCTCATTAAACAATCCTTTATGAAAGACGGGAAAATCTTTTTCAGGAGAACTAAGCAATTGTTCTATTAATCTTGTACAATTTAGATTCCTCTACTACATGTAGTACTAAGCTTACATTCTATTGTACAAATCACTGACACTGGCAGAGCACAGCGCTCTGCGTTTAGGTGGGAACCAGAAATTTCTGGTTCCCACCTAAACTTTCCCGCCCATTTTTTCCCGCTCTTTTTTGATTCTGCATGATCTTGACTCTGTACAAACATTCTGGTACTATGACCGCATATTTTGACCCCCAGTCTTACGTTTTAGTACATTAGTTCAACTTGTACAACTTTTTTGACATTTGTTACACTTGTCTGCAACTCAAGTTATTGCGACTTTAAACTTGCTTGATAGCGCATTTACCGCCCAAGCACCCATCTGGCACATAGAATCAAGCCCTATATAACTACCAGTCTTTATTCATATCATTTCATCCTTGTCTCTGACGAATCCTTACAGGCAGAAACGCGTAAGATTAATGGATCATAACTATATATAAAGACTTGACCTTGCTGTGTGTGTGTGTGCTGTGTCGGAGGACCTTACATCCTACCACATTTACGGATGGCGCCTAAGTGTGAATGTGTTCAAAGAAGCAAACAAATCCTGGGAGATCATCTACATCTCGGTCTGATTAAGCCAACAAAGCAGGTACACATGCTGGGGTCCATTTCTGGATATCAAAGTCAATCTAAAGCGCTGGTCTCATGCAATGTGTACAACTCCTCACCCTGACAAGAGGTTCCATTTCCATAGAAACCAGCATTACAAGTGCATGTGAATGATCCAACAGTGTTTGTGCACGTTGCTGATGAGTCACAGTTATGTGCACTGGATGCACATTCATCGATATCTGAAATCATAGGAATAATGGTAAAAAAAAGAACATTATTTTACACTGCACAGAAACACACACTTCCAACACCAGAAACATATACTGATACACATTATACTGATACACATGATGATCTTATATACTGATACAGGTGAACCGGAACTACATAACTAGTACCAAGTAACGATATATTCCGAGCAGCTGATCTCATTTTTCCTCTGACCATTTGCAGGTTTCCTGGTCCAGGAGAAGTCATAATTCTTTGTTGCCATTCATCAGCAGAGATATATGTTGAGTGGCAACTGCTGATAATCCATTTGTCTTCAACTATACTCACCATCACAAGTGATGCCACTAGTCGCAGAAGGTTTCCCGTTGGCTTGACAAGCCACACTATGACCACCATTCAGCTGATACCCGGTCAGACAAGAAATGCTCAGGCTGATGTTGAACATGAAGCTTCCCTGACTGATTGGACTGATTAGACCGTTGGTGGGCGGCTGGGGCACTGTACAAGTTATAACTGAACAAACACAACAAACATTCTACTTAAAAAAAGTGTAACCAAATATTGCACAAACTGCAGTAGTCAGATCTGCTGAAAGTTGTTTCAGTACTATCATGTGAGGTCTACAAGCACATGTAAAAGGAGCAAACATTCATAAAAAAATATCAGGCTTTCCAACACCATCACTGGACCAAAGGAGGACAACGGCTTTCCAACACCATCACTGTGCCAAAGGAGGACGCCAACACATATCATGTGTTTCGCATAGAAAAATGCATTCATATGCGTTAGTCCTTCTTCACAACAGTCTGATTTGACGCAATGTCAGTGAAACCTGTGAGGGAACAGTCTTGCCAGAAAAGATCTTACTTTCGCAATGTGTTGTATTTCCTGTGTAACCAGTCTTGCAATGGCAGTTAAATGTACCCATTGTGTCAGTGCAAATGGCGTCCTGATGACAGTTGTGAAGATCTGAACTGCACTCGTCAATATCTACACATGAAAATTGAGCATTCAAAATAGACATACGAGAAGAAACACACGAGTGCAGAACAGCAAAGACTATTAGTGGGTTGTCAGATCGCAGCAATTACCAGGTAAGACATGCCATAGTACATGTGTACCTAAACCTGTAGAAGGATCATCTTTCCCACTCACACACACACGCGCGCGCGCGCGCGCGAATCATAGCTTGCACATGGCTGCTAGACCTCCACTTCATACCAAGTAGATGTAGCACCAACTTACAGTCCCAATACACTTACTCTCACAGTAGGTTCCATTTCCAGCATAGCCGGTCAAACAAGAACAGGTATAACTCCCCACGGTGTTGTTGCACTGTGCATCACGGTGACAATCATGAAGAGTCTCGTTGTTACATTCACGAATGTCTGACAATGCGTAGAAGGCAGGAGAAACAGTCAGGTCATGATACAACACTACACATGCAGCGAAACGTAAGAAATAAAGAGAAAGAGGTCGCGACTTTAAACGTGTTGTATGCTAAGGCAATCATCATCAGACAACTGATAGTAAGACTGGAGACTAATCACACGCCAGTCTTGGTGCTGAATAGTTAAACTAAGGGGTACAACCAAACGTTCATTGAGACGTTCAATTCATCTCTTGAAAGTGGGCACAATAGCAACCAAAGCCTTGGAAAATGTGAGAAATTCAAAAGAATTTATAGTAGGTAAGGGGCCGTCCAAGGTTACCAATAATATTTTCAAAACGAAATGTTTTCGTTTGGGGGTGGGTGGGTTTGATGGAGTTTCGTTTTGAAAATAATTATTGAATGCAGATGGAGAATGTCCAGTTACTTCTGGGTGTCGAAAATTGACATCAATATTTTACTGGAATTCGTTTTACCTGCAGAAAAGATGGGTGGGTGGGTGGGGGCTGAAAATACTAAAACCTTTCGTTTTGTAAAAACAATCGGTAACCCCGAACGGCCCCTAAGCTGAAACGAGGGTCATGCAATGCTGCCTGGCTGTAAAAATGCATTTGGGGCTGGATGGCATATAGCGTACGATCTGTACTTTGTATGCGATATCGCTAAAATATATGTTGCAGATTGCCATACTGACACACACACACACACACACACACACACACACACACACACACACACACACACACACACACACACACACACACACACACACACACTCACTATAAACCAAGAGGATATCAAGATGTTAAGCAAAGTGGATTCATCAGTTGGCGATGGGTTATTTTCAACTATGAGTATGAACAACACTGCAAGCACGCAAGGAGCAGCACGTACACACTGTAGTGATCTAACTGTTGCACTGACCTCTCAATTCACTTACCTTGGCATATTGGTTTGGCAGCATCCAGATCACCAGTTGCTAGGCAATGAGCACTGGCTTCGCCCACAAGGCGGAAACCAGTGTGACAAGAATATACAACCGTCTCATTGAAGTTGATAGTAGCAGAAAGAGGAGTTGCGGTGCCATTGTTGGGTGCCTGAATCGGACAGGTTTTGACTGTGCACGAAAACAAATCAAAATGACATGGCAGGCAGAGTATAGACGTTCACAGGAAGATGTACCCGGTGTGCTGATGGTGTAAACTTCAAAGTAGACATTCAAATATCTCACAAAACACTGCATTGTGTCCACACGCATACATTCAGGACCAAGAGCAAAAGTATGACAGTTACACGCGAAAGACTAGGGAAGGATTGTATCTACAGAATACAATGGATATGTCATCACTCACTGGTGCAGGTTGATACATTCTGCCACAGACCATCAGCATTCGTACAGGTTTGTGCAGCACTACCGACACGATCCGCATAGCCACTGATGCAAGTTATGGCTCCAGCGCTGGAAATCGACTCAACGAACTTCCCAGCAGGAATCTTACATACTGCAACGGGAATGAAAAGGAAAGACATACACCGAGAACAACGCATATAAAAGGACATCCTATTATGATGGTTGTCACAATATTTGTGCCAGGCAACACAACCTAAAGTTAACATGCACATAGTAGGCAGGGAGCCTCGCGTAAAATTAAGGCACTGGACTCCAGTTCGGACAGGAGAAGAACCTGGAGGTGAGAGATCACACAGACCACTGGACACATACCTTGACAAGATACAAGGTTTTGCCAGTGTACGGATGACTCTCCACAGACTGGCAGCGTTCCATTATAGTAGTATCCATCAGCACACACGACTGTGCCATCATGAGATACAGAAGAGATACTGTGACCGGTGCCATTAATCTGGCAAGCTGACAGACAACACAGACATGCACAGAAACGCCCGTGCACTCAATATACACCTGGATGCTTTTGAATAGATCACGCATCTGTATCAAACCCGACAAAACAACATGTCAATTCACGATACACACAAAGAAAAGGACTCGAAATCGATTACTAGGACCGTAAAGTACCGCGAAAGCACCCCGTCTCGCAAGACCACCCTACCTTGATTTTACAGCCAAGGGAAGGAAAATCGTACGGCAGAGTGCTACTACCTTCCTAATAGTTTGTACGGTTTGAGAACCGTAGTGTACCGTAGGTCACACTTTGGCATGTTTTGTGTGGAGCTGGCATCCGCTCGAAGGTAAACTGAGTACGGAATGACTGCACAACGTGCGATGTGTGTACAAGATCCGCGTCATATGACTTACAGACAGGTCACCAGACTCACCACCACCAAAAGACAATCACGAGAGGACAAGATGATGGGGCACTGTACGGTAGGGCTGGAACGAATGCTCAATGAAGCGAACGAATATTCTTTTTCCAATTACTTGTGGAACGAAGAATATTCCGAATATACTAAACCATGCACCATACATGGATACCTAGTTGTATCCATGGTAACCATAGACCATCATCACCTGGTGGTTACCCCAATAAAAAGAGAGGCATTTGAAAAAGGACAATGTTATCATTTGTCTTGCTGATGATAACACGTGCAGTTCTTACATTATTTTCATACGTACTTCCGTAGAGCGAAACATCCCTATTATCCGCCTCCGACCTCTATTAAATTCCTTTCTTTTCTTAGAATGGACTCAGATGGAGAGCCAAGGATAAAGGGCTCTTGGTCCTTTTTTCTTTTGTTAGAAAATAATAGTGAAACACGTCAGAATATTCAGGCCACAGATACCAGGCCACTTAGAACAGCAGGTCTCCGTAGTAGATAAAGAGTCATCAGTAACTTGCCCGGCCTACTTTTCAAGGATTTACGGCGATAAAAAGCCAAGTACTTTATAGGTATATTTTGCAATTGTCAGCACGAGTCGAGTACAATGCGTAAGTGCAAGTAATTGGCATGATTGCTGCAGATCCATGAATACTAGTATTATTGAATACATTATTTACACCCAGAGATCAAGAACTACAATACACATTTTCACACAGTACAAACATACCTTCACATGTAGGTGGTGAAATGAACGCAGCTGCATCATTTGTCACGGAGCACTTTGTTGTTGCGTTAGTGACGCCAGTTGACAGTCTGAATCCCGGATTGCAATTGTACACAGCAGATGAGTAATATGTAGTACTGGACTGGTTGAACTGTGTTCCACTGGCATATCCATTGGCGATGGTCGGTGCAGTGCACAGTGCTGTGACATTACGCAAACAGAAAACAGGTCTTGTTGTATGACACTCCAAAAATACTGGGTAGACATGGAAACCTTCACAAAGAAAACATTGGCTTCACAACATACACAAATGGAAGTACTCAACAGACCAAACTTTTTATATTGAAAGCAACCAGTGTGTAGAGAAAGGAAATATGAGCAAACTAGTGTATTACCTTCACAGTTTCCTACTGCTCCCCACTCTCCAGTTGTAGAGTTGGATGGACAGGTTGCATTGGTATTGCCTCCTACTCTTGTGTAACCAGAGGAGCAAGTTACAGTACCAGATGTAGTGATGGAATCAACATTTGCCTCAGAGAAGGTACAGCCTGGAGTGAACACATGAAAGTGGTCAGAATGAGAGTCAGAAGATAAAATGAACAAAACAGAACAATAACTTGAGATGCATGCACCTGAAAGAAGGCATTTTTATTGCATTAGTGTCAAGTTAACAAAGTTCTTCCCCAAGTGTAGCAAAAAAGAAAATTTGTTCCATGCTTGCAGTGGGTAAAAAATGACATTGTACATAGTACTCTGAAGCAGTCTAGAAACGAGGGAGCAAAAAGTTTGATTGATGCGCACTGGTACGTATATCCTTACTCTGACATGGGGAGGTCGAGGTTCCAACTCCGTAGTAACCAGGATTGCAAGAACATGTGAAGGATCCAATAGTGTTTGTGCAAGTTGCTGCTGAGTGACAGTTATCAGTGCTAGAAGCACATTCATTGATGTCTGCAATCACAGAAATGATTATATCAAGACAATACACAATACATACAGTCAGGTACACGAGTGATAATCATATGACGTTAAAGGGGAAGTTAAGGCAAAAATAAAAATTTCACCAGTTGTAGTCTTCGGGGTGCTGAGTCCAATGGTCTTGGTCCGAGAAAGCTGAGACGCTCCCTTCCTACTTGAATCCCAATCGAACTCGCGCACTTCCACCAAAACTGGGTGACTGCGCCCTACTAGATGGGGATTTGTATGCAAAATGTCACTAAAAGCGCCGTTTCGTTCTTTTAAAAGCACGGATGACCGCGATTGGCCCATATGTTGTAGTCTTTTGGACGCTGAGTCGACTGGTTTTGGTCCGAAAAGGCTGTGATGCAGCGTTCCTCCTTTATTCCCAATCGAACATGGTTGAACAAGTGGTCACGTGCTCCTGGGTGCCCAAATCACCTGGTCACCACGCCAGCAGGCGTCAACTTTCACACCAAGGTTCAACTCGAGTTCAACTCGAGTGACAGGACTGCACCCAAAAAAGGTCAAACAGGCTAGTAAGTTGTACCCTGCAGGCACGGTGACCAGCTGACTGGTGTACGCAGGAGCACGTGACCGCTGAAGATTGCTGAAGTCATCAAAAATGCTTAGAAAGTGGATCGTACCCATGCCCGGCTCAAGTTCACCAAAACAAGGAAATAGATCAACCCATTCATTGTGTACAACAACATATCAAGAGCAGCACTACTCAGCAAAACTCAGCAAAACAAAACATACCAATACATGTAGGTGCTGAGCTGAACGCAGCTGCATCATTTGTTACAGAGCAGTTTATTCTGGTATTATTGACGCCAGTTGACAGCCTGAATCCCGGATTGCAATTGTACACAGCAGATGAGTAATACGTAGTACTGGACTGGTTGAACTGTGTTCCACTGGCATATCCATTGGCGATGGTCGGTGCAGTGCACAGTGCTGTGACATTACGCAAACAGAAAACAGGTCTTGTTGTATGACACTCCAAAAATACTGGGTAGACCTGGAAACCTTCACAAAGAAAACATTGGCTTCACAACATACACAAATGGAAGTACTCAACAGACCAAACTTTTTATATTGAAAGCAACCAGTGTGTAGAGAAAGGAAATATGAGCAAACTAGTGTATTACCTTCACAGTTTCCTACTGCTTCCCACTCTCCAGTTGTAGAGTTGGATGGACAGGTTGCATTGGTATTGCCTCCTACTCTTGTGTAACCAGAGGAGCAAGTTACAGTACCAGATGTAGTGATGGAATCAACATTTGCCTCAGAGAAGGTACAGCCTGGAGTGAACACATGACAGTGGTCAGAATGAGAGTCAGAAGATAAAATGAACAAAACAGAACAATAAATGAGATGCATGCACCTGAAAGAAGGCATTTTTATTGCATTAGTGTCAAGTTAACAAAGTTCTTCCCCAAGTGTAGCAAAAAAGAAAATTTGTTCCATGCTTGCAGTGGGTAAAAAATGACATTGTACATAGTACTCTGAAGCAGTCTAGAAACGAGGGAGCAAAAAGTTTGATTGATGCGCACTGGTACGTATATCCTTACTCTGACATGGGGAGGTCGAGGTTCCAACTCCGTAGTAACCAGGATTGCAAGAACATGTGAAGGATCCAATAGTGTTTGTGCAAGTTGCTGCTGAGTGACAGTTATCTGTGCTAGAAGCACATTCATTGATGTCTGCAATCACAGAAATGATTATATCAAGACAATACACAATACATACAGTCAGGTAAAAGTAAAAAAGTAAATTATCGCGTCCGTTCCCGAAGGGAACTCACGACGGCCGCTAACACCCGGTAAACCCTAGCGGCAGACGCAGCGCCTAACGGTGGGGGTGAGTGGATAAGTCTCACAACCACTGGTACAAGTACCGAGAACGACCCCCATTAGCTGCATCCATGTACCCCTTGTGCCTGGCCACAGTTCCCAGTTGACTGTGGGTAGCAGCACGGCTGAAAAAAAACCGCTCCCAGGCAGGACTTGAACTAGTCAGGTACACGAGTGATAATCAACATGACGTTAGGGGCCATCCGGCAATAGAGAGGTTAAGTTACACGTTTTTTGCCCTTTTTCAAAACGCGGTGCAAATCTCACGTTACGTGTAATTTTTAGAGGTTAAGTGACGTGAAATTTTGCCTGGCAGGATTCGGGTTTAGTTCGCACAAATATCAAATCTTCTTAACAAACTCGATAAATCTCGATAAAATTCCGGAAACTCACACAAATTCGGTCGGGATAACCAAGCGAAACTTCCAAAAACTCACGTCATGAACTTACGTGCGGGACAGTCAACTCACGTAAAACACGTCAAATTTTACGTGATTTTTATCACTTTTTGACGTAAAAGTTCATGGACGTAAGACTTCACTAAGGGCATGTTCGATTGGTAGGATCGGGATCCCGATCCACTGGATTCGCACCCTTTCGATTGGTCGAATCCGGATCCTTCGGATTTGGATCCGGTCAACCCTCCTCGGGGAGCAGGCTTGACTGGATCCAACGGATCCAAATGTGACCTTTGTGCGTATATGGCGGGTAAAAATCATTTTTGTACACATTGTGGTACGCACACGTGGATGGAGATAGAGCGTGTTGACTTTTTGTACTACGCACTCGATGAGTACGATGTTCACCCTTTTGGGTGCCTTGTGAGCGCCATTTTCAACATGGCAACAGTCAAGGTCCAAAATAAAGTGTTCAGTTGAATCTGAAGGATCCGAGGGATCTGAAATCTGGATCTTGATCCCGATCCTTACCAATCGAACATGCCCTAAGCTCCATGCACCAGTTCATCTGTCAAGATTCAAACACCAGCAGAACCAGGCTGTTCTAGCGCTCATTTTTGGTGCATGTCACGCATGGGCTGTGCACTGGGGAAATCGCAAACACATACTTCAGCATGAAGTGCGTCACAGCCACACGCTTGAAATTTCAACTTCACCCGTTTCCTGGACTTCGAGTTTCGGCGCTTGAGTATTTTTTTGTTTTTACAGTGCTCTATGCTCGTTTAGCATGAAGTGTGCCACGCTTGAAATTTCAACTTCACACCGGGTGCATTCAACCGTGATTTTCTCGAAAAAAATGATGTGCAGCACACGGTTTTCTCAATGGTAGGTGATTCCGTAGGTTTTCAGCAGTAGTTTGCGATTATTCGGACCGCGGTGCGGCAAAAGACCATGGTTTACAGAGCGAAAAACGAATACGTCGAATTCGACGCATTCGCACTATGTACGGCTGGTAATGGGTTAAGCAAAGGATGTTCATCTAAAAAATATATCTCAGGAGAGATATATGTTGAATGGCAACTGCTGATGATCCATTTGTCTTCAACTATACTCACCATCACAAGTGATGCCACTAGTCGCAGAAGGTTTCCCGTTGGCTTGACAAGCCACACTATGACCACCATTCAGCTGATACCCGGTCAGACAAGAAATGCTCAGGCTGATGTTGAACGTGAAGCTTCCCTGACTGATTGGACTGATTAGACCGTTGGTGGGCGGCTGGGGCACTGTACAAGTTATAACTGAACAAACACAACAAACATTCTACTTAAAAAAAGTGTAACCAAATATTGCACAAACTGCAGTAGTCAGATCTGCTGAAAGTTGTTTCAGCACTAGGATCCTACCTTAGGAAACGCAAAATCCGAATCGACTTTAATACACCCAAGCAGGATCTTAATAAAAAAGCTAACATTGAATCCCTTCTTTACCGCAGGCAGTTTTTAAGCTTAGTTACCATGCACAAATTTATTTTCAAGTATCGACATTGCCTAGCTTCATTCCATTTCAATATCACGCAGAGTGCGAGACGCCCTAACAAAATAATTCTCCCTAAAGCAAAGACCACATCAAAATCGTTGTTTCTCTTCCAAACCTCCCTCTTATGAAACTGCCTCCCACCAAGACTAACTGCAGAACCATCCATTATTGTTTTCAAGAATGAGCTTCGCAAACTCACTTGCAAACATAGTGCTTCGCTCTCCGGTATGCCTACGCCATGTACATAACCCCCCCCCCCCCCCCCCCCCGTGTACTCCCCACCGCATTCACGCTGCACAACTTTTCACTACTTTCACTTTAGCTCATACATGTACATGTACATCCTTCAAAGCGGTGAACCCCTTGATAGGCGACAAGCCTCTGGGTCATCCTAATAAAGATATTATTATTATTATTATTACTATCATGTGAGGTCGACAATCACATGTAAAAGGAGCAAACATTCATATAAAAATATCAGACAAAGGCTTTCCCACACCATCACTGGACCAAAGGAGGACAACGGCTTTCCAACACCATCACTGTACCAAAGGAGGACGCCAACACATGTCATGTGTTTCGCATAGAAAATGCATTCACATGTGTTAGTCCTACTCCACAACACACTCTGATTTGACGCAATGTCCATGAAAACTGTGAGGGAAGTCTTGCCAGTAAAGGTCTTACTTTCGCAATGTGTTGTATTTCCTGTGTAACCAGTCTTGCAATGGCAGTTAAATGTACCCATTGTGTCAGTGCAAATGGCGTCTTGATGACAGTTGTGAAGATCTGAACTGCACTCGTCAATATCTACACATTAAAATTGAGCATTCAAAATAGACATACGAGAAGAAACACACGAGTGCAGAACAGCAGACTATTAGTGGGATGTCAGATCGCAGCAATTACCAGGTAAGACATGTCAGTAAAAAACATAGTACATGTGTACACAAACCTGGACTGCCTCCGTTAACAAAAACTTCGCAATCACTTTCTTGCCATGAAAGAGGTACGATGCAAGGAAAGCGACCTTTCGCAACAAGCTGAGCGGAAACGATGGTTGCGCTGTGGAAACATAGGTGATGACAGTCATAGCGAGCGAAACTGAAATACAACTTCTCCGAGGGGATATTGCGCTGCTTGGCCTCTCTACCACTTTAGCACTAAGTAAGTTGGAGAGCGATAGAGAGCGATAAAACGGAGCAGCGAACCCACACAATGAGCGAGTGAACAAGGAGCTGCTCCGATCGCACGGCTCAATGAAAATAATTCTGAACTGAAGTTCTTGTTAAACCTGCGCAAAGCCCAGATTCGAATGCTGATCGCCGTGTACATGTATTCTTTCAGAAGTCTGCAGTGCGATGCGTGTCTCATGGCTAAAGAAAGTCGACTGGACTTGCTAGCCGCTGCCGTTCAGTGCTGGCAGGGGTATCCATTAGAGAAAATGGAATCAGTTCGGCTGTGCTTTTACTCCTCGTTTTGCGAGTTCTGGAGAGCGAAGATGAAACCAGGGAGTCGTAAAATATTTTTCACGGCTCCCTGGTGGAAACGAGTAATCGCCATCGCGGCGGATCACGCAGCTTGAAAGCCAGGCGACGTCAAGGTCAGCGGAGTGTGATCAGCAGATAACAACTCGCGTGCAGCAGATGACGACAGCGACGCAAACTGAACTCTCTGCTCATTCCGCCAACAGTTTCTCTTGTAAAGACGCTGCACATAGGCTGAATCACCTTTGTCCAGTGATTTGCAGTCGATGCAAACTATTCTCGACCTGTTCTAAGCGTTTTCATTTCCATCAAAATCCATCACGAAGTTTTTGTTAACGGAGGAAGTAGAAGGATCATCTTTCCCACTCACACACACACACACACACGCATGCGAATCATAGCTTGCACATAGCTGCTAGACCTCCACTTCATACTAAGTAGATGCACCAACTTACAGTCCCAATCCACTTACTCTCACAGTAGGTTCCATTTCCAGCATAGCCGGTCAAACAAGAACAGGTATAACTCCCCACAGTGTTGTTACACCGTGCATCACGGTGACAATCATGAAGAGTCTCGTTGCTACATTCACGAATGTCTGACAATGCGCAGAAGGCAGTAGAAACAGAAACAGTCAGGTCATGATACAACACTACACATGCAGCGAAACGTAAGAAATAAAGAGAAAGAGGCCGTGACTTTTAAACATGTTGTATGCTAAGGCAATCATCATCAGACAACTGATAGTAAGACTGGAGACTAATCACACGCCAATCTTGGTGCTGAATAGTTAAACTAAGGGGTACAACCAAACGTTCATTGAGACGTTCAATTCATCTCTTGAAAGTGAGCACAATAGCAACCAAAGCCTTGGAAAATGTGAGAAATTCAAAAGAATTTATAGTAGGTAAGCTGAAACGAGGGTCATGCAATGCTGCCTGGCTGTAAAAATGCATTTGGGGCTGGATGGAATATAGCGTACGATCTGTACTTCGTATGCGGTATCGCTAAAATATATGTTGCAGATTGGCATACTGACACACACACACACACACACTATAAACCAAGAGGATATCAAGATGATGAGCAAAGTGGATTCATCAGTTGGCGATGGGTTATTTTCAACTATGAGTATGAACAACACTGCAAGCACGCAAGGAGCAGCACGTACACACTGTAGTGATCTAACTGTTGCACTGACCTCTCAATTCACTTACCTTGGCATATTGGTTTGGCAGCATCCAGATCACCAGTTGCTAGGCAATGAGCACTGGCTTCGCCCACAAGGCGGAAACCAGTGTGACAAGAATATACAACCGTCTCATTGAAGTTGATAGTAGCAGAAAGAGGAGTTGCGGTGCCATTGTTGGGTGCCTGAATCGGACAGGTTTTGACTGTGCACGAAAACAAATCAAAATGACATGGCAGGCAGAATATAGACGTTCACAGGAAGATGTACCCGGTGTTCTGATGGTGTAAACTTCAAAGTAGACATTCAAATATCTCACAAAACACTGCATTGTGTCCACACGCATACATTCAGAACCAAGAGCAAAAGTATGACAGTTAAACGCGAAAGACTAGGGAAGGATTGTATCTACAGAATACAATGGATATGTCATCACTCACTGGTGCAGGTTGATACATTCTGCCACAGACCATCAGCATTCGTACAGGTTTGTGCAGCACTACCCACACGATCCGCATAGCCACTGATGCAAGTTACGGCTCCAGCGCTGGAAATCGACTCAACGAACTTCCCGCTAGGAATCTTACATGCTGCAACGGGAATGAAAAGGAAAGACATACACCGAGAACAACGCATATAAAAGGACATCCTATTAGCATGGGTGTGACAATATTTGTGCCAGGCAACACAACCTAAAGTTAACATGCACATAGTAGGCAGGTTTTTGTTACAGGTAATGGATGCGCGAAAATGGGAAACCTCGCGTAAAATTAAATGGGAGTCTCATGCAAAATTAGGGCACTGGACTCCAGTTCGGAAGGTTGTGTTCAGTCACACAGATTCAAAACTTGTGAAAGAACATCTGCAAAAAAAGTCGCTTCGGACACAAACTAAACGTTTCGTGAGGGTTCGGGAAACAATGAAAGCACCTGTTCTGCTGACCCATTTTTGGACAGGAGAAGAACCTGGGGGTGAGAGATCACACAGACCACTGGACACATACCTTGACAAGATACAAGGTGTTGCCAGTGTACGGATGACTCTCCACAGACGGGCAGCGTTCCATTATAGTAGTATCCATCAGCACATACGACAGTGCCATCATGAGATACAGAAGAGATACTGTGGCCAGTGCCATTAATCTGGCAAGCTGACAGACAACACAGACATGCACAGAAACGCCCGTGCATTCAATATATACCTGGATGCTTTGAATAGATCACGCATATCAAGAGTACATAACCAAGAGTGTGCAACTCGACGATCCCCCAGCCCACGGCGGAATTTTTTATGACATCAGTCTTTGGCGGCGGTCTGGCTTACTGATGCCATCATGCGTAGCCAGAGATCAAAGTACAAATGAGTTGTACATTACAGCTACGGTAGTTGAAGCAGAACAACGGACGATAGATCAATGTGTCTTGAACCTGACGAACTCTCACCGTATCTACAAAACAAGCGTGGGAAAGCATACCCACTTCGTCATGCTTCTGCCAAAGAATGACGCAATAAAAAACTTCCGCCGTGGGTGAACCCATCGCAGCTCAAGATAGGAGTTGCACACTCTTGGTTATGTACTCTTGCGCATATGTATCAAACCCGACAAAACAATACTGTAAAAGCCATATATATAACGAAGTGACAACTCTAACGAGTTAACGAGGAGAAACCTGTCGTTAAAATAGAAATCGTTATAAAGAAATTGATACAATACTGTCCTGTTGAGCGTTGAGAATAAGTGAGGATCGTTACCTTTGGTACACGTAAACTAGTCAATTTTGGGAAATCGTTATATATGCGCCTCGTTAGAATAATGGCTTTTACAGTATGTCAATTCACCCAGTCCCGCGAGAGGACTCTACCTTGATTTTACAGCCAAGGAGAGGAAAATCGTATGGCAGTGCTACCACCTTCCTAATAGTTTGTACGGTTTGAGAACCGTAGTGTATTAAGGTCACACTTTGCCATGTTTTTGTCTGGAGCTGGCATCTGCTCGAAGGTAAACTGAGTACAGAATGACTGCACGAAGTGCGATGTGTGTACAAGATCCACGTCATATGACCTACAGACAGGTCACCACCACCAAAAGACAATCAAGAGAGGACAAGATGATGGGGCACTCTCGCCGGTACTTTACGGTAGGCCTGGAACGAATATTCTTTTTCCGATTACTTGTGGAACGAAGAATAATCCAAATATTCTTCACCATGAAACATCCCTGGATACCTAGTTGTATCCATGGTAACCATAGACCATCACCTGGTGGTTACCCCAATAAAAAGAGAGGCATTTGAAAAAGGACAATGTTATCATTTGTCTTGCTGATGATAACACGTGGAGTTCTTACGTTATTTTCATACGTACTTCCGTAGAGCGAAACCTCCCTATTATCCGCCTCCGACCTCTATTAAATTCCTTTCTTTTCTTAGAATGGACTCAGATGGAGAGCCAAGGATAAAGGGCTCTTGGTCCTTTTTTTTCTTTTCTATTGTTAGAAAATAATAGTGAAACACGTCAGAATATTCAGGCCACAGATACCAGGCCACTTAGAACAGCAGGTCTCCGTAGTACATAAAGAGATATGAGTAACTTGCCCGGCCTATTTTTCAAGCATTATGGCAAAAAAAGCGCCAAGCACTTGATAGGCATATTTTGCAATTGTCAGCACGAGTCGAGTACGACCGTAACGAGTAAGTGCAAATAATTGGCATGATTGCTACAACCGTAAAACAGATCCATGAATACATTATTTTACAAACATACCTTCACATGTAGGTGGTGAACTGAACGCAGCTGCATCATTTGTCACGGAGCAGTTTGTTGTTGTGTTAGTGACGCCAGTTGACAGCCTGAATCCCGGATTGCAATTGTACACAGCAGATGAGTAATATGTAGTACTGGACTGGGTGAACTGTGTTCCACTGGCATATCCATTGGCGATGGTCGGTGCAGTGCACAGTGCTGTGACAATACGCAAACAGACAACAGATCTTGTTGTAAGACACTCCAAAAATACTGGGTAGACATGGAAAACTTCACAAAGAAAACATTGGCTTCACAACATACACAAATGGAAGTACTCAACAGGCCAAACTGTTTATATTGAAAGCAACCAGTGTGTAGAGAAAGGAAATATGAGCAAACTAGTGTATTACCTTCACAGTTTCCTACTTCTTCCCACTCTCCAGTTGTAGAGTTGGATGGACAGGTTGCATTGGTATTGCCTCCTACTCTCGTGTAACCAGAGGAGCAAGTTACAGTACCAGATGTAGTGATGGAATCAACATTTGCCTTAGAGAAGGTACAGCCTGGAGTGAACACATGACAATGGTCAGAACGAGAGTCAGAAGATAAAATGAACAAAACAGAACAATAAATGAGATGCATGCACCTGAAAGAAAGCACTTTTATTGCATTAGTGTCAAGTTAACAAAATTCTTCCCCAAGTGTAGCAAAAAAGAAAATTTGTTCCATGCATGCAGTGGGTAAAAAATGACATTGTACATAGCACTCTGAAGCAGCCTAGAAACGAGGGAGCAAAAAGTTTGATTGATGCGCACTGGTACGTATATCCTTACTCTGACATGGGGAGGTCGAGGTTCCAACTCCGTAGTAACCAGGATTGCAAGAACATGTAAAGGATCCAATAGTGTTTGTGCAAGTTGCTGCTGAGTGACAGTTATCTGTGCTAGAAGTACATTCATTGATGTCTGCAATCACAAAAATGATTATATCAAGACAATACACAATACATACAGTCAGGTACACGAGTGATAATCATATGACGTTAAGAACAGGATGTTCATCTAAAAATATATATCTCAGCAGAGATTTATGTTGCATGGAAACTGCTGATGATCCATTTGTCTTCAACTATACTCACCATCACAAGTGATGCCACTAGTCGCAGAAGGTTTCCCGTTGGCTTGACAAGCCACACTATGACCACCATTCAGCTGATACCCGGTCAGACAAGAAATGCTCAGGCTGATGTTGAGGGAAAAGAGGTCGCGACTTTTAAACGTGTTGTATGCCAAGGCAATCATCATCAGACAACTGATAGAAGACTGGAGACTAGTCACACGCCAGTCTTGGTGCTGAATAGTTAAACTAAGGTGCACAACCAAACGTTCATTGAGACGTGTTAGTCATGAAGTTGGTTGTTCCAACGCTCCTCGTGGGCTCCGGATGGCAGCCGTTAGTCAGTCAAGTTCAAGTTTGGCAGGAAGTGTGTGTTCCTCGTTGGAACGGCCAACTTCATGCAGGTAAAATAAAAAAGAATATATGAGGCGACTTTGAGATTGCTGAAGTCATCAAAAATGCGTAGAAAGTGGATCGTACCCATGCCCAGCACAAGTTGTAAAATGTAGAAGCACACCAAAACAAGGAAATAGATCAACCCATATATTGTGTACAACATATCAAGAGCAGCACTACTCAGCCAAACAAAACATACCAATACATGTAGGTGGTGAACTGAACCCAGCTGCATCATTTGTTACAGAGCAGTTTATTCTGGTATTATTGACGCCAGTTGACAGCCTGAATCCCGGATTGCAATTGTACACAGCAGATGAGTAATACGTAGTACTGGACTGGTTGAACTGTGTTCCACTGGCATATCCATTGGCGATGGTCGGTGCAGTGCACAGTGCTGTGACAATACGCAAACAGACAACAGATCTTGTTGTAAGACACTCCAAAAATACTGGGTAGACATGGAAAACTTCACAAAGAAAACATTGGCTTCACAACATACACAAATGGAAGTACTCAACAGGCCAAACTGTTTATATTGAAAGCAACCAGTGTGTAGAGAAAGGAAATATGAGCAAACTAGTGTATTACCTTCACAGTTTCCTACTTCTTCCCACTCTCCAGTTGTAGAGTTGGATGGACAGGTTGCATTGGTATTGCCTCCTACTCTCGTGTAACCAGAGGAGCAAGTTACAGTACCAGATGTAGTGATGGAATCAACATTTGCCTTAGAGAAGGTACAGCCTGGAGTGAACACATGACAATGGTCAGAATGAGAGTCAGAAGATGAAAGAAAGCAGTTCTACGGCATTAGTGTCAAGTTAACAAAGTCCACACAAACCAGGAGGGCTTGATGAAGAGCAATTACTGGGGACACTCAAGCTGACTGTGAACCTCATGAACATGCAGACATGGAATGATGAGGGAGAGGGCATTCATTTGCCAGTATATACTGCTAGAATTCACACGTGATAGACCACATGGATTGTGCACCAAACATAGAGTGCAGGTTAGCCACTAAGGGTATTAAATAAATCCTTTAATGGATCAATGACTGTGGAGGATGCACTTCATTGTTGCAGTGAAAACGGAACAAGTCCTGATGTTAATATTATCAGTGAATATTGAGTTTACGAACGCTATGCGCATGTGGAGAACGGGAACACATTTCATTATGTGTTCATATTGGGTGTGGCGGGCGCTCTTTGCTGGTCCATGATGAAAGATGCAAGTCGATGGTGGTGTGATATGTGTTAAGGAACTTTATTGGTTCAAGTTAATTTATTCTTCAGATATTGTGCCGTGTAGTTTTTGTTTGAATGAATGGAATGGATGTGAAGGTGTAAAAAGTAGACAGGTAAGGTTATGCATGGGTATGTGCAGCTGTTAGAAGGGTCATACATGGAATGTCTTGTTGTGTGCTCTCTCTCTCTCTCTCTCTCTCTCTCTCTCAGGAATTTCAAAATTTTATATAACATGTATGTGCCAATAGACTGAAAAATGATGTGACAGTCTTTTTGAAGAGTATTGTTTCCAACGAATTGAGCGGATATGCTAGTGACATGCATCATAACTCGTTACACACGCGTTTTCATGTCTTGAGTAGAAGTGCAAGGTAGAGGAAAGATACGATTGCCAGAGAAATGCAACTGAATGATCGGCCTTGAAAAGAAAAAGTAAATAAAAATTCTAAAGTAGGAAATATTGTGAGAATCAGTGTCCTGGTGCACGAGTAGAGACAAATTCTATTCTACTGGACCCTGTGTACGTAAGTCGCAAAAGACATTTACTGAAAAGGTAGTTCAAAAACAATGTTCATCACTTCAAGCAATAAGTTAAGTTTGAAATACGAAAAAGAAATGTTCTGAAAGGGAAGTGAATTAGAATTTTTTTAAGATCAACATGACAACAGAAATCACTGAAAAGAAATTGTTGGATGAAAGTGAAAATATCAATAGTAATAGAGACATATTATCATACCAAGTTTGTATTGTTTGTACTTTAGAATGCCGCTGCATGATATGTGTCGTATGATTTGACCTTAGATGGATGCTTCAGACCACACTGGGCTAAGTGGACAGCAGCAAGTAATATACCGAGCTCGCCAGGGGTCACCTTGCTATATCAATGTGTTGTGCATATGCTGTGCGTGTGGATGTGACTGTGTGTGTGTGTGCATGTAGCTGTGTGTGTATGCATGTAGCTGTGTGTGTGTGCATGTAGCTGTGTGTGTGTGTGTGCCTGTAGCTGTATGTGTGCATGTGGTTGTGCAGACATGTGACTATGTGCAAGCACAGATACAGATACAGACCATGATACGGGAATGCAAGCATGTGCTTTGTTCAGTTTCTCACAGGAGTTTTTTTTGTGGAACGACAGAAGCAAACGCTCGATATGTTTTTTGGGTACCGGCTTTAATACTTTGATACGCTTTTTGATGTGTTTCTGGTGCAGACATGCTAAAGGGAAAAAGTGTTTATTTAGGAGCAATCATGTCTGAAATGCAAATATGTCGTGGATTCCAGCAAGTCACTGTGCTGTTGAGCTTTGCCTTGGCCTGAAATATGTGTAGGATATACCAGTGAGAAAGGTGCAAATGTCGACATGCATACAAGATCATTTCTGCATCATTCTGCTTCTAATAATAATAGTAATCATGAATATAATTGCAAATGACAAGTGTATGCAAGATATTATTTTGCATGCACCTGTCACCGGTAATTATGAACGAAATAAGAAGCTAAATGTGTCACTGTGTTGTAATGGTTACCAACGTTTAATGCTCATGATTTATCCGTAGATGTCATTGGTTCTGGTTGCTTGTATTCCACTTGAAACGAATGCCCGAAAACTGGATCTGTAATTTTCTGAGTCCTGACTTATCAAATTTGTAGGTTTTCTTTACGAAAATAAGAAGCAATGTTCCTTCGAGCTACAAACTTGCTCCGTGTTATGCGTTAACTCAGTTTTGTTGTGTTTTGTATTGTGCAGGTGAATGGGTGTTTTCTACAGTGCGACTGGAAGACTCACAAATGTGCCTTCTGGGGTACCCTGCGTTGGACAGTTTGTTCGTCGATTACTGTATAAGCAGAAATATTCGTCTGGAATTTAATTTCGTCTTTTTCGTCCAAGGAACTTTTGGACTAAATTAAGTGCCGGACTAATGTCGATTTGTCCAGCTTTTCTATACACTATTACGAACAATGGACAAAATGTTCAACCGGACGAACTCCCTTTCTTAGGAGTTGGACGAAAATTTTGACCGACGAAATTTTCTGCCTCTACAGTATCCTTTTTTCTATAGTTATCATGTCACTTGTGCATACTGTACAACAAGCAGGTTTTTTAAGCATACTGTGTGCAATGTAATCACGGTGGATAAAGTAAAAATATTGTACTCAGATGGAGAGCCAAGGTTTTTTGTTTAGTAACTGGTGGTGTTAGTGGACAGTATAGCGTAACTTGTAGTTCCTTGGTCTTTCTCTTTTGTATAAAAATATTGTGTTTGTATAAAGGATGTTGTAAACTGGTAGCATGATGTATCACTGTATGCTGAATGCTCTGCAAAGAGATTTGCCACGAACTCGTGAAAATGATCAGGAATAAACTGTAAATGAAGAAGTATGGAGACAGCAGATACCAGTTTATTTGCACTGTGCCACATTTCTACCAAGTTCTTTGTAGACCCAACATTTGTTCTGTTTTGGCTCCAGCCCCCGCGGCCAGACCTGCCAGGAAAACCTGGGGGCGTTCGTTTTTGATCTATAGCTTTGGGTAGAAATTACTTCGTTCGCTAGATGCAAACGGGAAAGTCTGAAGAAAAAATTGACTGCCACCACCAGGACTCGAACCGGGGACCTTCGGTCGAGGCCAGCGATGCTCTAACTATTGAGCAGTAGATGTGTTCGGGTTTTTCCTACCCCAAACAGTAGATTCTACTTTCCTCTACCAGCTATACCAGGTTTGAGGCTGATAAAAATTGGTAGAGGTACGGTATTTCTTTATTTGTTTGGCAATGAGAGCTGGTTTCCAAAAAATACCGTATATCGTACTGTAAAATCCACATTCTAACGAAAAGGGTACATCTGCATTCGTAAACTACCATCTGCCGGCCTTTAACAATGACTTTATTAGGATGACCCAAAGGCTGACCGCCTATCTTGGGGTCCGTCGCATTGAAGGATGATGGTACAAGAGAGTACAGATTGGGAAAAGGGTTTTGATCCACTCTACTCTACCAAGTAGACAAAAACGAAAGCAGCCTTAGGTAGAAAATGGATATGGTCAAAACCAATCATGTTTGCCCATTTCTGCATTGCAGTACAAACCTTGCCAAGTGTGGCACATTGAAAAATATTCTGGTTCTGGTCCTGCATGTACACCAGTTGTTTTGATCTTGGTTCGGATCGTGCTAGCCAAATGAATCCCAAAGCCACATGTTACAAAAATAGTATAGAGATTATGCGATAACGTCAAATCCGCCATATATAGGAGCCAGTTGGGGTGGCAAAATGCCCAAAGCGGGTACAGAAACCCCTTATTTAGAAGAATTTGGGGTGGCAATGACGTGTATCGCATAACCTCTTATACCCGGTAAGTACAGCCTGAGAGAACTACAACCGAAAGTAACTACAAACTGAGGGAATGCACCCAAATATGGGGATGAAATTTAGAGATACATGTAGCATGATTCTACATAAGTCCATATATGATCATTTCAGCCCAATTCCTTCATAAAAGGAATTAAAATACAGCCGCATGCCCTCCACAGATTAGAGACATGGAGCTTGTACTTGCTGAATGTGACCAAGTGATTGCGCGATTGGCGACATATTTTACTCGAACTGAATATGGCATGTGCTGTGTATGCACGTGTGTACATGCAAGTGTATGTGCATGGGTGTGTGTATATATGTGTGTATGTTGATAGTCTAGGGGCTCCCGTAAGAAGACCATAGGTCTGTGGGAAACACCCTAGTAAAATAAAAGTTAATAATAATAATAATAAATAGTAGTAGTAGTGTATACTATGTATGTGAGTGCGTGGTCACTGTGGTGTAAGCTGTCACAGCTTTCATCATCACAACCACAACCTACGAGCGACAGAAAACAAAGTCCATTGAGTTGAGCCAGAGATGACACACAACTAGCTCTGCATGCACAGCATTGAAAAAGCTGGTAAGAATGCAACAACATTATCCTTCTTCAAGGTATCATAATTATCATGCAATACCCAATCACTGATGCTTGCACAACTGATAGCAGGTTTTACTTCCATAGCATAATACTTCTCCTTACCATGAGGCTTATTCTTATACCTAACCCTATTGCACATAAGCGATGTTGATAATATAATTTATCATGTTATATCCACACACAATACGGTTAGCACTGGTCACAGTACCATTGACATGCTCCAGAACCCTCCTTCTTCTCCAATACATGTACCTCCACATAAAGAACATACCTTTGGGGGCCAGCACGACTATATAATCCATACACTGGTGCCAAGCCTAACATCTACACAAACCTCAGCTGCCATCGGCATTGCCATCAACTCTTAGTCGTGGAGTCGGAGCAGCACAATGCTAGCCTAGAACTGGAACGCCTAGGGAAACCCACACAAACCCACACACAAACCCACACACACACACACAGAAATCTTCATAGAACAATTTTTCCAATGCATGTACAAGCATACCGTATAGTCACGTATAAGAGCCAGATTTAGCCTTGCACAAGCT